TTTACAATAATATTATTATATGGCTAATATATATACAAATATTCTCACATTATATACACATATATATAGTTAATAATATTTCATTTGCATGACTATATCAACATAATATCATTAATTTTATAGTTTGATAGTATCAAATATAGTTCAAGTCAGATATATACTGTATATATATACTGATATATACTGTAAACTTTACAAATATATATTAACAAATGGGAATCAAACCGGGAAATACGTACCTTCACGTAAATTTCTTCTGAGTAGCGAGAACTGTCAACCACGCCATGTACTGCCCCTACTGTACAAGCCAACTAGACATTAACTAGAGATCTCCGAAAAGATTACAACTACCCTCAACTAGCGAAGTAACTCTGTGACGTATTAAAGGATATGCGCTGAAATATCGCGTATTAGTTCGTTATTGGAAAAATATGTAGGGTAGAATAAGCGGATTATGGAAAAAATACAAGAAAATATTTATGCAGGTCTTACAAAATAAATTAATCAAATTACTTTTTAAATACAATTAATTATCTATCAATACTAAAAAAATATACGATGAAACACAAATAATTAACATAAAAAAACTTTATGTATACAACGTTTGCAATTTTTGTGCAAGTTTTTATTTAATATAGAAAAATGTCTCTTAGTTAAGCGTTATTTCATTTCATCTTTGTTACAAGTGCGATGTCGAAGTGTATATTCATAAATGTTTTGTTATAAGTGTAATTCTCACGTATGTAATAATAATGTCTTAGTGGGAATAAATATCTTAAATAATTCATAAATCAAAATGTTTTAAACAGATAAGTATTTAAAAAATTGGCATTAGTTTAAAAATTCGACACAATATTTATTTTATTCTTTTCTATAACAATGGCACCAACAACCCATACGTCATTTTTGTTTGCTTATAACGAACGATCAGTAGGTTTTGTGAGAGAAGGCACTAGGGCTACACAATCAAACGTCAAGCCTTACTCCATCCTTAAAGCGGCTTCGGATTGGACTATAATGATGAACACGTATGAAAAACTATATAAAATCCCCGAGGATATTTGTGCGTCGGCCTCCAGACCGGATATATTTTTGTTTTCGCAAGTTTTAAAGCGCGTAGTGATGATAGAGCTTACGGTCCCTTGGGAAACCAACATCCCCAAACACCATACTATCAAGGTCAACAAATATTACGAGCTCACAAACGAAGTCACTCAAAATAGGTTCTTAGTAGATTTGTACGCGGTAGAAGTGGGAGCGAGAGGTATAACAGCGAAATCTCTCTACAACCTACTAAAAGACTTGGGCTTGTCCAGAACTCACATTAATGCATTCTTGGAACGTACATCGAAGGCAGCCCTAGTAGATTCTTTTAAAATTTGGTTAGGTAGGGAGAGGAGCTTGGACAGTGGAGGTGAGCGTATAACACGCGTTAGTTAAGGGGCCCCTTAAACCTACACTTGGGTCGTAAGTCCCAGGCATTTGAAGCTCCTCTCCCTGCAACGCGATGGACCCGGCACCCGCACGGTGAATCCATGGAATGCTGAGAAGATTCGTCTCTGTTTAATTAGAATATGAGAATGGGTAAATTACATAAGGAAAATATTATGTCATACAAATATTATTTGTAGAAACAAAATATAAAGAAGTATACAGGTGACAAAAATGTATTGAACATCAACCTCTTTGTAATAACGATAAAACGAATTGTTACATAAGTGATTTCTTATGATTGTCATCTTTGAATTTCCCATTCAGTAGGTACTTTTACCTGTATGATTAATGATTTCTATAAATAAATTGATAAAAATCAATTGGCGTTATCTTGTTTATCTTCCACATCTATTAATCGGTAATCGTTAGTCAACACTATCACGACCATCTTTGAAATTTCCCATTTAGTACTTTTTCGTTTGCAATTATGTGATTTGTATAAGGTAATGTTTAAGATATAATGCCAATATATTGTTTATCTTAAACATCTCTTTTTTTTTATTACGCAGGGAAACTCTTTTTACGAGCCGTCCAACCGGCCTTGGTGGGGCCGGAAGGGATGTGTGAGGCTAGGCCTGGGCAGGCCCCTACTCACTAAAACTACTGCGAAAGCCAATATTATATAAAATAATAATAAAAATGTTTGAAAAGACGTATATGTAGAACAGAGATAAAACAACACAGTTGTATAATAATCATTTTTATTTTAAAAATACTTTTGATTAACTAATCAAATTGCGACACTACTTCCAGAAGTTTCCATTCACACACATCATTTTTGATTACAAACTTCATGGAATCATTAAACGGATAACTTATAAATTGAACCAACTTCTCAGTTTTTCTGAAATCACTAAACCGAATTTCAAAGTCTGCTATCGCTGCTACTCGTGTACTTGTCAGAAATGAAATTATATATATGTTTCCCATATGATCCTTGATGATTACAAATTGTTCAAATTTTTTCTTCTCTATGTCAACTACCATAGATTCTGTTTGACTTTGAAACGCTGCAATAGAACTCATCGTTTCTATTATTGTTTTATTCTTGCCCTGTAGATTCAGATTTAAAGTACTTACTCAGTTTACCAGTAAAATCAGCCAAAAAAGCTAACTCACACTGCCAATCATCGCCCCATTTATCAAGAAATATTATTATTACTTCTAAGAGATCTCGAAATGTCTGCAAAAATTTGCATTTGCAAATTATTAAGTCTGGTCTTTTTATTTATATTTTTTGACTGGCCACGTTCGACTGGACTAATCCTTATCGGTAGATTATCCCTGAATTATAGCACAATGATCTCAAAATATACAGATCGCCAAAATAGCATCAACCTATTGACTACTACGGATTTGTATACCCTGCCTTCAAAAGCACAGAATAATGAGATCTAAGATTTTCGCGAGTACTCATTTAAATGAAACTAATATTTTTCGGATTATACTTCGCGTTTTATTTTTGATTAGTAACTACATACTCCCGACGTTTCGGCTACTTTTCAGCGACCGTGATCACAGGCAGACGAGATGTGAGTGTCTGTCAGTTGGTCTGGTCATTTTATCTCCTACCGCCACAGAACTAGCACAGAATAGCCCAAGAGGTGTACTATTTTACCACACTTCATTCGGTTACCAAAAAATGTTACGCTGTACCCGAGAATTGTTTTGCAGAGATGACAGTAACACAAAAATATTATTAATTATTAATTTACTTTATAAATTGACTATTATCAAGATTCTTTTATTAGCATACTGGTTTACATATAAATACTAGAAGACCCGACGAACTTCGTATCGCCCTATAATCAAGAAATATCTGTTATGTACGTTTTTAATTTATATTTTTTGGAGTTTACCTATTAAAGCCATAAATCTCCGTGTTTTGAAGTGCGACAGAATGATTGACATATTAGTTGTCAAATCTAATGACAAAAAAAAAAGTTTCTACCAACAACTACTAATAAATCAAAAATTAATTAAAAAACATTGTCCAGCGGACAAAATTGTGAATCTAAACCATTCCCAGATCCCCCTGAACACACACAAAAAATTTCATCTAAATCGGTCCCGTCGTTTGAGAGAAGTTCAGTAACATACACACTCACAGAAGAATTATATATATAAAGATATGTAAATAGAACTTAGGATACAAAATGAATAAGTATTAATAGTATATAATTTTAAATTCACAATGAAAATATGGAAAGAGAAAAGTTTGGAAAATTTAAACTAATCAGAACTCCAGAAACAGGCTTGAACAGTAAAGGAGTTGTCATAGAAAGTTTTAGGAAAGAATTATTTTATGGAGCAAGTTTCACTAAGAATGTAAATAACAGCCATGAGAGTCCTTAAGAAACTCAAACTTCTCCTTCGGATAGACCAGGGACTGGATTGGAAAGCATAGTGGTAAGGAAAAAGATACGAGTTTTACTGGAAAGGTGAATAGGCATTTGGACTTTTCACGAAAAACAAACATGGACATGTATATGCAAAACTAATAAATTGTCTAAATATTAATAAAAGAAAATATAATAACGTGCAGTCTCTAAAACTATATCGAAATAAAACTTCATCATTATACAATACAAATTAAAACATTTGGTTAAATTTGTTACTTTTTTAACTGCTAAACTTCAAATATTCGGACTACTTATAATTAAATAGCTGCGCCCCGTGGTGTTACCCACGGATTTCCGGGATGTAAAGTAGCCCTGTATACAAAATTTTATCAAAATCGGTTCAGCTGTTTGAGCGTGAAGAAGTAACAAACATACACACACTCACAAACTTTCGCAATTATAATATTAGTAGGATATATAATTCGTTTTGAAGATAAGGAAGTACATGTATATTACAACCTTTTTACAATTACAAACTTTACTTTGATTTTTAAGAGGTGCTTTAAAAAAAAATATTGATAGTAACACTGGTAATATTTCGTTTGCCTAAATAAAAGTCATATTTTCTTTTATTCCTTTATATCAGCAGCCCTATTAGTCAATACTCAAATGACTACCCTAAAGAATTAAAATTCAGTAAAGCTGGTAACACCGATTTTAAATTACTATGTAATTGGAAAACTGTGAGAAAAATTTGAAGCAGTGCCTAATATGACTGTAAACATTCAACTTAGTGTTTATTTGTATACCCAAGATTTATATGAATAAAAATTAAAGATAATTAATTTTAAAATTAATATCTACGTACAATATCAATACACGTACAATCGTTTCCTGTTTATAATTTCCTGACCCATTTTAATAACCACTCCTCCTCTATGTTTAGATAAGTAACATAGATATATTAAAAATATTTTGATAATAGATTCACGTCCGTGGAATAATTGTGGTTTTGCACACATTTCAATGTTGCACTCGGAACTGATTTTAGGGTATCGTTATAAAAAGGCCCGTTGTGACAAGATAATGTCACAAAGCTTCACAATTCCGTGAAGAAGTTTGTTGTTTAATATATTAAATATAACAATTTGAAATATATTCAAAATGGCTAACGTTTATAGAAGCCTGAACTTATTGTTTGACCGTCTCAACGAACCTCTGATATACCCTAAGGGAGACAATGAAACAGTGTTCCAAGTTACAGAAGAGTTTTTGGTGAGTTATATATTATGTACATTATTATTATTATTTCTTTGTATCTATTTCTTTGTTCCGGCTAGTCTCTGAAAGCGCTGGGCCGGTTTTGATAAGCGTTTTAGAGGCAGATAGCTAATATGTTTTTATTTGATATATAATAATTAATAAAAATAAAACGATTCCACGTATGATTAATGGGGTCTTGACTTGTTTCTATTAAGCGAAATTATAAAAAAAATATTTGAAATGTTTAAGAAAGCTGGTTATTATTTTTAATCATTTCCTATTCAGCCTATTTACTATTTAAATTCTATATCATATTTTTATTATTACTATGATTTCATAAAATAATATTGGACAATATTCTAAGATATGTAAATTGAAATACAAATTTATACGAATAAATTTAAAGTGAAATATTATTACGAGACCCCATTTTTTGTATCCTATTAAATTAAATAAAATACAAAATATGTAAAATGTGCTTGCATATAATTTATCTCTTTCGACTATTCCTTGCAATTGCGACTAAAAATGTTATTAACATTTAATAATTTAAAACAGATTAAAGAATACAAATCAATGTTAGCCTAATAATGCATGTTCATATTTATACCCAAGGTGTTACTGTAAATTAAATATGAGAGCGACTTTTCTATGACTACATGCGATCTTACATAAACTTACTCTAAGAGTCAATAATATAAAAAAATGCTATTGAAAGACGAGTAGGTATGTTTCCCACAAATTTTTATCGTTACAAGCGCTACATACAAGGTTAAACATTTCAAATTCAATGACCTCTTACACAATAATATACAAAGATTTTTGGAGAAAGAATGGTTCATACTCCTTATGTAGTTACGCGATACAAAACTTTAAATTATAATCCTGTATCAGTGTCTATCAAATCATTCCATAAGGAAAAACTTAAAAGAAGAGTGGTTGAAAATGTTAGCCATTTTATTTATAACCTATGCTATTTAAACTTGTCCTCGAATAATCAACACAATTCATCTCCACTAAATAGTTATAATTCATCTCCCTTAATAATTTTAAGCTTACAATTACGATAAATTATTTAATTTTTCACCATATGTAGTTTCGAAATTACGGATCCACTGCGTTATTATAATTATTTTTTAATTATTTTATAACTGATAACTAGTATTGAATTTTGAATTATAAACAACAAATTTGAAGATTGTGCGGGTATGTTTTATAATCTGTTTTCGTTATAACAGGATGAAGACTATCAGAACAATGGCATTGAGATCAACAACCGCTATGGAGATAAAGCTACTGACGTCATACCCTTGAAGAACTTGAAAAGACTACCAGAATTCCCAAAAGCCAGCAAACTACCAAAAGATGCTGAATTTTCATTGTTCCTACCAAGCCATCAGGAAATGGCGAAGGAGGTGATGGAAGTACTACTAGGTGAATTAACTTACAATAAAACTTTCAATAATTTTATTATATAACATTTCAAATATAAATTAAATTATCTACATTCCACAGCCGTCCCGGAGAACCAATTGCAGGACCTTCTGTCGACATGTGCCTATTCAAGAATGCATTTGAACCCCCAACTCTTCAACTACTGCTTTTCTGTCGCTCTCATGCATAGGTCGGTATAAAAATACATTTCACACTTAATCAAAAGTAATATGAGAAATAAAATTATTTTTTATATTTCATTACAGACCAGACACTAAGAACGTCCCGCTTCAAAACCACGTTGAGACTTTCCCCTCAAAATTCATGAACTCCCAAGTCTTTGGCCAAGCAAGAGAAGCTGCAGCCTTACAAGCTAAGGGATCGCCGGTATATTATTTTATATCTTTTTCTTTACCACCACAACAGTTTTCACATTTTTTGTCAGTTCCTGAACATAGAACTGGTTTATAATTTGGTGTCCAAGACCCTAAACTATCATTAGCATAGAAATTCATAGGATATGTTTTGTCACCCAGTAGCCACTTACTATCACATAGTGTCACAGATTACGCATTTGTCACCCTGTATTTTTTTTCTTTTGAGTGTATAGAGAAAACTAAATATAATGAATATCTAGATTAATCGAAAAAGATTGTCCTTATTGTTGTGAAAATAACAATAATTTTGTTCTTGTTATAATCCTGCTGTGGCATAATCAATAGATACAAAAATACTCATAGCACATATATATCAAGCCTTTTGGACATTAAATTCTCAATTTTCAGGTTTAATTCATAATTAGCTTTCTGTATATAAAAGGATGTATCACTAAACCTAATTAATTCTTTTTAGCGTATACCAATCATCATTCCAAGAGATTTCACTGCTACGGATTTAGATGTCGAGCATCGTCTGGCGTACTTCCGTGAAGACATCGGCGTCAATCTACACCACTGGCACTGGCATCTTGTTTATCCCTTCTCTGCTCCTCGGAGAGAAATGGTTGCTAAGGATCGTCGCGGAGAATTGTTCCTCTACATGCACCAGCAGATAATAGCTCGGTAAATTATGTTATGAGAAATAGAATCTTTACACTTATATACACTACATAACCAAAGGACTATTCGTGTATTAACTGCTTTAAATCTTCACCAGATATAACGGCGAGCGTCTTAACAACATGCTGTCAAGAGTTAAGAAATTCAGTAACTGGTCGGAAGCCATACCCGAAGCTTACTACCCAAAACTTGACAACCTAACAACCTCCCGAGGCTGGCCGCCGCGGCAGGCGGGTATGAAGTGGCAAGACCTGGATAGACCGGTGGACAACCTGAAGCTGACCCTTGGAGATATGATGCGTTGGAGACGAAACGTTGAGGACGCTATCTCCACCGGCTTTGCGGTTCTGGTACAGTATTAGAACTCTTACGATGTGATGAAAGTAAAGTCTCTTAAATGTAAGACATGGCTAGACTACAGAACATACTATGTTTGTGAACTTAATACATGAAATCTATATAATATTTATACGGTATCAGCCGGACGGTAGCACTCAGCCTTTGGATGCGGACACTCTCGGTAACATGGTGGAGGCGAGCATTCTGTCTCCCAACCCACAACTATACGGAGCCCTTCACAACAACGGACACAACTTCACAGCTTACATTCACGACCCACAACACAGATACCTGGTAAGTATGACTGAACGAGATTGGAACTAAGACAAGTTACATAAATTTATTCCGTAGTCTGCAAAAAGTGCTTGTAGACGCCACAATCATAAGGTTAATTATTTTAATTGTATACAATTTAATGTTGTTAGGAATCCACGAGCGTCATGGCTGACGAAGCTACCACTATGAGGGATCCTTTCTTCTACCGCTGGCACGCCTTCGTCGATGATCTCTACCAGAAGTACAAGGAGTCTGAATCTGTGACTAGATACACGCGCAGTCAGGTTAAATTATAATTTTCGGAATTATTTTGCTTACTATTCTTGGCTGCTCGGTACTATTTTAATATTATGATGTTTATTTATGACTAAGTAACTCTAAAACTATTTCTTTCTCACTCCAGCTGGATAACCCAGGTGTACAAATAACAAACGCTCGTATAGTCAGCGACTCCGGTCCTGATAACACACTGAACACTTTCTGGATGCAGAGCGACGTCGAGCTCTCGAAAGGTCTTGACTTCTCCGAAAGAGGATCAGTTCTCGCGAGATTCACTCACCTGAACCATAGAGATTTTAGATACGAGTAAGCACTATTGCCAATACATTTAGACATTGATGCGCAAAATAAAAATAGTCATAAAGTTTCATTTGAATCTTTCGTATAATAAATCAGAAGGCAATGTTTTATTAAAATCTTTTTTCGCAGAATATTATTACTTTATGTATAATTTAATTAAAACATAATTTGTTATCAGAATCGACGTCATGAATTCGGGTGCTGCTCGTCTCACTACCGTGAGAATCTTCATGGCTCCCTCAGTCGATGAAAGAAACTTGCCGTGGATATTAAACGACCAAAGGAAAATGTTCATAGAAATGGACAAATTCGTCACCACCCGTAAGTCAACTACCCAGAAAACTATCATATACCTATGAGCTTTAAAAGCTAATATCACTCTCTCATTCTCTCCTCTCTTCACTACATTAAGAATCCAGAAAGTAATAGTTTTATTAACGAAACCAATCCCAACACATTGTAAATGAAATTCTAAATAAAGAAAGAAAGTAAGTGAGTCTCCTATCCCTCCACAACTATAACACTTGAAATTCAAACCAGTGAACGGCGGGGCGAACAAGATCGTTCGGTCATCTACGGAGTCGTCGGTAACGATCCCGTTCGAGCAGACGTTCCGCGACCTGTCCCGCCCCGGAGACCAGACGTCTGGAGAACTTACGTCCACCAGCTTCTGTGGCTGTGGGTGGCCGCAGCACATGCTGGTGCCCAAAGGGACAGAGGCCGGCGCGCAATACGACCTCTTTGTCATGCTCTCCAACTACGATTTGGATAGTGTTAGTATACATTATTTAGATAATGTTTTTTTTTCATATATTGCTCATACCCCAATGCACAGCTATACTAACTTTTTATATTTATTTCAGGTGAACAATCCTGATGGGTCGCCGATGACCTGCAAGGAGGCTTCCAGCTACTGCGGTCTTAAAGACCGACTGTATCCTGACAGACGCAGCATGGGCTACCCCTTCGACAGACCTTCCCGCGACGCTGCCAACCTCCAGGACTTCCTGCTACCCAACATGTTCAAGCAGGACGTAAGAATCGTATTACAGAACAGCCCCGTCGAGATCAATCCGAGAAACCCAAGAAATTAATCGATGGATAGCAAAATATGTCAACGAATGACGGATCAATGTCATAGAAAAGGAAATGGATCGTATAATTACTCCGATGTATTTCATATTTTTCGTCTTTTTTTAGATTTAAGTAGCAAAATTGTGAAAGCCTTATATATTAAGACTTATTTGTATGTGCACATATATTTAAGACTAGTTATATTACAGTGACCTACTAGTGTTAATAAATCGATTAAGAAGCATATTCATACGTCTTTCACTGTCTCCTTGTTAACTAATTCATATTAATAAATAACTATTAATTTACATTTATACCCTAAGCTAAATGCTGATTAGCTTGGAAAACTCAGTGAAAATGGTAGTGAAAATTGTTAATAGACAAAGTTTTATTTATAGAATCAGTTCAAAATATCAAATTCGACAACTTTTAAAAATATGTAATAGGAATACTGCAATGCTTATGTTTATGATCTTGTTTCGTAAGCTTTCCTTCTTCAAATTAATAGTCCAGTTTTTCTGCTAACAATAAATCATAATATATAAATTAATTTATATACAGTTGAGTATAGACATGATAATTGATAGGAATGAATACATTACAATTTGTTTATATTCTAATATTCTGATTAATAATTGTTAGCGATACATTAACATATCATCGTAGATTGTTGGAGATCTGCTATTAGACTATCTTTGAAGGTCTAGCCTGAATGGTCTCGGGCAGAACATACCAAAAGTGACTTATTGGACGGTATCACACAATGATTTGAATATGCATATCATTACTAAAATTACCAATCTATACACACGTGGAAAAGCCCAATACGTGTGCTATTTAGCCACACTAAATTCGGTTTCCATCCAAAGTTAGAAACCAATATCTAATCAACTTAATTTATACTCGTACTTAAATTGAAGCAAAAAGACATAATACTACATTCGATACAATTTACATTAAAAAATATAGTGTTTAAACAATCATGTAAATATAAAGAAATACATACTAATTATAATATCGTTGGTTTCAAAATAATTAAAATAAAAAATCAACCTATACTTAATACTTAACTAAAATTAATGTCATATACTGTGATGCACTATTACAGCTCAGATCAGTCAGGAAATTGAAAAATTTTGTATAATTAAGCCGTATCAGATATTAATTTCATACAATAAATATAAATTGTTAGCTAGATAACAGTTGAGGCACTTATCCAGGTAACACTGGTTTCTCACTTTCTAATCCATGTCCCACAGATGCTTAGTCCGAGTTTTCATTGTTATAGTAGGTACATACGATACGTTTCAATAATAAAAAATAGGTATATTCCTTTCAGTTGAATGTATCATGTTCACTCATCCCGATATTTATTTAGATGTGGAGGTGTTGGGTACAACAATTCTCATAAACCAAATGTTAAACTGACAACGATTAATAAACTAAGCAAACTCATATATTGATTGCTGATCGGTTGGACTGTATATACGTGAATCGCTGCGGGGCCATATCTCACGGGATGGTACAGTGGTGATTCGCGTATGTGGGGCTCAGCCGATCAGCTAATTTACAAATGAATTAATTAATTATTATATTTTAAGAATTTATGTATTATTTTTATAAACAATTTATGTATTATTTTTTAAATGAGTCATTGTAACTTGATAATAGAAATAAATAAATAAATAAATATAAAGGCCGTTGATCGAGTTTCTCGGATTTAGGTACTGAACGTTGAGAAACAATGAAACAAATGGTGAAAGAAAACAAAATACATTTACATGTATCAAAGTAGTTTAATCGTATATACCTACAAAAAAAAAGCTTCTTTGAATGCTACATGTCTAAAAAAAAATATATAAAAACCTTTTGTCTTACAATAATTCAAAACGCATTTTATTATATTTTCAAAATATACATTGCATCAATGTTTTCATACTACATACAATAAAATACTAATTATACATAAAACTATGTTAATTATGTTTTCAACCCCCGACATAAATAGAGAGGTATAATAAAGTTTGACGTCAATGTGTGTGTGTGTATCTGTCTGTAGCATCCTCTGTAATGATCTACCGATTTTGATGCGATTTTTTTTCCTTTACAACCGGTTTTCTTATGGTACATTTTAGCTTTCGTTTGTTACATATCGGTCCAGCCCTATAAGAGTGCCAGCTCTTTTCAAAGATAATGTAAGTTGTTTCTGGCAAGTGATTACTCAATTGAGTGTTACACTCAATTTATCGACGGTTTAGCTATCTGGATGCTTAGTCCGAGTGTTGTATCATCATAATACACACGAACATTTTTGCATTTCTCAATCAATAACCCAAATTGATGGTATTATGTGTGACGATCTATGAATAAAAACTTCTAAAGATCCGTATGTATGACGATGCCAACTTGGACAAAGCCTACTGTTGATCCAAAAATAATTCTTTATAAGTATCTTTGGATTTCATCAACTTTTTAGATTCTCTCTTAAAACTTGACCGTGAAATGACTTTGATCATCCGGTTTTTGATAAATATAAAGCTATTTTCATATAAAATATAACTAAAGACACCACAAAACAGATAACGTGTGGTGCATTTATCGTGGTAACTGCATTGTATGTGGGTGGTGCATGAATTTCTGTTTTTGTTATTTTTATTTTCATTTAATGAAAGAGACTGAAATCTCTGAAGTAAAATTAATATCCAAATTAGACAAATGGCTATTGCAATTACTATTCTACAGAGATCAATCTAGCCTCGTCAATCAATCGTCGATCAATCAATCGTCTTACTTTTGGTACTAATTTGATTTTCTTCCCCAAAATAAAAAACTCATTTACACCAATAGGCAATAACAAGTGAAAACATTTTAGTGGTGTTATTGTAAAGGACATGTTCTTGAAATATAGTTTATTTTCAACTATTTTTCAGTATTAATAAAATTCAGTGTAAATGGAATATATTGAGGAAAAGTATTCTATATGAAAAATATCAGAAAATCGCATTCTTTATGCTTTAAAACATTCCTAACTATGCTCTCAAATACCAGTTAATATTCTCCTGTTACAATGGCGTATGGTAATGATTTTTAGTTATTATAGATTGATTTTCTTTGAAAAACAGCAATTTGTAGTAAATAATCTAGTTCTTAGGGTATTATTTGAAAATATTATTATGTATATCCTAGTAAATAAACAAAATCAGTCAATTCATCTTTGAGCTAGTGACTGAACAAAATGACTGGCTTTATATATTTTTATCGATCAACAATCTATTAAAAAAAAGCGTGTTAAAATCACTTACTGTATAATCATACTAAATATATTCTAATCCTACTGGTGCTATACTACTATATTCGATATTTTTATAAGCTTAAACCTCATCCCATATATTTGTAATAGGAACTTCCAATATGTATAATACCTATAATGCAATATTAATTTTCTATTGACATACAGACCTGTACGTCTGTTTCTATTTCGCCTTGAGTTTAGAATTATTAAACCATTACTATTAAATGAGAAAGTAAAAATGTTTTACATAGAATTTATCTTAGATTATCCATAGTGTATTGCATAGGAAGTCTGTTCTGTGCACATATTAATTTTTATTTACTACCTATATGGAACCTTATACGAATATGAAGTATACTAAAGTTCTGTAGCAGTAACAAGACGTACCTAGAACATAAAGAAGAAATAATGGTAAGACTTCTACATAGAATATAAGTTAAAAGATTTTTTACATTAAATAACTTTGAACTGAAATAATCAATAAAGAAGTAGATACTTTTAGTTCAGATACTTTGTAATTTATGTCAGTAAAATTTGATTATTAAAAATAAAAGAAATAAGAAATTATATTGTGACTTTCTCTAGTAAATTTTGTTAATGAATGATAATTTCCTCTTCGTCAAACCTCTTTGAAATAGATCGGATAGATCTACAAAATCGTTTGCGATTTATATGCAACGCAATAAACAAATGATAATTCAATTAAAATAACTTTTTATCGCTATGCGGTTTTGCACACAACAGACGCTATGTACTTTTGCACCCGTGCAAATCGTATGGTATTAACTGGTATAAATATTGTGACATTTGGGTACAACCAGGATTCACTGCACATCTATCGTGCGGTAACCATTATATAATATAATAATAAATCAATTCAAAAAAATGGCGAGCATTGTTGCAGCTTTGAAGTTGTTGTTTGACCGTCCTAACGAACCTATGGTTTCCCCCAAAGGTGACAATGAGGTGGTCTTTCAACTCACGGAACAACATCTCGTGAGTAATTTAACATATACATATATCTGTAATATATCTTACTGTACTTTATATCTGTGAAAATCAATTGTAGCGCCCATTCGAACCAATGTTTTATATGTCAAGTGAAATTTATATGTAGTATTATAAAAAGTGTTAAACAAATCTCAAAAAACTGAATATTACTATATCAGATTCACGTCAATTTAGAAATTAATTATTGTATATGCAATGCCATGTTACAGTACGGTTATTCCTTCGTTGAATACAAATTAAAATATTGGCTGTGCTCGGTCTAACTATCATATGTAACAATTTTTATAAGATTTTATATGCTTTATATATAATAAGAATTCTAAGACGTTGTCAATGATTTGTTTCTTAATTTTCCTGCGATCATTAAGCTGTTATATTCTTTTAATTTATAGCAATATTTGCTTCACTTATTATTATTATTTTTTTGACATGATTTCTATTATTTTGAAATCTTTTGAGTCATATAATATTTTTATTATTCTTTTGATGAAACTCAAACCTAGAATCAGTGTTAAACACGCGAATCATTTAGATTTTAGAATATTCAGTATTTCTGTTCAGTTGTTCTTTAAAAAATAATACCACGAATAATATATACTTAATCAGACATAAATATTTTTAGAAACCATACTTAATTTATTGCATTTTTTACAACAACTTACTACTGTAGGTAATTTTTATTTTGTCACTTCATCCATTTTAATTGCATATAAGTAAAATAATATATAACATATATATATAGCCACTCACGCTGTTTAATGTCTTGAATATAAGGAAAGGTCATAACAAGGAAATATTTATAATAAGCGAACACTTGTACTTGAAAGGAAAACAATATACTTAATTAAACTTCGACTAGGATAACATAATTGTTAGTCGTAGGTATATTAGTAATTTTCTTCCCATATATCATGTTATGTTTTCCTGTTTAATTATTTTTCATAACTTTTTGTTTACGTACCTACTCAATATACAATATTAACGATAGCATAATTATGGTAATCTGAATTATAATTATTTTTTATCTACAAGGACGACAAATACAAGAGTAATGGGATCGAGATCAACAATCGTTTTGGGAAGGACAAGCCACTTATCCCATTGAAGGAATTGAAGAGACTTCCTCAGTTTCCAAAAGCCAAAAGGCTGCCAAGTGATGCAGATTTCTCCATTCTTCTGCCTGCCCACCAGGAGATGGCCGATGAGGTCATTGACGCCCTTCTAGGTATTTAAATAAGTACCAGTAATTTTGTTTATTTTTATAATAATTTCAGATCAAATCAGATCTTTAATAACCTGTAAGACGTCTTTAAAATTATGCTATGTTGAGATTTTATTATTGTATTGGATTATTCTTGTTAACTCTGCGATAACGTTGTGAAGAAATTAGTCGTATTTTATGAGTATTTTTAGTAAATAAAATATCAATTCATATGAGTAATCAAAGGAATGTGGTTAGTTTTCCTAAAAATGATTTCGTGGATCAGCCCTGGATTAATTACAATAATCTGATTTTATATAGAGTAACATACTTTTAAAAATCTTACTATAACTACACAAGAAAGAATAAATTGTTACTAGCATACTTACATAAGTTTAGTCCATCAAGCCAAAAATAAATGAATAAGTGAAGAGTAATAGACCCTCGTGACAATTTTACTATCGGCGAGCAAGCTAGAATGAATAGTCAAAAACCTCTTCCTCTTTTGAAATGGACATTCCTTATCCTGTAAATTTACTTATACTCTTATATTTACTGATTACTTGTTTCAGCGGTGCCTGAAAACCAACTGCCCGAATTTCTATCAACATGCGTTTATGCGCGTGTGAATCTGAATCCTCAGCTTTTCAACTACTGCTACTCTGTTGCTTTGTTGCATAGGTAAGTAAATTAATGTCAGTGAACAACGAAATATACTCCAGTGTTAACATAATTAATTAACATATTAACTTAATTCTCAGGAAGGACACCAAAAATGTTCCACTTCAAAACTTTGCTGAGACTTTCCCATCTAAGTTCGTTGATTCGAAGTTTTTCAGTCAAGCACGTGAATCCGCCGCCCTTGCCAAACAAGGAGCTCCGGTAAGAAAAACAATCATAAAATATCTAATAAATATAAATAAAATATATAATAGCTACACTATAATTAGGGTTTTTTTAATTCTCAATTAAAATAAACAATATAACATAAGTTCTCTCTCTTATTTTTTATCTTCTTGTAATTTTTAAGACGATCCATGCAAATTTTTTATACACATTCCATATTATATTAGCAATAGTACTTACTTAATATTAAAATTAATAAATCTCTTACAGCGTGTGCCCATAATAATCCCGCGTGATTTTACCGCCAACGATTTAGACATTGAACATAGACTTGCTTACTGGCGCGAAGATATCGGCATCAACCTTCACCACTGGCATTGGCATCTGGTGTACCCATTCAGCGCCACTAAAAGAGAAATTGTAGCGAAGGATCGTCGTGGCGAACTCTTCTTCTATATGCACCAGCAAGTTATTGCTCGGTATGTAAATGGATGATTAAGTTTGACAATTCTTTTCCTCGCATTTCAATTATTGCCATAGTTTATCTGTATTTAGAGTACACTACCAGATAACTACCAGTGACGAAATCATTATATATCTAATATATTTTTTAATTAACACTAGCTACAACACTGAACGTCTGGCCAACCAGCTCGCACGTGTGAAGAAGTTCAGTGATTTCACGGAGTCGACTCCTGAGCCGTACTATCCGAAATTGGACAGTCTCACCTCATCCCGAAGCTACCCACCGCGGCAGGCAAACATGAGGTGGTCGGATCTGAACAGACCCGTAGATGGTCTCGTGGTCAAAATCTCCGATATGAACCGCTGGAAGAGAAACCTTGAAGAGGCCATCGCTACTGGCATGGTCAAACTGGTACATAAACACATTGATAATTAATTTTAAACGAACTAACAATGACGTCACTCATTCCCACGCAATTATTTTGTTTTTTTGGCTTAAAACAATAAAGACTTAATTTACATGTTTTACTGTTTATGCTGGAGTTATTTTTTAGTATTCAATAAAAATGGGTTAAAAGTATTCACTAAAACCAATGAATAATATATTATGTGTTATTTAAATTTTTTATGAGTATTTCACTATAGCTGAACAGAAGTTCCACAACCAATCGTTTTCTTAATTAAATTATCATATTATTGAAATCTCTAATTCAGATACTGTTGCATTAAGACTACTCGAACATATATTTGACAATATTAATAAAATATGAATTGTTACAGCCAAACGGCTCGACCCAACCTCTGGACATCGACACTCTGGGGAACATGGTGGAGGCTAGCATACTGTCTCCCAACAGAGATTACTACGGAACCTTGCACAACAACGGGCACAGCTTCGCTGGATACTTACACGACCCTGACCACAGATATCTGGTATATTCATTTATTAAGAAACTAACTAACAGAGCAAGCAAGAATCTTTATTTTATTTGAGGAACTGTCTTTATAATTACATTTGTCATATATTAATCATGTTCATCGTAACAGGAATCCTTCAACGTCATAGCTGACGAGGCTGTTAATATGCGAGATCCGTTCTTCTACCGCTGGCACGCTTTCATCGACGATCTATTCCAGAAGTTCAAAGAGAGCAACAACGTGAGACGTTACACGAGATCAGAGGTACTCAACTAATAATTAAAAACTTTTGTCTTATTATTAGCTAAAGTATGAATGAAATACAACACATTCATTCAAATCTTACCGTTCATTCATGCATTGATTGAATCCAAACAAAGTGACATCTTGTTGATAACTTAATTAATCCGATACAATAAGCTAGATAAATTATGCTACATTTTTTTTCATGCTAGTACCTAATGAAAAAGGCTTATATTCTATTTGATTACAGCTTGAGAACCCAGGAGTGAAAGTCACGAATGCCAGAATCGTGAATAGCAATGGCGCCGCGGACAACACTCTTAACACGTACTGGATGCAAAGCGATGTGGATCTCTCTCGTGGACTTGACTTCTCGGATCGTGGACCGGTGTACGCCAGGTTCACGCATCTTAACTACAGGCCGTTCAGATATGTGTGAGTATTAATAACATAAAATACTGGCAGATTTAAAAAGAAAAATTGTTCACTAAATAAAGAGGTACTCTAAGTCGTCTTATTCTAGAACTAGAAGACTTGCTACTTTTGAAAGACTATTTCTTTTGTACTTGTTGACAAAAATATGTATAAATCTGACCAATTGAGGGCAAACATACAATGTATATGAAAAAACCCGTGGACTGAATTCATTAGTTTACTTTATTCATATCCTCATGTACAGAGGACTCATTTTCTTATTTTCCGAAACCCTATCGAATCTTCAGAAACTCATAAATATTTCTTAAAAATAAACTTCCGGCGATTAATAAATATTAAACATATTTTGAAAAAAATTTTGCTTGTTCTGAAACCAATGAACCTAAAACCTTTTTTTTCTTATATCAAAGACGAACTGATATTATTTCAAAAGAGTACTAAGTCATTCAACAATTTGATTTAGCATCGACGTAGACAACACGGGCAGCGCTCGCCGTACAACGGTCCGCATCTTCATAGCGCCCAAGTTTGATGAACGTGGCTTGCCATGGATACTGTCCGACCAACGCAAAATGTTCATCGAGATGGACAGATTCGTTGTGCCTTGTAAGTTAAACTTATAAATATCGTTTAATATTCCACCCCAAAACTACGCTATGTCTCGACAAGAAATTTGGATCACATACACCACACCACTCCTTCAAGAAAATTAAACCTTAATAATAATGTGCAGTTTTAATAAGGATGACTAGTATAAAAGATTTATCATTATTATTATTTATTTAATTGTCTTTAAGAACAAGATCTTGAATGTCAAATTCACATTTAAACAGTAATATAATACAGTAACAAACAATCAACTTTCTTTCAGTGAACGCCGGCAGGAACACCATAACACGCGAATCTACCGAATCCTCTCTGACTATACCCTTCGAGCAGACCTTCCGTGACCTCTCCAGCCAGGGTAGTGATCCTCGTCGTGAAGATTTGGCTAGCTTCAACTTCTGCGGCTGTGGTTGGCCCCAACACATGCTCGTACCACGCGGCACTGAGAGCGGCATGCTGTTTGACTTTTTCGTTATGCTTTCGAACTATGAACAAGATGCCGTAAGTATTTAATACCTTTGTTAAGTTTGTGAATATAACTTAAGCCTATACATAATCGGCCTTAATAGACTACGACACTAATATTCATATTTCAGTCTCCTTATGCATATGTCTGAGCAATATAAGAGTTCTCAAAAAATACTTAAACAAATATCTTTGAGATAAATTAGTTTTAATAAATGACTTAAGTTTCTTTTCTCTTCTCATTCATGTGTTAAATAGTAATTACTTCACATTTAAGACTCTTAGATTGGATTATTAAAATATATTTTCTTTTATTTAAAGATAACTCAACCGGAAGGTGTTGCCCCGTTGACTTGTACAGAGGCTTCTAGCTTCTGTGGTCTAAAAGATCGTCTTTATCCGGACAAGCGCAACATGGGCTTCCCATTCGACATACCATCGAGCAGCGCTGCCAACATCCAAGACTTTATTCTGCCTAACATGTTCCTCGCTGATGTTAGCATTCGTCTACAAAACACCGTGGAAATAAACCCCAGGAATGCTAAAAACTAAATGCTCCAAAAATTCAATAATCGCTATGTAATGTGTATAATCTAAAATTTAAAAGAAAGACTAATAGATTAAGCTTATGTAATAAGAATGTACATAATTTAATTATATATTTAAGTTGACCCATGATAGATTTAATAAAGCATCAATGTATATAGATGTTTTATTTTTAAACAAAGGATGTGAAATAATAAGGAATTTCAAGAAGGCTCTACCTTCTAAGATTGCTAAGTAAAAATGAAACAAATTTTAGTATATATTATTTTTTATTCAAATATTCTTAAACACAAAATATACAAAGACAATTATGAAATGAGTGTTCTTAAACTAATAAATGATACAATGAAATTAAAAATTCCACAAATAAAGAAATGGAAAGACTTTGAATAACAAAGATATATTACAACAATACAACAGTTTTAATAAATGAAAATACAGGGTGGCCCAGAAAGACCGAAGTGGTGTGAATTGCTTATAACTTTTTATTTAAGAGATATTTTTTTAATTTTTTTTTTTAAATACATTAAATTTATGGGGAATATTTTTGGATTAGTTATTAAAAATGATATCCCGCAAGTGGTGGCCATATTCTGCTTCGCACAAATGTGCTCTTTCCAACACATTTTCCATGACCTTTCGCAAAACTTCCGGTGGTATGTTGTTAATTTCTTCTCGAATATTGGTTTTTAACTCCTCAATAGTCCTAGGCTTATTAACATAAACTTTTCCTTTTAAATAGCCCCAAAGAAAACAGTCTGGAGCGGTTAAATCCGGGGACCGCGGAGGCCAATTAAAATTGCTGTTACGAGAAATTATTCTTTCACCAAAGATGTCGCGTAAAAGAGTCATTGTGGCCCTCGCAGTGTGCGCTGTGGCTCCATCCTGTTGGAACCATATTTGCGAATGGTTTTCCACGGCTGGCCTTACAAAATTTTGCAACATGGCCCGATATCCTCCCTCCTATGGATCCTCCCGAATACTCTCCTGTACCACTTGAATATTGTCAGCCGTGTGGACAGTTCGGTGTCTGCCGGAACCAGGAAGGTTCCTTACTGCTCCTTGTTCTCGAAAATTTGCAACCAGACGGTTTATTGTTGACTGAGAGGGTGCAACCCGCACATTAAATTGACAACGGTATGCACGCTGAGTCAACACAATGGACCGTTGATTTGAAAAGTAAATTTCAACAATTTGGGCACGTTGTTCAATTGTGTATTGCTCCATTATAAATTATCCAAGTCTTCTTTACAAAATACTGAAAAGAAAAGAAAAAAAAATTATAATAAAAAAGTTATAAGGAATTCACACCACTTCGGTCTTTCTGGGCCACCCTGTATAACTACAATTTTAATACATACATAAAAATACATATAATTAATTAAAATCTATAGTAATTTACAATTGCATTCTATTTAAAGTAAAAATATGAAAACCTAGCATTTTATAATAAGTTTACTTACAATTTCTTCACAGCATATTCTTTCTGGAGTCCTGGAAGTAAATTTAAAATATTAATCGATGAATTTAATTAAAATACAAATTATTACTAAGAGATAAATCAGACCTATCATTAAATATCACATAGTTATCAAAAATAACACTTTTCGGCTCGTGTTTTATTCATCATAATCAATAATATATTTAAAAAGAATTAAATAAATATTAATAAAATATTCTACCTTTGCAACAATCAGCGCGTGTACATGAAGGGAAGCGTGGTGCTGAAAAATAAGGTTAAATTATTAAAAAATAGTTCTTATAAACTAAATAGCATGTTATAATGTGGAATGATCAGTCCTATCATTTAAATATCACGTGTTTATCATATATTACACATTTCGGCTCGTGTTTTTTATCATCATTCAACCTAAAAGTGTAAGATTATAAGTAATAAGAGAATTATTAAATATCGCAATTTTATTGGACAATTAAATGTAATATATACATCAGCTAAAATGAAATATCCCATACAGTTCAGGATGGAGCTACCACGTGGTTATTGTAGCTTAGTGGTCATTATTAGAATTACTTTGTAAGGAAATAAAATAAGAATGGAAAATTGCGATATTAAAGAAGCAAAACTCTACGTTTAATATAGTACTTTTCTACTAACCTGGAGGTACTTGAAGTCTTTAACCGGCTGAACTCGCTACGTCTGACGGCCGAGTCCATACTCCATAGTCAAATGACTTGTGCTCTCAGACCAGTATTAAGAATACGGATAAGCCACGTGCATTGAAAGCGTCTAATTCATCGCGTTGGGAGGGAGATGCTATATAAGGCGTGCCAAAAAATCAACAGATTATAAAAGTATACACAATTACTGACATTGTAATACAATAAATTAATAAAATAGAACATATTTTAATAATTATTATATAATATATATTTATTTAATGTAATATTTGAGTTTTTTTTAAATTATTAAGAAAGAAAATTTAAATATATATGTTCAACTCAATTAAGCCAGTTTGGTACAATTTTTTAACTCTCTGTTATATATTTTTTACAACAATATTATATTTTTCTAAACTTGTGTTATTTATAATAATCCGATAGTTTTGATAATCAAGAATATTATAATTAGTTAACCGAAAAGTGGACATGGACAGATTTGTTTGAGTAAATGTAAGTTATAGAAGTCTTTAACAAAATTTTGCAATTACTTCTTCGTCTTAAATTATGTGCTAGTATGTTTATCGATTACCCAGAAAGGAATAAATAATTTATTAGAAAACATAAGAAAATAAAACCTCAGCCACGTTTTTAAAAAATATTTCGAGTAAAACGGCAATTTATTTGGGACCTTTTTATATCAGAAGAAGCTACATATCAAAGTGTAAAATATTATGCCAACATTACCATTGAACTTATTTTATTTGGTAACACTAAATATACTTAAAAAGGCATATAGTAGTGACAACACTAAAATTTAAAAAAGTCTAAGTCTATACTTTCTATGTACCTATATAGGTATATGTATGATTGTCTCGAAGCCAAACAAACCAGCCATCTTGGGAAATAGCGGCAAAATTACGATTGGTGGTTCGTTTTAGCCAATGACCATATCAAAAATATGGAAGCGCCAAATTTGAATTAAATATTGAAACACTCAATTTATTCACTAAGCAGGAAATCTTCGATTACCTTATGCACAACAATATTAATAAGAATATTTGAAGTTGATTTTAAATTAGTAGCCTATACTTCTATTTTTTCCATCTCACAACTATACTATCATGTTAAATACTACAATTAATAACGATTCGCAAATTTTACTAAAGATGCGTCTATAAAGTTAAAATATTCTCTTAGTAATGGCCAGGGTATTAAGATGTCTACTTATTCTACGACTCCGGGGCCTTATTGAATTTTTTTAAAGACTTCATACTCAGATTCAAAAAATTACCAGGCGTAACTGAAAGGCTCATATTGTTGACAACGCTGTTTTTTCGACAGATTTGTTGCTTTAATAAACGCAATGAGAATGTAATACCGTCGGATTTTTGTGTTCCGATAGAAAGTAAAGCTTTCTAGTGCGAAGGAATAGTCCAATGGCGTTCTCTATTTTATAATAGCTAAAATAAGTTGAGTATAGTGGAATTACTAATAGGTTACCTTGTTTTATGGAACACAACTCGTCCCACGAAAACAATCTTATCTTTTCAATTTCAAACAGTTTTCGCATTGTATGCATTTCTTACTCATAATTAACGTCACGAGTTTTGGATAGCGATAAAAGTTTAAACTTTTGCTAAGTTTTATATTTAGAATAACTAAATATCCAATCAAAAAATCGACAGATACTTTTTCTGAGCTGCAGCTAAAGGAAAGAAAAAATATTAGTGATTAATACGGTTTTAAAGAGAAGCTGACGGTTTTATTGGGCGTTTCAAAAGTTCACACATAAGGCTCGGATTTTCTGAATATATTTTGTGTTTGTAATTTATCTTTCTTCCTTTGCCAACTTTGTCATTTTTGTATGAGATAGATAAATTATGGTATAAGAGATAATTTATTTATTTATTTATAATTTATAAAGATTATGGTATAAGGCCTTTTTAGAGGTCACAGTGTAATTAAATATGCGATTTCGGATTTTTAATTGACATAATTTTAGCCTTAATATGACCAACGACCCACGTTTACCAAATATCTCTTTTAATTACCTACAAGTAATAACAATTACAGAGTGGATTGTTCTTGTCGAGGACTAGTTAGGGTTTGAGAAGGCATCATATAAAGTCACTAACGTATACGTGACGTATTAACGTGAAATTATACATGAGAATATTTAGTTTTGTATAGGGAACTATGAATCACAAGCGGACCTCCTAATAAGTCATTACGTCATTTCTTGGCCATAGTTGATTGTGAAAAATGTAATGGCGTCGCCGTTACCTCCCTCCCCGCGCCATTTTCTATGATGCTCAAAATCGGCTGTGCCGATACTTGCAGGGATACATAGTACACACACATAGTAATCTCGTAAAAATGGTATTTCTTTATAACTAAAATACCTCATAATTCTGTTTCTTAATAGTCTAGTTATGTATTAGTCAGTTATTTATTGGGACCATCGTGTTTATTTATCCCATTCCTACATTTAATGTTAAGTTTATTGAAGCTTTCCCCTCTCGGTGACGCTGTGGAAGCCATTAGGATTAACAGCTTTAGTCAATTCGAAACAAAAATATTGAAGCTTAGAAGTCTTGTCTACTTAAATCTTGTCAATATCAGACTACAATCAAATGAAAAACATCTCATTATATACGAAAGTTGGTTATGTTTTTTGGAAGTCGAAATTTTAATCAACCAACATGAATGTAAAACATATTTTACAATACGTCCTAAAAGTAGAATAATTCTTTATTTTTAGTTCCATGGGGACATTTTGCATTTAGGAGTTAAAATTATCAAGAGTTATGTAATAAGTACCATTAGTTGAACCAAAAAATCTTTGCAAATTAAATCTTAATTGTGGTTTTCATAAGTCTTAGTCAAGTGCCAAGTAGAAGTAACTTGAGATCAAGTTTTTTATTTAAAGTTTTTTTAACAATTTAAATATGTACATATATATAAATAGCAACTAAATGTTCACAAATATTTATTAATAATTGCGTCATTCATTACGTCGTTATAATATTGGTATATAGGTATTTTTCTTTAATATTACATGATTTTCTTTCTATCCACAGAATAATGAAATTGCTTTCGTATAAGAGACAAGTTTAAAACCATATTACTATATACTCTTTCGATTTAGCAGATGAAATAAAAAAATCATAATAATTACAATGGTCTTTTTTATTAAATAAAAAAAAATACATCATTCTCAGTTCTATAAGTACGTTAACAATTTAGTAAACTTTTACCAAATCAACACTCCAGTCTAGCCTGAGATCAGAATGAAATGTTAAATGTGTCTTGTATTGTAGGTATATATATGATGGCGAGTGCAGGCGTTTGGGAGTGGAAACATCATGGGATCAATACAGAGTAACCTTAATATTATACCTACCGTTAACTTAACTAAAACCTTACATTATACATCATAATTGATTTACATTCATCATTAATGTCTACCTATAATATATTATAATACATCCTGAAATTAATCCAGATTATAACAAGTATTAAACATAAAATAAAATAGGCAGACAGTAATCTATAATTGTCACAGATTATACAAGAGAAAGGTATTTTTTTTTTTGCAAATAAATTACTTATCAATGATTAATGAAAACTAACGGCTAACTTGCGCATTCAAACTTTCACCAACTATTATACAGTGAAGATGCAGATCTTACTTTGTTATATAATTTGTGACACAACACAGCACACACAGGTCACAATTACACAAGGGAGCTAACACATAGAATGGTTACAAAAAATGGATATTTTAATGATTATTCATGTTTTATACACTGAATTTACAACTTACATCTACTTTGAATTTATTTAACTTCCATCATTATTAAAAATAACATGTTTAATTAGTAAAAATAATCAGATTAACTCTGGACCTCCTACGTCAATATTGGTAATAAGATTGGTTTTAAATGACATACAATAATGTACAGAATACTGCAACTACCTTGGAAGTGCATCACTGACAAAGCAATTCGGGGGTAATATTGTGAGTCCAACTTCAGCAACACTTCCAGGCTTTATTGTTATTTACCCTTAGCGGTAATGGTTACTGATGATTTAGCAGGCTGAGGTATTATTGTGATCTCGTCACTTATTTTGAGTGGCTTAAGAAGTGGATCACTCTCTGTGGGTTTGGCTGCAGGTGGGGTTGTTTTATTTTTATCAATAACACGTTTTGCAACAACACTGTGAGCAGAATATACATGATTCTCAAACTGCTTGTACATACCAAATGTTGCAGTACATACTGTGCATTTGTATGAGAGGTGGGCGGGCTTGAGGGTCATGTTGTGATCTCTGGACACGTGATTGAGCAACTTCCATTGATAAACCCTTCCACAGACTGGGCATCGGCCGGCATCCTTACCTTTATTAGCTGCTTCTTGCATAGAACTCGTTACCAGACCATGAGACCCAAGCAAGTGTCTTTCGAGCCCTTGGTCAGTAAAGAACCTGAATTGACACTTTTGGCAATTCAGGGGAGGTCTATTGTATATCATCTTAGGATGAATTTTAACTTTATGTATCCATTGCATATGGTTCCGTAACTGTTCCAAGTCTTTGATGTAGCCATCACATATTTCACATATCACAAAGGTAGCTTTAGAATTGTGAGTAGAATTCGAGGATGAAGGTTGTGGTGCTCGTGGCAGAGGTGTGATCGATATCTTAGGTGTAGCTGATTGATTGCCTTGATTATTTTGCATGATAGGATAGTTTGAGATGGTTGTTCCACTCGGTGGATTGTTGTGCATAATCATGACACCACTTCTGATGATAGGAACTCCTGCGACCGGAGCCCGGGCCGGAGCAGATAAAGGCGGGCGCCCTCGCGGTCTGCCAAGCACTGGCATACTGGGAACGACAGAATTTGGCAGATTCAAAGGAGGTCGCCCAAGAGGGCTCATTCCAACTTGAGATCTATTGAAATTAGATTGATATGGTGCAACAGCATTATTACGTGCTCTTGTAAGCTTTGGTATTTTAGCCGGCGGCTCCCACTCGATAGGCGGTCCGAGGTTGTACTCAGGTTTAAACTTCTTCGCGCACGCTATAAGATGGCGTGCCAGTTTTGTTTTGCTGTTATCTTCAAAGTGACAACTGGGACACTGCTGATAGGCCGGAGCTCTCTCTAATCTGCCTCGTATATTGTGCTCGGCTTCCATGTGGTATAATATGTCATGTGGACTTCGGATTTCGAAAGGACACGTATTACATTTGTAAATATTGTTCTTCATGTGAGGTGCTTCTAAATGATGAGCCATTACTAGTATTGATTCTGTTTTAAAACTACAAAATTCGCATCGTTTCTGTTCGAGAGCATAAGGAGCGTTAAGTTTCTTACTGTAGGCCAAATTCTGCGTAAGTGATGCTATAGCGCTTTCGGTTGCTTTAGTGCTGCGTCCGGATTTCTTTTCTTTGTAGAGTTTACGATTCTGAGTTTTTAATAGATCCGTCTGAACATATTCTTGAACCAAATTTATACCGATATTAATGAAAAACTGGCCTAAGGAACAATCAAAATAACTGTCTGTTTTTCCGGACTTCTTCATGATGTAACTCACAGGATCATACACTTCTTCGACTGTGTCGTCCTTATCCTTTATGACTACAGTGTCGTCATCACTCATGCCTTCTTCTTCGGACTCAGTTGATGACTCCCCGTCCCAGGAATCATCATCGTCTTCAGTCCTGCGTTTCTTCTTCTGTTTCTTCTCAAGTTTCTTCTCCTTGGCCGCTTCTTCAGCCACCTTCTTAGCTTCGTTTTCACTTTCCACCTCATCCTCAACCTCCTCGCCCCGAGCGATTCTTTCTTGCCTCAATTTATCTCTCTTATCTTTCTCTATCTTCTCCTTTTCCAACTTTTCTTGGTCTTCTTTCATTTTTATCTCCTCCAGCTCCTTGCCCAATTTGTCTACAAACTCTCTGAAGGGTTTTACTGAAGGCTTTTCATACACATAGGGTACAATAAATGATGGTGCCTCAACAACAAACATATCATCTGTCAAGGAAGGAAGAATATTGGGTTGGGAGGTGACTATGCTACTGTTCTGTATTTGTTTAGAAGTACTATTACTTTTACTACTAATGGGAGTGATTGTGGTACCTCTAGCAGCAATACTCTGACATAAATTCTGAGCATCTATAGCACTAGAGTTCATTTTATTCTGCATTTGTGTTGAAGTCTTCCCAGATAAAATAGAGTTTGTGTCAATAATAACAACCGTCGGTTCTTTGTTTTGTTCCCCATCATTTGGATCTGATTTATTCCCCAGGTCTGCCAAGCTTTTAGTGTCGTTGACAACAATTGATTTATTTTTATTTTGCTGGCATTGATTCAATGGATCCTCGATTGTAACTTCTTCAATATCAGATTCTTCTCCATTTTCACAGGGCTGTTCCTGCTTGTCTTTCTCCCCGTCTTTATTGCTTTGCTGTGAAGCGTCAGAACTATCATTGGAGTCACTACTAGAGTTAGATGATTCATCATCGTTAGTCACAACACAGTCATCCTCGTCACTCGTTATTTCATGGACTTCAGGGCTTATGGAGCCCCCATTCTGGTTCTGTGAGTCATTTTCATTTTCGTTTTCAGAGTCACTGCTGTCTTCCTTCGGCTGGCTTCCCTGGGATGTATCATCATCCCCTTCGGTGCGCTCATCTGTAATTACAAAATATACTTTGTATATTAAACAATCCTAAGTTATTTAATTAAATTTATAATCCTGATATTAGTAACACAAATATAATTATGAAATATCAAATTTAGTCATATAGCATTTGGTATTAATGTAACTTATGATTATTTATTCAAAGGCACTAAAATCCTGCACAGAATTCTGAATTTAAACTCACAAATTCTTAACTTATTATTTATTATTAATTGTAATGTTTGTAAGTATTTAATTAATGCAAACAAGAGTTTTATAAACTAAAATCAGTTTTTAAATTTCAAATTTTCATTAACAATTTACTGAAGAAATACAATATAACATTACACTAAATCCAAATTTTAAATTATAATACACATAATGTTTAATATAAGCAAACAATAAGCATACGCGAAAATACGATGCTTGAACGAAATGTAAGTTGAAAGTTAGTTTTATACGCTGACTATGTCTGGCGTCAGCGCTCACCAGACGCCAGAAAGCAAAAAAAAAAGTAGTACATAATATTAACCTAACGCAATTTAAGGTATACATTTAACCTAAAAATCGGTGTATTACGAAAGGAATTATTAAGTTTTCTATATTAGACCTGCTAATCATATACTTTCGTAAGTTATGTAGCGTCATTAAATCATGTGGAGTAAGGACCGCCATATGGGATTCCATGGCATTACTCCGAAAACATAGTTCCTCATGTTTGATCACAAATATATTATAACACACGAAAATTTTATTAATTATAAACGTATTTATAATAATTATGTACCTGTAGCAGTAGATATAGACATTTTCCAGAGATTTTAAACGAAAAACCAAAAAAATAGCACAATAGCACAGTAGCGGAAACCAAACCAAATCAAGCTGTCAATTTAAAAGGTTCTTAACAACGTCATTTTCTGGCCATAGAAGAGACGCGGTGTTTGATTATTTTATTCTATGATCAAAATATTATGAATCTAATATTACATTACAATTATCATAACTTTCTGTTATAAAATTTTTCTTATTTTTAATGCGATTTACTTAAAATTTGTTTTAAATAAAATAAGATTTCGTTTCGAAAACCGACACAAAAAAGACCTTTCTTAAAAAAGTGGAAGCGAAAGAGATCTCAGAGGGGAAAGGACGCGGAATTCTAATGAATAGATTATATATGAAAATAACGATACAGAATAGTAAATCTTTAGACGAGTTAGAAAAATATTATAATTAGCACAACTTTTATAATAATTTTGTATACATTTTGATATACTTCTTTTAATTAATATTTTTATTCCATTTTCAAATATTGAAACATTTATATTTTTGTCAATGAGCCGAACAGCGAATGTCGCAATATATACACATAATAGTAAACTTAAGAATATATGTTATTTTCATGTACATGTGTATATTTGTATGTAATGTGTATAGAAACCCATCTTGAAAAATGTTACTCAAAACTATATTCCAAAATATTATATGATTCATCTGAGGGTATATTTAGTCTAATTTATTTGTATATTCTGAATTTAGATCAATTTAAGGATCTGATTTAACTTTAGAGAAATAATTTGAAAATATATATTTTTGAATATTCGAATCTATGGTAAGCAAATCGACGTATAAAAGATTTATACCTTTCCTCCTCAGACATATTGTAATCAGTATGTTGGAAAGGGACAGCGTTACTATTAAACTAAGGGTCTAATAAAAAAGCATTAAAAGTGATAAAAATAGATTTTATTATTAACGATGTCAATTAAAACAATAAATATAAACTGAAAGTTATGTATACATAAATATTGATTAGTCACACACATATAATATTAATCTTCTTCTTCAACAATCTCTTCAACGAGAGATGAGTCTGGTTTTCTTATAACTCCCATCAGCTCTGCCTCTGCCAAACATTTTTCTGCCAACTCTTTAGTTCTCTGTTGCTCGGGCTCTGTTAGTTTTGTTAAGGCCATCAATATTTCCATGATGTCAGTTTCAAATATTCTACTAGAAGTATCTACATCATCTTTAATAATATTGTGCAGCATATAAGCACCTCTGTATTGTATCTCATTATTTGGATTCGCTAGTAAACATCTCAAGGTTTCCAACCAAGACTGTAGATCAAGCAATTTCCTGCAGCATATTTTACTTACAGATGTTAGAATACATAATGCACCGACCGCTGCCATTACTGTGTCAACATCTTCTTCTTGACAAAGTACATACAGATACTTTGTTTTGTCGTTTTTGCCCTCATAAGTCTTCACAACTTCCTCTGATTGGAGCATATTACATACACATTGTGTTGCAGCTCTTTGCAACATCATGTGGTCTTCAAATAAGTAGTGTTCTATTTTCGAGAGGCCACCCTCTTTCAATATTCTATTTCTAGTCGTTTCATTCATACCAGCCAGATTACAGAGAGCCATGAGTGCTTCAAAGTTTTCTAAAGCTGTGCAATCTGGATGCAGTAAGGCTATTAACGGTCTAACTACCTCTAAATTCCTCTGTCCAGGATAAGCAACTTCTGGGTTTATTGTTATTCCAATTCTTGCCAATGCTTGGGCTGCCTGTTTCTTTCCATTGTTAGTTCCTTCTAATGCCATTGGTATTAATACTTTAGCACCACCTTGTTGTACTACAATCCCTCTCAATTCTTGCAAACTGCATAAAGCATTAAACACCCTTGCAATTAACTCTCTTGAATTATGACTCTCGGTTTTGGATAATGCTACTAAACCAGTTGTTACACCAGCTTTGCAAAGTATTGTTAATCTCTTGTTGACGAAATCAGGATCATCTAGTTCATGTTGTTCAGGAATATGATGTTTAGCAAATTTAGCAAGTTCTAACATTTCCGGCATTACTTCCTGTTTCTCATATGCATTGCATAAGTTGACCAAAGTTGTTACTACACCATATAAACAGGATTGGTCCCCAGACTTTGCCAATTCAATGAGTGCTTGAATTGCTGGTTTGTCATCCACAAGTTTTTCTTTTACATCTGCATCCAATGTCAAGTATGAGAGCCCTTCGGCTGCCCACTTTCTCATATCTTTGTCTTTTGCTGGGTTAACCAGAAACTTTCTACAGGCCTCTGCCAATTTTTTAGTAGAACCATCAGCGAAGGGGCGTATGGATGCATCATCACCACCAAAACTGCCAATCTTGCATAGACCAACCAGAGCTCTGACTCTAACAGCATCATTTTTACAGGAATATAATTTTTTCAAAATATCAACCCCTTTGTTTATAATGGTTCTTGCTTTGTCCTTCTTTGAGGCAGCGGCTATCAAACACTCGCAGGCAACCCTTTGCTGTAATGGGTCTTCAGTTTGTGCCATCACCAAAATCATATCTATTATGCCTTCTTTGGAGATAACATAATTACCAACATCCAGTGGTCCTCTCAATAGGGATGTTATGGCCACAGTCACTCTTACTTTAGACTCAAGGTCAGGAGAAAGAAGTTTATCCTTTATAAATTCATCAACATGGCCATTGAAGTTCTCTCTTGCTTGATCATAGTACATGTTTTCATATACCCTGGCTAAGCACGCTGCTGCTATAGTTCTTGATGAATCAGTGATATTCATTGCAGATTCATATTTATAATCTTCCAATTCACTGCAAACTTCAAGAAGGCGCTGTAAACCTCTTATTTCCACAAACCGTTCAGCCCAATTAAGAGTTGTGAAGTGACAGTTTCTCATAATTAGCTCTATAATAGCATCTCTGGCTTGTCCTGTGATGACTCTGTTAGTGATAGAGTAGGTGAGGCATGTTAATAATGTGTCTATCTCACTCTTGTACTGCTCGCATAAACTGGGGTCGGGTTTAGTTTCTTTCTTAGTGTCCATACCAGAAAATGTATTTAATATAACTTGCAGACAGTACTGAGCAGCATTCACTCTCTCATCATAATCACTATCTATGATTTCTAAGAACCAGGGTATACCAACGGTTTTGATAACGTCAGTAGTTCTCTCAACACTTCTCTTACACAGCTGACCGATCACTCTTATGCAGTTAACATAAATTTCTTGATTCTTTTCAACCTTCAGAAGCTTTTGTATTTTATGAACAACACCATTTTTCATCATGATATCAGCGCCTGTAGATTCTTTTGCCAAAACTATTAAGTTTGCTACAGCTTTCTCACGTTTACTCTTATCTTCACTAATATCAAAAGCTAGTTTGAACATTTGCTCTACTTTATTACTTGTTTGAGCTGCACTTTTTGCTCTTTCTTGAACTACAGCATATAGACGCCCTAACATAGGTTGAATGGCTTTGTTAGCTGGATCAACAGTTAATATAGTTTTTGCATCTCTATATGCTTCTTCGAAACGTTCAAGGCTTTCCAACGCCTGAGCGCGCCGAAACAGAGCCTTGGGGTCCTCAGGCACAATTTGTAGGGCTTCATCGCAATCTTTTATTACCATTTTATAATCTTTTAGCTTGAGATAAGCCGCCGCGCGGTTTTTCAGGTAGGTTGCTAAATCTCGAGAATCTTTTTCAGCTAAATTAATAGCTTTGCTATAAAGAGATATGGCTTCTTCATACTTTTCACTTTTAAAGGCTTCATTGCCTTGATTTTTAAAACCCTCCGCCTCTTTGGGATTAATCATCGTTTAGTTTTCAATGACAGTTTATATTGCACTGAAGTTTGACTCGAAACACATTAGCTTTTATATTATTAGTGAATTTTCTAGCAAAACCTCGCACATGCTCGAAGATCCAATTTAAAATAGAACATTTATTTATATCTGGGCTACTGAGGAATACGTCTCATGTTATATACGAATAAAGACATTGAAGTAAATATGACACTGACAAAAAAACGTCAGTGTGTTATGTTTATTATTAATAATGTTTATTTATCTTTTTTACTGACTACCACTTTATTATAAATAATAAAACTATAATTTTATATTTATACTCTAATATGTTGTAAAAAGAATTTATAGACATTTCTGACTACAAGCAGTCCGAATCTTGCTCACTGTGTAATGAATTTCATAAGTTTAAGTTTACAATAGGAAGACAGAAAAGGAATTACTTATTTAACTTACGAAGGAAATTTATATATTAAGTTAAAGTTTTTAAGTATGCGCCCTTATAGTATTGAAAAACTTTACTTTTAAATTTTTTGTTAGGTATTATTATTTTTTTTAATTATAAAATATTCTCTTTCATGCAACATATCAGAACCTTTTTCTATATTTAGTTTCAGTGGACCATTTATCTTACATTTTAAGCAAAAAATATGAAATATGTATAAAAAAATAAATAAAAAGATGTTCCATGAAACCTGAAATGCTCAAACCTGATTGTGTTCCATCTTTATATTTGAGTGAAACAACAGGTGATAATTAATTGAAAATTTTTTTTTTATTTACAATTTTAAAAAATAAAATAAAGATGCTAAAAATCAGACAAAGTGAGGTAAATGTAAAGCTGTATATGACATTAGGAAATAATAAATTATCCAGTAGGGGCTCATAGCGTCTTAACTACGGTACTATTTTGAGAGAGATAAAGATAGACCGAAACTTCCTTTCCACTCTTTCTTTCGGAGGGCCACAATTCTCATCTCTAAGGCATGTCCATTAGTTATGTCGATGCATGAAACAGTACATCATTGATAGTCAAGTCTATGGGTGAAACTTTATTGTAACAGGGTTGTCTATTACTCTTTGCTCTTTTAGTTTTATAATCTATATGAGAAAACATATTACCGTGTGATCACTTGCCTTATCCTTAGAAATATTTCATAAAATACAAACTACAAAATGGCAGCAATAAGCTTATTAAATCCTAAAGCTGAGTTCGCTCGTGCCGCTCAAGCTTTAGCTGTAAATATCACAGCTGCGAAAGGAATTCAAGATGTAATGAAAACTAACCTCGGGCCGAAAGGCACCATGAAAATGTAAGTTACAATAAAAAGTGCTACTTCTCTGGATAATTCCACATAAAACTTAATATTTTTGTTATAACTTATCTTTTCGTCTATAATTTTGATACTTTTCTTTAGTAGTTCCATTAATATCGACGTTTTAAAAGTCATGTGTTTCGGGCCGGATGCGTAATTTTTTCTATTTTGTACAGGTTGGTGTCCGGCGCGGGGGATATCAAGATAACTAAGGATGGGAATGTTCTGCTCCATGAGATGCAGATCCAGCATCCCACTGCGTCTCTGATAGCCCGCGCTTCAACGGCGCAGGACGACGCCACGGGAGATGGCACAACCTCCACCGTACTTCTCATCGGAGAACTGTTGAAACAGGCTGATATTTACATCAGTGAAGGTTAGTTTTAACCTCTTACCATAAATGTGAGATTTTCCTGTATATTTCTGTATGTATAAGTGTATAATAATATTATTTATAGGACTCCACCCAAGAATTATAACCGAAGGTTTTGATGTAGCTAGAAACAAGGCTCTCGAAGTTTTGGAATCCATGAAAATTCCTATCGAGATCAAAAGGGAGAACCTCATTGATATTACCCGTACTGCTTTAAAAACAAAGGTATATACTGATATTTTGTATATTTTCCTTGCATGTCCCTTACCTTTCTTTGTATATGTTTGTTTTAAATTACATATATTTTTATATCATCAGGTACATCCGAGTCTGGCTGAAGTTTTGACTGATGCTTGTGTCGATTCAGTACTGGCTATCCGAGTTGAGGGTAAACCAGTTGATCTTCACATGGTGGAACTGATGGAAATGCAGCACAAAACAGCTACAGAGACTACACTTATTAAAGGTATAACTCAATGATATACCACATTTATTACTACTAACATGATATTTTTAGCAAAAAATACGGGAATCTATAAAAATTTTAAGGGTTATAAGACAGCGATAATATTTCAACAATCTTTTACAGGTCTGGTATTGGATCACGGAGCCCGTCACCCTGATATGCCGAAACGTGTAGAAAATGCATACATCCTGACTTGCAATGTTTCACTGGAGTATGAAAAGACTGAGGTCAATTCTGGCTTCTTCTACAAGTCCGCTGAAGATAGGGAGAAGCTTATTGCAGCTGAGAGAGAATTTATTGACCAAAGGGTCAAGAAGGTATGCACATTTAGAAATTTTGTTAAATCATATACTAAATTTGTATACTGTGTGAGGTATTTGTAAACTTCCTGTATATATTTATCAAACAATAAATTTTTCAGATTGTAGCTCTAAAGAAGAAACTTTGTGACGGCACTGACAAATCATTTGTGGTCATCAACCAAAAGGGTATTGATCCCCTTTCCTTGGATGTACTTGCAAAGGAGGGTATCATTGCTCTTCGTAGGGCTAAGAGACGTAACATGGAGCGTCTGGCGCTCGCCTGCGGAGGCATCGCTATGAACTCTGTCGACGATTTGACTGAAGAGTGCCTCGGTTACGCCGGTCTTGTGTATGAACATATCCTTGGTGAAGAGAAATACACTTTTGTAGAAGATTGCAAGAATCCACAGTCTGTAACCATCCTAATCAAAGGCCCCAACAAACACACGCTCACGCAAATTAAGGATGCTGTGAGGGACGGCCTCAGAGCGATCAACAATGCCATTGAAGACAAATGTCTTGTACCTGGCGCTGCTGCGTTTGAAGTGAAGGCTAACAACGAATTATTGAAGTTCAAGGACACAGTTAAGGGGAAGTTGCGTTTAGGCATACAGGCTTATGCTGAAGCATTATTGGTGATTCCAAAAACATTGGCCGTTAACTCTGGATATGACGCTCAGGACACCATCGTGAAGCTACAAGAGGAATCCCGTTTGAACCCTGACCCTATTGGATTGGATCTTAGCACTGGTGAAGCGATAAAACCAATTGATTTGGGCATCTATGACAACTATATTGTTAAGAAACAAATCCTTAACTCTTGTTCAGTTATCGCTAGCAACCTCCTACTTGTGGACGAAATCATGAGAGCCGGAATGTCCAGCCTTAAGGGCTAGAACATGGCATTTAAATTCACATATTTCATTTTCTTTCACAATGCATTTTAGGATAATACTTGTTTTAAATGTATTCCAATAATACACACTAATTATAAATGTAACTGCTTTGAGAGCTTAATAAAATAAACCATACTAGTTTGATATTTTATTTATATCCTTACATAATATCGTAAATATATTTCTATATAGATTTTTTCTTAACATAAAGTTTTACAAAAAATTAAAAAGTTCATAAAATGCTGGTTAACATGGTCAGTTAGTATATGAGATAAATATTAGTATCTGACTAGATATTCCATTGAAGTCAACAAATTTCAAGAAATAATATCACATTTTGAAACAGAAAATATAAAAAAAATCAGTTATGATAAGAAATGTAACAAAAACATTAATAAAGTGGAACTCTTTGAGATATATTCTAATGTAACAGGAACAACTCCTAACACATACATATATTTTTTCTATGACACTAAGTCATACATCTAATAATTATTATAAGTAAATGCTTTAAGACAACACCAAAATAGTGCAGAATAACGTTACAAAGACTCGAAAGCCTACAAAGCTACCGTGACACCTACATATACTAATGAATTTTTGGCAAACATTTCAATACACACAAAAATTTTGAACTTCTATTAAGGTAAAACAAAAAAAATCAACATATTTTTCATCTACAACAACAAATGCGTTAAATTCATACAAAAATAAAAATTCGAGTTACGGAAGCTTTCAAAGTTAGGACAGAGAGAAATATATAAACTAGCCATCTTTCTTAACGAAAGCGGCGCGTTCATTACAATCAATAATTGACAGGTTGATGGAAGCAACAATGCCGTGTAGAACGGATATGGCCGCCTTCACTACAGCGATGGGCATTGAAATCAGAGCCAGCAGTTTGAATAAACCGATACCAAACACTGAAACAAAAGAATCATTTAAATATAACATACATTTCCTTTATTTTAAAATTTTTACAACCAAAGAAATAAAATGTTAATAATCATTATAATAAATGTATATATAATTTTTTTATACATAAAATATATAAAGAGTAGTTCTGAACCCACCACAAATAAATGTAGGAAGAGGCAAAGAAAGAAGATATAGAAGTGGTTCTAATTTTCTGAATATCACTCAATTATCTCTTTTACTTTTAAAGAAAATTATAACATATCAATGTAATGGCCATTGTATTTTTAATATATTATATACATAAATAAATCTAAGCTACAGTATATACTACATAGAATACTCACCGATTGGGCCAGTATAAAAGTACATGACATACAGTGCAGCATAGAACATTTCGTTTCCGGCACACATGAAGAATAGTACATTTTTGTTTGTATAGTACAAATGCATGATGGGGTTGTCCGACATATCAACAAACTTGTGGGATGTCCTCCCTTGTAGTGTTACAGTATGAAGGTAGAGCCAGTGGCAGGTGATGTCAATTGCCAAGGAAATTTGAAGCCAGAAGGTATACTTTGGATACAAAGTAGCCAGTGTCATCATAAGGCCGGCGGTTCCCGCTCTATCTGTTAGCTGATCCAGCATCGCCCCAAACTTAGTACCTGGTGAAAGTCATGAATATCTTCAGAAGGTAAACGAACTAGTAATGTAGTCGTATAAAGAGTAATATATATTGTAGTAAAGTTTGGAAAAACATTGTCAGTTCAAGAACATGTAATTATGGAACAGAGATACATAATTTTATTTGTTTTAATTCCTTTAACACATTTTCCAACCAAAACTTACTCCAGTATTCAAAACATCTAATTAACTCATTTATTATTCAAATTCTTATTGTCATAAAACACATATCATAAAATGTTTGCAAACATTTTAATCATTGTTAAATTATTATTAATAGTTTATTGGAGGCATATTTTTAACTTGATATTTGCAATTAAAATTAAGTTCATGACTGTTAAGTTAAACATTGATTAAACTTTTCTATGAAAAATTACATATAGAACCATTGCAACAAAGATATCAGAATAAGTTTTCTTTGAAGACATAATAACTACATATCGGAATTTATTCACAAATAACTTTTGGGCCACACTTTGCTTCATACTAATAATAGTCCTACTTGTATAGAATACAATATGTTTAGCTATGTGTATGAGTTTCAAACTCAAATATATTTATGTAAATATTAATCAGAAAATAGAAATAAAATGATGATGTTTCACAATAACTCTGCTATAGCCAGTACCAAAGAATATATGTACATTGTAATCTAAATAATCTTTATTAAATTTATATATAATATGTACATCAGATATAAACAGAAAAAAGCTAGAGGTTTTTATAATATTTATTGTACCCTTTATTTAAGTGAGATGCAATTAATGTTATAGAAATATTTATTAAACTGCTTTTATTAATCATGTCTTATCCTTATGCTTGACAAGAAAATGTATTTCCGAATAAATTAATATCTGCTATATCGCCTTATTTTTTTTTAAACAGTTCTACAGATATTAGGGACTATTATAAATAAAAAGCAGTAAAATGTACGGTTTAAATCTAGATCAATAAGTAATTGGGCGTTTACCTAATTCAATTATGCGAAAGATTGATCTTTTACTTACTTTGATTAAAGTATCGGGCTGCATGTCCATCGAAAGCATCAAGAAGAGCTGATGTAACGTAGCAAGTACACGCCAAGATGCAGTGTGTAGGCATAAAAAAGAAAGATATAATTGCAAGGATCACTCTTGCAAAGCCTGAAATAAATTAAGTAAACAATGTAATGACGTCTCTCACTAAAAAGTCAAAACATTAAAGTAATTATTTACCGATCAAGTTAGGAACGAAGAGAAATATGTTTTCCTTGGTTTCGGACATTTTTAAGTTAAATTAAACACCAATTCAATATAATGAGAAATTCAAATGAGTGAGTGAATTAAATTTGTCTGAAACACTCTCCTATCAACTTCAATGAACGATGATAATGGATTATGCTAAAGATAAAAAGACGAAATTGTTACCATTTCTAAAAAACATTTTCTCCGAGAGGCAAAGTTAAAGTTATTAGTTACCTAGAATGCCTATAGTTACTTGAAAATCCCCCTTTTGTAGGAATAATTAATAAATAAAAAAAACAATTACACTTAAAACAACAAATTTTCTTGTTCCATTTCTTTGGGAACCTTAATATAACTTAAAAGAATAATTTTCTTTTAAAATATATTTTGTCCCTATTTTAAAAGTTTCTAATAAAGCTCCAAAAATTGTTAAAAAACTTTTATATAGGATAAATTTAATTTTATTTAAGGGAAAACCTGAGAACTTGGGAATCCTGTAGGTAAATTGTAAGCTATCTGTTGACGGTTAATTAATTAGATTTATAGACTATATTTATGACAAGATATTTATAAATGTATACGTAAAAGAGACAAATGATATAATACATGGTACAAATACAATAATGTATTCAGTTATTCACTTAAGTTTTTAATAAAAAAAATTGTTGTTTATTATGTACATACTCATCAAAGGCAGGAAAATTTATACACAGAAGAATTTATTTATACAGAAAATTAATATTAGGGTAAAATATAACTTATCTTATGCATAACTTATGAAAAATATATTTGTATTTTTATCTTAACTTTAAAATGTTAATCACGAATAATGGATATAAAATGTAACTTCTTTAAAAAACTTTCCAGCAAATGTTGCTGGCTGAAAAAAATAGACAAAAATACTGGTCTTTTATCTTTTCCGTGCGAGGGCGTGAGTGAAGCGAATTTAAAGACATCTTATTGTAGAAATGTGTCGAAAATGAAGAATCCAGTTATGCCAAAGTTCATAACTGTAGATATATCTAAGATAGATTCTTAAAAATGGCATAACAATCAATTTATTTCATATATTTATACCGGTAGAAAGTAATTGTAGTGTTTAAAAGTCATAAGACTTGTGTCATCTGTCTGCTCTTCCTCCAAGATGGCTCCTCCACCGGAGTATGATAAGGAACCGAAAGCCCCGGATAAAAGTGTCACAACTTTGTCCACTGACGATCCGAAGATACTTTACAATCACCTTAAAGATCAGCCTGCGAATACAGACTCTAAAACCTCGACAACCACTGGGGGAGCCATCACCGAAGTAGAGGTAAGTTGACCTTTTTTCCTATTTATTGTTGCAATTATTAAATGTTTATGGTAATTAACATTCAGTAATCTACGTAATTACTCTACGTGTTGATATTTAATAAATATATAACGAGGAATTAAAGAATAATAATGATGCAAATGTAATAAAAATGGCGAATGATGAACGATAAAAATAACGAAAGGATTATTGTGAGATGCTACTGAGATTGCAATAAGTGCAGTTATTGACACGATTACAGTTATTAATACATCTTCAAGGAGAAATGCGACTAATTTATATATATTATGATTCAAGTCTGGAAAATAAATCATGTTCCTAATTAACAGGATATCAAATACCATAAATAATCCATAATTCATTAGGGACAAATTATTATTTATTGCTCTGCTACAGTTGTGAAACCTATATACAGACACATGTTACACATTTCTATATAAATAGCTGTTCCGCTTTATATTGATTTTAAAATTGCAAAACATCTCTTTCATTGCCTTTTAAATTGCTCATGAAAATGTTAAATTGCTTGCGTTTGTTTTTATGTACATGACAAAAAATATTATCAATGCATGTTGTTTAATAGGTTTTTGAAGCTATGTGACTGTTACCAACCAATGCCATTTTACATAGTAAAATGGAAAAAAATATGAAGCTTTTAAATTAAGGGCTGAAATAAGATGAAAATTGCTTTGTTTCCAAAATTTATTGACTATAAGTACCCTACTTTGTTACATTATGAGATATGAGAGAAATATATTCTTAACAAACTAATTTATTCCTTTTAACAAGAATATTGAAATTTTATGAAAAACAAATGAAAAATTGGAATTAATAAAAATATTCTCTCCAAGCACCCAAGTGCTCAAATGTTGTTTAAATGAGTTTCTTAATTAATTTGATAATTAAATTGATAAAAGTGGCTTCATACTAATGTTAGTTATTTTCATAATTTGCCTTTTCTTTATTTATTTCTCTCCTATAATAAAATTTGTATTTACAAATGATTTCAACATACAGATTACATTCAATAAGAACTTTTGTAAAACAGATTTTAGATCCTAAGTACAGATACATAATTTAGATGTTGTTTGGAAGCTAAAATATGAATATATGCAGGTTAAAAGTGTAAATATTATGACTTTATTGCTTTACACAAGTGAAGCGTGAAATAAGCAATATTTAACACAAAAAAAGTACTCAAGTCTTATAACCAAATATTTATGTATTGTTATATATGTAAAGTATAATTTTTATATAACATGTTACACGAAGTAAAGTTGTATATAACTTAAAATTCTTCATACAAAAAATTAGAACATTTCTTTCCCTTTTTTATTACTTTCTTATATTTAGACAATATATGAGTAAATGGAATAAACTTAATATCTCCTAAATACATAATATTTGTACATCTATATAAGTAAATGTACATTTACATCATTGTTTATGAAACAATTACATAAAATGTTATCACAGACACATTAAAAGCATTTTAATGTAAATATTGTTTGATAAAATTGTAAAATTAAAATTAGAAACTCGATCCATACTAGCAAAGTCATTCTATATTGATATTTTAATACGACATAAGATTATAAAAAGGTTATTTTTCCGTCGCTTAAAATAAACTGCATGCCATTATTCCGTTTCATTGTCATGGTAAACAAAGATTAAATTCATATTGTTAGGAAAAATAACTTCTAAACATAGTTATGTATAAGTTTTTTATAATTTATAAAGCATATGATGTTTTTTAAATCATCTTAAAGTATAGTTGGTTCGAATGCATTCAAATTTAATAATGTAGATTCAATCTTAAGTATTGATCATGAAATAATGTTACTTGTTAGTCACCGATTTTCTTTTTTGTCAATTACCTTCAAAGATAAGTTTCAAGGAGGCAAAAAAATTGTCTAAACAGTTTTGTTGTCTGTCGTCAACATTTAAAAGAAGTGAATCATACTGTTATTCTTTATTGAAAACCAATATTCTTATATTGAATTCAGCATTTGGTTAGATTTATGTATAGAAGAATAAACAGGGGTATTTAAATACACCTTCAAAGGCATAATTTTCATCAAAATATTATAGTAAGTCTCTTCTCTATAAACACTTTAGTTAGGTACCTCAAAGTATAAATAGCTCTATAAAATATTTGTGTGACATGTAAAGGTTTGGTAACATATTTCTGGAGATATATATGTGTAAACATATATACATATGACCCATATACACACATTACTTTATTAATATTTTTTATAACAATACATCACTGTATATATTTAGCAGTATTGCTTAGTATACAATTTTTTTTGTTTACGAATTTAATTACAATGTACATTATAATATTAACAATGTTCTTCTCTGAATTGGATAAGCTATGTTACATTATTTGCTTACATAGACAATGCCCTATTGTGACAGTCAGCCCTTTTAAAATATTTTCTTATCTAATTGTCATTATTGTTGTCTGGCAATTTTGTTGCTCGTAATTTTTGGCATACATTTTATAGCTTCATAGAATTTAGTTCAATGCACATGATTCATAAATGTGACAAAAAAGTATATATAGATATGAAATATTGTGTAATTTTTTTTTGATAGTTCTTTATCATAAATTCAAATCAGTATATAATAATTAAATAATTAACAGACTTTGATTAATTGGCAACAAAATACGAAAATACATATTCAATTTTTATAAATAATTCAAAAGCATATTTTTTAAAAAGGAATTGAAAAACAACCTTTCTCATTATCGTGCTTAAAAAAAACAATTAGTGTGGTTTCTTTTTCCGGTTGGTGGTTGCGACATAGATAGAGAGGCCTGTGGTGGACAGAACGAAAAATACCTAGTGTCGGTTTACATTGAAACAGAAGCTTTACATTTGTCTAGAATTATGTGGTAGATTGGCATCCTTAATTGACAAACAATCGCAAATACACGTAACTAGACCTTCGTTATATACAAACTTCTTTGTTAAATATATTTATTAAAAAAAAATACGATAAATGATTTAGAATAGAATCTTTATTAAGTGAAAGTCTGAACACGACACCGTATGTTTGTTACACTTTTTATTTTTTTTTGTTATTTTAAATTAATTTTACGGTTTCTCTATAGTTAGAATTCTGAACGCGATACAACTGAATAAATCTCATTTGACTGATATACGTGTAATAAAAGGCGACGAATAGGAACGGCGTGAAATCTAATCATATATTTGTGTACTGATAGTATGAATTCAATTTAGCGGTAATATTGATTATATTCGTACAACCCCCCGGTTGCTAACCAAAAATATGATATTGCAAATTATTGTTTGTATTTTGCCGCGTTAAATTATGTGGGTCGCCATGTTGTTTTTCTTTTTTTTTTTGCTAGACGTAAGCAAGACACGTCAAAATAGTCGATTTATTATTTAATGAGTCAGCCAATGAGTAGGAAGATGGTGATGTATTTTTAACGTTCGCGAGCGTGATCATTGTAACGCATGCACTCAATGACTCGTTATGTTTGAAAATTGTAAAGGTGTAAAATAATATCACAGATAGAATTCGTTTATATATTAAAAATAAACCATAATCGACTTAGTTGAACCGCGTTTTGATATTTAAATTATAATTATTATAGTTCTTTTCAATGTAGGTACATTTCTAATGGCTGCCATACTGATGTGTAATAATAATGACAAATACTAGCTAGCACCTTGCATAGTTGTTTTTTTTCTTATTGAGGGTAGATGTAGATGATATTACATTTGGCTCGAGTCCAACACTGCAGGTTATCGCAAACGTATCTAGCGCATCTTTTCGTTACAAAATTTCAAAATAATTCTTAAAATAAATTGCCAATTACGCTGACTTTAAATTGTGATGTATACGAAGGATCATTATAATATTTGAGGTATGGATATATTGATTTTATTTTTTTAGTTACTATGTGAATATTTTTTATAAGTTTTGTTTGTGAAATCAATTTTTTTCTCCACGTTTTTTTTTTGTGTTTGAATTCAAACTGATTTTAAATTAGCTTTTTACGTGAATTTCATTAGTGTAAGCAAAATATCTGAAAGGAATTTACTCGAATGGATTTAATAACATGAATTATACAATAAAATAAGGTCTTCAGATACGAATTTGACTAATTGAAATGTACATGAACGGCTTCATGAAAGAATATTTCACAGTGACATCATATAACGATCGTTACTTTTATACTAAAATGTGTTTTCATTATGTACAGTTTTAAAGAATATATGTATACTTATTTACTTTTATTAATATATGTGCAATCTTTTCTGTTACGATGACCCTTCTCGGAAATTCAATTTTGTCGTAATGCAATAATCGTGTTCAACCTATGAAACAAGTTGAGGGTATATCTTTAGAAGAAGTTATAATAATTCTATAAAGGTATTAGCTTCTATAGTGTGTATTGTACATTCTAGAAAATTCCAAAGTAATATCTTATTTTATTACTTTTTTAAAATGATAAATTTAATTTCTTTTATAAATTGACTTCGAAATATTGTTTTAAGGTGAAGCCATGATGTAATGTAAATTGGAACAACGCTGAATTTTTAATTAAATTTTATGTATACTAATGATATTTTGTTGTTAACGTTAAATCGGCAAAAACACGTGTTCTATAAAACAGTCGATAGTTTGAAAATGTACGCCATGCGGTGATGTTATTTCATATACGAAATATAGGTTACTATTAAATTTTATTTGTCACATAATATATATAATGAATACAGTTTAAACATTCGGTTAGATATGATATAGTCGTGAATATACGTCGTGCAATACACAAGTAACAAGTACGTGGACGGTCGCCTCGCAAACAAGACAATGAGAATCGATCCACGTAATTCCCGGACGTCCTACCGCGCCTGGCTGACCCTGACCCAGGCTTGAAAACCAACCCCCTACAAGGGGCACGGTGACGGAATCGATGGCGGAATTTTCCATCGGAGTGATGTCATTATAAAACAATCAGAATGACTTTAGTATATCGGCAATAAATATAATGAACGATGTAAAATATTAGGTGTAATGAAAAAATTTGTATCGCGAGACAGTGTGTCGCGTAAACGTTATGGAATTTGGCTCGCATCCACTCATGAGGGAGTCGAGACCTGAGCAGGCGTACGGTCTTGTGAGGAGACAAAATATAATGGCGTCCAATCAAAAGCACGCTCTCTGAACTCGGAAGATCCGTTATCTCACAGAAGAATTTTTACCGTTTTATTTTTACAGCGATTTGTGAATGCTCTTTGCGTGATTTTAGTAAATTCGTTTTGTGAATTATTAGGTTTTTTCTGCCGTCCGTCGTCGAATAGATAGTCTTTTAGTTTTTACGAAAATATCCCATACAAATTAACATGTATTAAATGTAAAGCAATAGTTTGATGTTAAGTATGAATGGTTTGAATAATCAAGTATTGCATGGGTGCTCAAGGTAAATTATTGTTGTTTTCTCATTGACTTGCAGCCCCGACTGTTACAAACTTATAAACATTCATTGTATATAATAAATGCATAATTACGTAAATCTATGTTAATATAATTACTTCTTAGTCTCGCGATCAAATGTATATTCAAATTGATATTTGACTTGATAAAACGTGATATTATCTCTTAGATTCTAAGACTAGTCTAAACACCCGGTTTTGAACATATATTCTTTTTTTTATCGAATTGTAAATAAAATATCAGTTTTAAGCTTTTTATGTTTTTATATCATTATATCTAACAATCGGCGTATTAACATAATGTTGCTAAAAATTACATATATATTTATAGAATGTAAACATTTGTACGGTACTAGTCATCTCGTTGCTGATTTAAGAGTTTATTTTCAATCAAATTGGTCATAAATGCTTCGGTCCAACAATACCTGTAATGAGTGCACGGACGCAGGTTACGTCTTCCATAAAGAAACAAGACTAACATGTAGTATGAGAATGCTAGCAGAAAATATGGTTCCCTATATATTATACATACTAGCTTTCCGCCCGCGTGGAGTTCGGTTATATCGCGTTTCCAAGAGAACCTTTCAAAAGTCTGCGATAAAAACTATCCTGTTCTTTCTCAAGGTCAACTCTATATCTGTACCAAATTTAATTTAAATCAGTTCAGTGGTTAAGGCGTGAAAGCGTAACAGACAGACAGACAGACAGTTTTACTTTCGCGTTTATAATATTAGTAAGGATTGATTTGGTCGAAACGAAACAGTTGTCTAGAATACAATGTGACCGGTTCAAGGTTTAAACATCAATAAACAATCCGTCAGACATTTTGTTTGTAATGAGATATGAAAAAGAAAAAAGTATAAATTATCTGATTAAATGCAATGAGGTTTTATTGTATGTAATTTTGAATGTCATTGGTATAATGAGTGAAGTGTTTGCCGTGACAGTGATGAGCAGCTTTTGTATTGATAGCGATTTTAGATCTGTGACCTTGTAGCGTCACTGATACCTATTATCGTACCGCTAATTCCACACCATGTAATTGGATTACGTAACGCTCCTCACTTTATTTGTTGCTATTGTAAAAAATATATATAAATATTCACGGACGGAAATAGACATATGGCAACCCCGTCGTAGACTAATTTGATAATTTCTTTCGTACAATTTCATGGTAACTCTTGCTGAATGATTTTTTTCCTACGAATTTTGTAATCACCGCAGATAATTAATATCGAAAAGAAAAATTTTATGTGCCAAATATATGTGTGACAGATTTTATACGAAAATTTGGTTAAATGTAATGAAAATGTCTGTCACGAAGCTAATTGTACGAGTGACATTAAATTAAATTAAATATGAAATATTAATTAATTTAAAATAAACAGCCTAGTTTTATACCAAGTGACACCTTTTTAGTTTCCCTAAATGACACTGACACAGATGACAGCCAAACTACGAAGGTTAATTTCGGTCATTCTAAATATTCAATCCACAAAATGTAGGCTAAGGTTTTAAATAAACTTAATTTTGAACCTAGCTTTTGTTAGAAATAGTTTCCGTTGTATTTAAGCGATACTTCAATAGACTATGACGTCATGAATTAATAAATTCATTTTTACGATCCCGTCTAACAAATGAAATAAGAGGAGTTTTTGAATAATTCCGTAGTTCATATGAAAATGCGCTGCTTTTGTTAATAACCAATTAATCTTTCAAGCAGCATACAGTTTTCGTTAGTTTCATGATTCATATTACCTCGGAATTATGCTCCGAGTTTGCCCACCATATAAGACGGCTGCTACATTCTTAACCGGGTCATAGAATATAATGGATAAACATAACTGAGGTTTTAACTTTTAATATTAACTGACATTGAAGCTAGTACCTTTGTTCGAGTCACATTTTTCATACAAAAATCTACATTGAGATGAATTTTAGAAGGCAATTGGGGTGGAATAAATTTGACGGGGACGGACGCACAATATAATGCTTTTGATAAGGCAAGTTGTTTTTAAGGTCACAGAAATTGGAACTTCACATTAAAGCGGTGTAGCAGTGAAATGGAAATTTTCGGGAAAGTCTTGTAGGGTAAACTAGCCTGGCTTTGAATTCTAATCTGAGTTTTTGGCAAGGGTTGGAAAGAATATTGAGGGTAGATGATTTATTTTATATGAATACTCATCCAGTACAATGTTTTTGGGAGATCTTGTCCATATTAATTCCTTACATGTTAAATACTTAATTCCGTTTTCATTTGTTTCATAAATTACGGTATGCCAATACAAGAAGGAAAACAAATTAAATAAATAGGACAATGAGAAAATATTTATTCCAATACCGATAAAATGACCATAACACAACATTGTGACTAATGTATTGTAATCTATAAAAACTATACGGGTATGTCCATTCTAATGGGGTGGTATTAAATTCATTCTCCCCTTTATTAACAATAAAATCGAAGTTGGAAACTGTATATAATGAAATTTAGGACAAGGCCTAATATAATGTCTCGTTATAACCTAGCCATCGAGGTACTAACCTATATTTCAATTTACAAGTATTCAATATTCTGGCGTAGGCGGAATAAATTTTATTATACTCATCTTTGAGTAAAAGACGTCTATTGGAAATTAATAAAATTGTGTCAGTACGAAACTTTGCATTTGCTAATATCGAGCAGAATTTTATAGGCATATATATCTGTTTACAAAGTGGAGTAATTTTGAAACGATAGCATCTCATTTATAGTCTTCTGCTTCTTCTACCTGGCAATTTCCCAGCTTTAGGCAGGGTCTGCCTTGCATGTAGTGAATAGTTTTGGCTAATTGTTTTTACGATCGGCCGCCTGCCTGACATCAACCCTCTTTGGGAAATGTATCTCATTAATAGTACTAAGATGTTTCTTCTTTTACTTCTAGAACAATAAACACGTTGAGACGTTGGACGACGGACAGCTTAGGGCCTTGCTAGATGAGGCCATCACCTACAAGTGTCCTAAAGACAGAGAAGGAAAGAGCAATCTATTTAAGGTAATAAAACAACAAAATTATTCAATAGTAACCCGTAGACCGAACAAAAAAAAAAATTGCAGCATTACTTTAAAATTATTATATTATTAATGTAACTAATATTCTTTTTTTGCTGGCTTATATAATATCTATAAAATGTCATATTAATCGTTATATAACTGTCAATGTACTTGCAATAATAATAATATATCAGGGTATCTGCTCTGTCATATTCGTAATGATTTGATATTCCTTACAAATGGTATCTCGTTCAAAAATGTTCCATATATATAAAACTAGCTTTCCACCCGCAGCTTTGCCCGCGTGGAGTTCGTTTATATCGCGTTTCCAAGAGAACCTTTCAAAAGTCTGGGATAAAAACTATCCTATGTTCTTTCTCAAGGTCAACTCTGTCTGTACCAAATTTCATTAAATCCAGTTCAGTGGTTTAGGTGTGAAAGCGTAACAGACAGACAGATTTACTTTCGCATTTATAATATTAGTAAGGATGTATACTACCAGGTTGTTCTGAACAATTCAATTCTTTTTCTCCACTATGTAGGTACTAAGTGTATGTTTGTTATGTATAGGAGTTGTTAGAGGAAGTTGAACAAGACGAACAGGCGTGTGAGGCAGCCGCTAGGAGCGCCGGGGGAGGCAGAGCCGGGAGGAGGGACAGGCGTAGGGAACATCACTCAAGTCTACAGGTGATGGAACATTAATGTTCAACATTTATATCATATGCCTTATATAATGACTATCATCGCTTTCAGACCCATCCTTTGAAATTTTCTGGTAAATCCATAATTCCAAATGTTGACCAAAAAAATTCAATCGTAAATATTTTGCCAATCAAGATTCACAGATCCTTTTCGAGTATTTTGTTTATGCTGAAGATTTTATGTGTATTGTTGGTATAATTATGGTGTTTCTTTACCAGGACTTGGTAGCAGCGATGGCGTGTGAGCCGGCTCCGCGGCGTGGTCGAGCGCCCGCTGCATCACACGCCCCGCCTTCAGCCAGTGTATCAACAAGGACACATCACGGTGGGAGTCTACCGTCGGGAGTCGACACATGTATGTGAATGATGATCTTTAATTAACAAATCCTCCTGTATCTTAAACGCGTTAGAACTGGTGATATAAAAGGATTTAATGTCATATCATATAAAATATCTTGATTCAAGAGAATATTTAATTCTGTACTAGTAAATGTTTACGACTACAATTGCAGACGGCGCTGTTAGGATAGTATTAATAAATATGTTATCCGTAATCAAAAAAACTTGCGAAAATTCTTATTTGTGATATAGACAATTTCTCCAGCTAGCGTGCAACCAATGAAAAATTAGTATAAATAGATTCTCTTAATATGATGTTTCAGCTTTCCTATTAAGTGAGGAGGGCTGCGGTCGCGGCTCGTACCTGGCCACTGTGCACGTAGTCAACCCGCCGCCTCTAGGAGAACGTCGTGTATCTGCGAGCGACGCTCATCCACCGATCACAGACAACGAACAAGTCCCCAGGTACACTAGCACAGCCTGTAACCATTACATTATGTGGTTATATATTATGTTGTTTGTATATATAATGTTGTAATGTAATGTTTGTCGTTAGGAGGAGCAAGCCAATGTTCCCGATGACGTACACGGCGCGCGCTACCCTCGAGATCGGCAGCGGCAGCGTGGGCTCGGGCCGTGCGGTCACCACCACCACCGCCTCCAATCAGGTGCGTACAGAACGATCCGCGCCTAGACACACTACCACCAACCCGCAAATATCAACCAATCGCATGCGAGCTGACGGCTCTGTTGAGCCACACACGGCTGACGTGGTAGCCAATCAGAGCAGGCCGTTGGGTGATATCGGTACGAAAGGCGGTGGTGATGTAAGTGTACCGTGCGGCCCTAAGCTTAGTGGTGTTTACACTAAAAATATAAAGACATGCGAACTAGCGGGCGATGGATGCCACAGAAATGATGTCAGAGATTTAGGTAATGCGTATAGTTTAGATAGAGATATAGTCGAGAAGGTTTTTGATAATATAGACGCATTATCTAAAACGAATGTGTCTAATATTAACAAATGTGAGAATAGAACGAATAGAAATCAAACATTCAATAAAGTTGAAATCGAAATGATAAGAGAGTATAGACGGAGGATTGGCGACAATTTGGTCGCACCGAATTTGACGTCTTTGAATCCTAAGAACTTTAGATCTAGCGGTTACAACAGCTATGATAGAGAATCGTACAGGAAGATAAGGAAAGAGAGCGCTGACTGTAGCAATAAGAACAAATACAAAAAACAAAATGATACAGAAGAAACCGACTTGGATAAAAAAATTGACAAATCTAATGTATCGGATCTCAATCAAAGTAACGTTAAGAACAAGAAGAGTGAGAAGTACATATTCAACAACTTTAAATATGATATCACCGACAAGAAAAGAGAAATACCCATGCCTAGTATGAACGTAAAGAAATTCAAAAACATGTACAAGAAATCAGATAACATAGAAATATCAGAAGAACTCAAAATGGTGACGGAAATGGTGAAGCAACAGAATCAGACCAGCGTACAGAGTAACGAAGAACGACCTGTGGATATTATTAATACGGAAGAACAGGTCTCGCAGAAAGTTGACGAAAATGTCCTCAAGGATGACTCAGACACGGAACTCATAGAAGTGTCATCAACTGACAGAGAGAGTCCAATAACCTTCTCAGATTTTGTCATTAGCCAACAAAATCTGCTGAAGCGAATAGGAAGCTACACCGACAAAGAAAACTATAATTATCCAGCGGCAAAGAGATCCGGAGCTCTTGAACTGGATTGCGTATCGCGTGAACTGAACGAGATAACCACCGTCTCGAAGCTTGCCGAGAATCCCTTACTAACAAAAATCCCAAATAACGCTTTCGTGTTCCTCACGCTACCAAAGAACTTTTATACACGAACTAACCAACAGGAGATAGATTACAAGGGGAGAAATAGAAAGAAAAGCAAAATTAAAATACCACAAGCGGAAAGCTTGCACAAAAGAGCCGTCAAGTTGCTACTATATAGCGACGGGGATAGTACGAATAAGGTAGGCATACGGGAAGTGAATCGGTATGATAATTATCACCGACTCTTCACGGACGAGACAAGTGTGATGTGTGCTTAGTGCGAGCTTGTATCGTCCACCTGAAAACGGACAGTTTCTAGTTTATTATAACACTTCACTAAAACAGTTCAGATGGACGATAAAATCTCGTAGTGAGCGCCGACATATAAAAGATATGACCTACTTACGTTGGTGTGTTGCAGGTGGATTCGGCGATACCGTTCGGTTGCATCACGAGCCCGGAGGTGGTCGGCTGTAGTACTGTCGCAACCAGCTCACAACCAGCGACCGTTGACCCCAAGGTACCACCAGCTATACATGACACAGTTACAGATACTCTGATCAACATCTATAACAATATGATAACGTGTCAATGTCTATATGTATGAAAATATGTCATGTTTTCAGCCACGTAGCATCCTATCGAGCAGCTTCAATGGTCTACCGCTGACGCGTCCCGTTGACGATTACAAGGTACACAGACAGTACATACATACGTACACAACACCGGCTTTTACTAACTCATACATACTATATACATATATATATATATATAGCATCTCACACCACGCGTTGCTGTTCAGTCCACAGAGGCGGGTCACCTCGCCCCTCAACAACATATTACATCAGAGTGTCCCTAACGAGCTAACGATTGATTTTTCCTTTCTATTCAGGTGCCTATACTCACTGTGCACTACCGTTTACAGAAATCACTCGATGAAAACGGCAACGCGGTCCAAGGATTAAACTCACCCGTTTCGGGACCGAGTCAGCCGAAGAAGACTAGGAGGAAGAAGGTGTTGAAGAACGAGACGGTGATCACCTCGCACCAGATTGACGGATATCAAGGGAACAAGGACCTCAAGGAACTATTGCGCTTCATAGAGTCGAACGACGACGGCGGGCGAGCCAAGCTAAGGGCCAAGCACAAGGACGACTGCGACGACAAGGCGGCCAAGAAGAGGTCCAGCGAGCGGCGCAAAGACAAAGACGCCAAGCCCAAGAGGGCCTCGTCCCTGGAGGAGCTCAGCAGAACCACGCTCGAGGATCTGACGGACAAGCCCGCCAACAGGGACGGGCGGCGAGCGGCACACCCGCCCTCCAAGCCGGAGAGGCGCTCCTGGGGAGACGACGCGCGGGCGCTGCTGTACAGAGAACCCGCACACGTGGTGCCGCCCACCGACGGGGACACGCCCCTCGAGCTGACGGAGTTCCAGACGGTCACCAAGAAAAAGAAGACGCGCAAGAGACCCGACGACTCAGAGAGAGACTCGGAGCACGCGCCGCGACGAGCACGAGCAACGACACCGGAGGGGCGGCAGAGGCAGGCCCCGCCCTCCGCCCCGCCCTCGGACCGCAGCAACGACTCCAATGACGACATGGACTCTGTACACTCACTGCCGGCGTCGGCTCCACCACCGCCGCCTCCTCCCCCGCCACCGCCGCCGCCGCCGCTCCCTCCCCCGCCGCACGCCTCGTACGCGGACATCGCCCGCACCAGGCACAACATCCCGGACCTCATCGAATCGTGCAACTTCTACTCGGAGGGAGAGTCGGAGTCGAGCGGCGCGATCGCCGGCACCGCGGCCGGGGACACGGACCAGTACCCGGCTCTGGAGCCGCGGCGGACCCGCGACAAGAGAGTCGCGCCGCCGCAGACTAGAGACAAACGGAAGGAGCCGGACGTGGTCGCGGACCGCAGACCGCCGGTCGTGCTGCTCGACTCTGAGGCACGACCACGAGACATGGACGGGGTCACCTTCGGGTTCGACATCAACGAGCAGCTGCTGGGAGGCACGAGGAGAGTGCGCTGCGACCTGCTGAGGGACGCGCCCGAACACACGCGGCCACCAGCGACTCACACGACGTGCGCGCTGCGGTACGTGGAGCCCGACCACACACACGACACGGCGCACCTGCACCGGATCATTGACTACGTCAGCAACGGTATGATATACTTGATACAATCACATGTACTGACTCTACAATACTCACGGATGTTAATTTGATTATTTATTTTCCAGCCTGGGACGACGTGGTGCGATGCGGAGCTGGCAATGTGATCTATTACAGCGAGTGAATTTATACGGTCATTAAAATAAAAAAAATAAAAAGAATAGTTGTTAAACAAAAAAAAATTTATATATATTTTAAAAAACGAACTCGTGCCGTGTATACATGATTGTAATGAAAATATAACGACTGCGTGGTGACCGCGATCTGAAGTGTGGAGTGAAGTTTAGGAATGTTGAAGTGAAGCGAAGTGGGAACCGGTGTTGAAATTGTATGGGACAAACTTGGTAGCGGTTCACCTCATGAGGTCGTAAGGATCGCTTCAGTTTAATCGATGTTATAAATCATTACGTAGATAATATAATTGACTCACCATCTGTATTTGATAATTTAGGTCTCCAGTAGGTTTATTATTAATCATGTAGTATTATAGGGGGATGTGTACTGTCGGCGTAATACAGAGCTTTCGCCCTTGATGTAAAGAACGCTTCACACTGGCAATACACGCCAGTGGTTACTAATTTTTTTTTGTCCTCATCGCATTATATAAGATACACGATAGAGCATTTAATTAATTTAATAAAATCTTGGATTTGCAAGATGTTTTATATTGATTGAGTTATGTCCTCTTTGTATAACTATATAAGCATGGCATGGTATGAAGTTTGAGTTTTGCAGGTGCTAACAAATTATAGAATTAAATATTTATTTAAAAAGAAAAAGAATAAAAATAAATTAAAACGTAGGTCTGATCTTAGTGATGTGTGTGAGATATTAATGTGTCAGCCTTGCCGGGTGTGAAATGTATCACCACACATTTGTTTCACTTTGACGTTGGAAGTGTTTCAGTTTTGTTACATTAAAAACTTATATTATTATTATTATTTTTTAATTCTCTCTAACTATTTTAGGTAATTGTTATGTATTTTTTAAGTTTTACTATTTGTAAATAATTATAAATGTAGTAAGCTGTAACTGGCCATGAGTGAAAAATGGGTCTATAATATTGTTTTGTTTTCAACAAAATAACATTTCTGTTTCGGCTGAGCCTCCATTAAACAGTTTGATATGTAAACATATATTATATCACTGATTGTATACCTGTGCATATACATATATATATATGTATATATATAACTATTGATATGGTTAAAATTGTTAACTGTACACTGGAATTGACCGTATGAGGCATAATAAACTTTTTTTTTTGTAAAGAAATAAGTTTTACTTTGTGTAAATGATGAATACTTTTGTTTATTTATACTATATATAATAAACAATGATTTATTATATATAGTATTCTGTATATGCTAAAAGTTGGATGAAATTTTTATACATTGATTCCGACTGTATTTATATTACAAACAGATGTCACCGTATTATTTGAAAAGAAGTTGAACAATATATATAATGTTTTTAGTTTCGTTTATATGTAATCTGCTATGAATCATGTTTGTATTAACACACATTTTAATATGATTGATGCGGGCATATGATTTGTTTAAACATATAATGGGCTCAAATCGTGGAGTATCTACATTGATTGTATGCATGTTTCTTATGTATATTTTCTTTTTTTTCATTATAATATATTTTGAAAAACCTAAATGACTGAATTTATACGACCCAAAGCTAGTCCAGATTTAAAAACAATATTATTTTTTTGTGAGTGTAGGGGTTGTTTATTAGTGAAATGTTTAGTATATAAGAATTGTATGATTAGTATAATAAAAGTGTCTATATGTCATATAAATTCTAAATAAATAAGTACATATACGACGTTTAACATACAATAGTTACGAAATTTTTATTATCTGGCTCAGTCATTTGTGGAGGTGGTACGCTGTATCGAACGCTTCCATATGTTTAGTCTAAACGACAATATTTGTAAGGAACAGTTATACATACATACTTTTTTTTATTACTCTGTACTCATACAATTCTATGTATTTACTTTGAATTCAAAAATTATTGTATTTCAAAAATCACTTCTTTTTTTATTATTTAAATCAAAATAACTTCGTATTCTTAGCTGTTTTGGATGATCATATCTTTTGACGTGAATGAGTATAAGTATTAATATGTAAATTTGACTCGCGCGTTACCAGAGTGGGGGCCATTAGGCTGTTTTGTATTGTCTAGAGATGATCGGAGGTAAGGAAATGCGATGTTTACAAATAGCAGTGTCATCTGTAAAGTTAAAGAATACGTAGACTCTTACAATAAATGTTAAGAAATTAAAATGTATAAATACAAAAAAAAGTGTATGTAGTTAATGGATGTGGTTTTTTTTTTGTGATATATATTATATATATCTATAATAACGAACATTTTGTTTTTGTCGTCTGTATTGTAAAAACGCTCATATCAAAGGTATAGAAATATTATTTATTATTTCTTTTCCTTGTAAAATATGTAAATAATAATGACGAAAAATTGGTTTACGTCGGTTAAGTGTGTTTTAGATGTCACATTCGGCTTGATTAAAATTACAAAAAAAAAATCTGTTTATAATCATAGCTTACGGTAAATTGAAAGACGTCTTAAAATATTTTTTCTTTGTTATTATATAGCTGGAAGTCGCTAATACGTTGAATGTATATGAACTCGTGTTCTGAATGAGAATCTAAATTTACTATATTATTTTTTATTTCGTGAACCCGTTTGTTTCTTGGACTTTGAATGGTAGAGTATTCCTTAATACGCTAGTGCAGATAATAAAAAAAAACTTAGATATGTAAAATTTGTAATTTAGTAGGAAATCACAAAGAAATCTATATTTGTAAGCAGAGAAGCAATTTGTTAATTGTAGTTACTGTGGAATGTGAAATTGCGGATGGAGTCTCGTCTCATGTTCGTCTCTGCTCCGCTGATGAGGAAAGTGAATGATTTTAATTTATACGTTACTTGCTCGATGTCAGAGATGCCTCGGACAGACGCAAGTCGCACGTCGGGAGGGAATTATACTAGCTCTGCCTCCGGGCTCTCCCCCTCCTTGACCGCCCCAGAGGCGCGATATATAGACATCGACTTGCATAAGTAATATTTCATCTGCGATCGCTATCATTTCAGTTCGTACGAAATGACGATTCTACTTATTGCTTTGACGAAATTGGTAAAGTGTAATTATATGTAATAAATCAGAATATGGGTATAATTGTCTCTTTTTCTGTATATTAATCCCAAGAATAAAATTAAATAAGATCTTATTGATTTATTATAATTCAAGGTTTTGTTATATTAAATGGGTCTCATATTTATTTCAGGCAGAAATTGAGACAATTGTCATCTATAATTCTTATAATAATTGTCAATATTAAATATATTTATCTGCTTAAAATCTAACTTCGCTAAACTATATTTTTACTCTGTTATTTTTTGTTTGTAAGCGAATGTTTGTATAAACATTCTTTGAAAGAGCTCCAGTGTTTTTTTTAAATACAATGTGAGTTTTTATAGCTTTGTGCAACGATTTTTAATTGTGAAAGGAACAGAGTAAAAATCTAGCCAAAGCTTTACTGTAAATGTCTATGTAAAAACAAAATGTAACCAACTGCAATTTACAGTTATGTACTTTTTCACTGTTTCCGTTTTCTTAATAAAAATATTGAAACAAACTTAATCTTTTATTTCATCATTATCTCGAATATATTTTAAACATTGCCTCTGTGGTAGTCATACTTATTATGAGCAGTCTCAAAAATGACTGACTCATTTACTATATGAATTCCTCAACAAATATTTCATCTTTATAGATATAATTCTTCTGTGAGTGTGTATGTCAAACTTCTCTCAAACGACTGGACCGATTTTGATGAATTTTTTGTGTGTTCAAGGGGATCTGGAAATGGTTAAGTTTCACAATTTTGTACGCTGGACAATGTTTTTAATTCATTCATTTGACAACTAATATGTCAATCATTCTGTCGCACTTCAAAACACGGAGATTTATGGCTTTAATAGGTAAACTCCAAAAATATAAATTAAAAAACGTACATAACAGATATTTCTTGATTATAGGGCGATACGAAGTTCGCCGGGTCTTCTAGTATACATATAAAGTATAAACTTTAAATTTGTCCATATGTATACTTTTTACTGGAAATAAATATGTGCCTGGCCTTACTCTAAAGTTGTATTGAATAAGCTCTAGACAGAAATTCCTTTAGCTTTTTTTAATAGAGTTTTCATAATATAACGTAGGTTTGTGAATATATTAAAATTCTTACGAAATTCATTTCAGCATTTTCATTCATTTTGGAGATACGAATTAAGGATGAATTGATACATTGTTTATATGCGACATATTTATTTTTTAATTAACATGATACAGATGTTATGGCTTTGTATTCAAATATCTTCTAATATAATAAAATATTAACAAAATTATCTTACATACACTTGAAAATGTACAATTTGTAATACATCTTACAAAATACTCTAGTCTCGTACAAGTTTATATCAACAGCATTAGGTAATTTAAATTTTTAATATTGCTTTGATATTAACTTGAGTTATTAACTTACTAAAGTTACTTAAACATTGCTCCTACGTGAAGGCTAAGGTAGAGACCATTATTTAAAACCGTTGAATAACATTGTTTTTAAATATTATTAATATGAATACTAATTAGAAGCGCAAAGAATTCTGATGTATTCGCTCTACCAAGTGAATGAACGCAAGAGCAATATTATTATGTCGTAAAATTGTCCCAGCTTCGATTTCCAATTACGTCACAACAATAAATAAACAGACGTCAATGCGTTTTAATGTAATATAAAAGATGAAAACATTAAATATAACATCGATTAAATACATAAATTAAGGAAGTTCAAAGAACAAATTTATAAAACTGATGACTATTTAAAAATATGAGCTATGACCGCCATTTTATTATTGTTTACGTTTATAAAACATTACAAAGCTTGACTGTTAATTTTATGAAATTAAAAAAAATCATAACTTTCCTTAAGACGTGACAATCAATCGGTTCGACATTTCATTCGCCTACGTTATATTTTTTTAATGGAAGCGTGACAAGCATGCTACTTTGTTTAAAATAGCACCTGATTATACAATAGATTCTCTAATAACTTGAAATACTATTTAGCTGAGAGTTACAAGCTACTAATATGACCTATTATAAAAGCATGAGGTTACAAGCAATGAAACCGTTAACAGTCTTCGTGATTTTCGTATTTACAAACCTAATGCTTATTAGAACGAACCAAACCATTATGAACAAGATTTAAGGCTTTAAAGTCAGATTATTGCTTTGCGTACATCAGAGACAGAGGTCGCAAACCTCACGAAGAATAGGTGGCGTTGACAAGTTCCTTTATAATTTTATTAACTTCAATACAAATCGTCTAAGCACGTTAAATAAATTTACTATAATATTATATCATGATTATAAAACAATATACAGATCATTGTTTATTTATATAAGTATCAAAACACATAAGTTCGACATCTGATTAACGAACGTCGTATATGTAACGGATAAGTGAAATAGTTTTAAATAGGACAGAGTTGTGTCGGCTGCAAAACTTAACTTACACTCAGAGACTAAAAGACCACCGTTCCAACGCTTAAACCGATATAATAAAATTTAAATAAAAAAAAACAAAGCTCACGCGACCTCTACATTGAGATTACTACGAGTCCTCATCACACTACACTACATTCAAGGTTCGATAATAAATTTATTTGAAATGCTCGGAACGTTCGTGTGTAGTAGACTTATCGTAGTAATCTCACTGTATCCACTTGCATCTTAGTGGTCACGTGACTATATATATATATATATATATGATAGTCCTAGAAGATGTCCGGACACACGGCCCAGTCCTGCCGCCGCTTGCAGTCCCAGTATCTATCGTTGTATAGATGCGGTAGACGCGGATGTCCGGGCGCTGGCTGTCGCGTGAACCAGGCGGGCGCGCGTGCGGGGGCCGCCTCCCCCCTCGCCGCTGCCTCCTCCGCCTCTGCTTCAAGTTGTCTCCTCACAGCGCGTTGTTTCTCCTCTAGTCGTAGTTTCTCAGCGTTCGCTTCGTCCCATAACCCTTCCTCCATGAGCCGCTGGTCCGGCCTTAGTCTCGAGTCGGTAGGCGCGACGCCAGTCTCCGGCTCGTTCAATTGAGCGGCCAGCAGCGTGAAGTTGTACCATCTGTTAACAACATATATACATGTATATTATATACATACAACACTAAATTCATCATGATATACTAGCTGAATCGGCAAACGTTGTTTTGACATATAAAAAAAATATTTTGTATGTTTTAATGTCACTTTAAAAAAATACAAAAAAATTTCGTATAAAAATAAAATTTAGGGTTGAACAACGCTTATCATATGAGTATGAAAAATAGATAGCAGCTGATTCTCAGATCTACTGAATGTGTCGGGAAAAATCGATAAGACCGTTTCGGAGGAATAATGTAACTAGCATTGTGAGATGGAACTCCATGTTATATATTAGAAACATATAATAATATCTCACTTCTCAGAGTCAGCGGGCGCGGGGACACGTTCCCATGCTACCACGAACTTGCCGGTCTTGCAGACGGTGTTGTCGGCGGAGGCGGAAGTGACGGGCGCGACCTCGACCCGGCTGTCCCAGTGACCTTGCAGCACGTACCGCGGGACGCCCTGCGGGTCCTTAATCACGCCGGTCACCTTACGCTGTGCGTCCTTACTGAAGTACCCGTACGGCAGGTACTTGAGGTGCGCCACGTACCCCGCGGCTGAACCCTCGCCCACTATATCCATGTCTCCGTGATTATCCACCCACAGCTTGCCGACTATTATATTGTGAACCGTCGTCGTCACCTGCAATATTATATCGAGTACACTTCACGCTCAGTGATGATTAACGTTCATTTAAAGTCTAATGAAGGTTATTTTAATAGATTTTCTACATTTTATATATAATATTCTAGGACCGACAGAAATCTGAGACAAACTTGTACTACGGAATTGATATTGAAGAAATAATCCATGTTAGAGAATTCTGCAATGTGTATAACATAAAAAAAGCACTGCTGCAAAATATACTGTACCTACTCTTATAACCGATAAATTTCTCTATCGCGATACCTTATTCCACCAGAACGAGGTTTCTGTGATGGGGAATGTAACGCTAGCCGCTCCATTGGGTATGTTCGTAATGTATTGACCCCTGAAGCGGCTGCTGACCGACAGCGATTGGTCCGAGCGCCACTTAACGCCGGAGCAGTGCAGCGCCGTGGTCGGCGGCGCGTGCACCACCTGCGGCGACCGCGGGCCGACTGTCCTAAGATCATCGGACAATGCCTGACCTCATCCCCCCCACCTCTCCCGTCAGCTGTACCGTCCAGTCACGTGACATATCCCTCACATCACAGATCCTCCTCTCATATCCTACCTTCAACCGTTTCTCACCTTTCTCCAGGTGTACTTGTTCCCCGAGTCTGTGAAGTGAGCGTAAGCGCCTCCCAGCGGTACCACCTGCAGGTACTTCCCTCTGAACTTGGTGGTCATCGTGAACTCCTGCCAGCACTGCCAGCCGGCCGCGCCCTCGCAGAACTGCGCCACCATAGGCGGATGGTGGGAAACCTGACCAGACATAACGCTTCAGAACGACATATCTCTTCCATGTATTTTATAACGATTGTCTAATGTTTGCGGCAAGAACATTCTGGAACGAAGGAACGGCTCGGAAGGTGCTGGTAGGATCTGTCGGCTTGAAGGTAGGAGGGAGGAGGATCAGGGAGGTGGATGTAGTTATGACTTTAACATGACATTATTGTTTATATTTACGAGGTTAGGAAACAAAGTGCTGTCTGTATGAGACATAGGAGAAGCTAATTAGCTCTGACAATAATATATATATTAGTTGCCTGTTCTGATATGGAACGCCATCCGAGGTCAGCCATGCGGTCACATTCAAACGTCTCGCCGAGGAGCGGATTGAAGGGCTTTGTGGTTCTGGAACAAATATAAAATATATAACAAACGAATATATATGAATCTTTCAAATTCAACAAATTGTTTTCAAGTGTCTAGACTGGACACAGGTCAAGTGGTGTAACCTAATTCATTTATGAATGCATTGATGTCAATTGATTGTTCTCAAGAAGCGATCATTGATATTATGTGGTGGCAGAAATGTGTGTCAATTTTTGTGTCGCTTTGAAAGTCACACGTTATAATGTACGAAGAAAAAGCCTTAAGGCATGAGTTAATGTTCTTTAATTTAAAGACGTCTTCACCATATAGTTGCCAGTTCTATCTGATCCCTAATCTTCGTTAATATTTAACATACGTATAACGTAAAGTTAAGGCATAAGATAATATTTTTTTGACATAAGAAACATCTCCATATTGTAAAAACTACACTATTACCTAATTATCAGTTTACTCAACGATATGGACGATGAAAACCTCAATATAATGATTTTAAGGTTCATGTAGTGACTTTATTGTTTTTATATGTGCGTGCAGTGTTGTATGTGTGTGTGTGTGCGTGCATATTCACCTTATTCAATGATATGAACGATGAAAACCCAAATATAATGATTTTAGGGTCCATGTAGTGACTTTAATGTGTTTATATATATGTGTATGTGTGTGTGTGTGCATATTCACCTGCATGCAGTGCTAGCGTATGAGCTAACAGTGAACGCTGCAACATAAGCCAGCTGATGTGCTGGATCAGTGAAGGTAGCGGCCTGGTCCAGTATAGAAGAGTACTCGTAGTCTTCGGTCAGACGCTGAAGCATTGAAAGAGGCTCGCTGAAGTTCACTGGTATCGGGATCTTCGATAGCTCCTTACCTATATAGATAATAGACCATTAGAGATCAGATAGACATGTAAATTCGTGAAAATGTATGAGAAACATGTTACAACCATTAGATGCATATAAACATATCATTTTAATTAGTTTAGGATGCTAGATAATATATAATTTTATTCATGTAATTTCAATATGTATACTTTTATCAGTAAAATACTGCTTATTTAGCGTGTAAACACTTATACCTTAAGACATAGTATAAAAAATATACATATATATTAACATAACAGTGCCAGATTTATTTTTATTATATAGTAAGAACTGTATCTTTTTTTTTACATATAATTACATAAACTTTATCATCTGTAAATTATATACAGAAAAATGATGTCAAAAATAAAAAGGCTGAATAGTGTCATCTTGTAATTTATATGGAACATAAGAAAGTATTAATCATGTAATATTGTAACTTAAAATCGATATTCAGTATCGATATCAATTATGAACCAATCAATATGCATCGCTTCATTATGTGACCGTTATATGTACTAATAATACTGTCACAACTTGTCAAGGTCGAACACTTTTTGGCTTCGAATATAATTCGTTGGTTCACGACCCCAACTAATTGACTAACGAGATGTCACAAATAGTTATACGTAACACCTTTGCTGTAAAAATAATGTAAATTGCCAAATATAATCACTTTTTTCTTTAGTATTATTATTATTTTTTTCAATGTTCTTTGCGAGTTAACGACGATATAATTACGGGAATATTGTCACATGATTTTATTGTTAGCGAGTACACTTGTTACGTGGTAGGGGTATTTTGTATAGAGGCTTGTGTATGCTTGTGTGTGTGTATCTCTGTATGTGTGTGTGTGTGTGATACCTACCGATACAATTCTTCATAATGGACCATAGTGAAAGAGGGTAGTTGGGTTTGTCTGGTACACGCTGACGACGCGCGTGTCCGTCAACTAGGCTGACTGCTTGAGTCACATGGGGCTGCAATACATCGCGATTATTATAAACACTATACGTGTTAAATGTATGAAGATTTCATATAAATTCATATATATGTATACATGATAAAATATTTTTTTAATAGATAAACATTTAACAATATACATATATAATAATGTAACATTATTTTGAATCAATCGTTAGACATAGAATCTTCGAAGGTCAATTATGACTTGTTCTGATAGAAACCAGTTATGTACGACCAATATTTTCCTACGAACTTTGTTCTATTAGCGTATTGTTCGTAAATTTAGTTTGGTCTTATAATGAGTAGGTGATAATTCGGTATGAATTATTTGAGCACAATACTCACCCAAATCTTGATGGGCTCATGCTGTACTTGCTCGTCTTTGGCGACCACAGGAAGTTCTGCTCCACCCATCGCGTTTTCAGGACGATCTTTGTCTTCGACGAAAATTACCTAGAGACATTTAATTTTCATATATCCTAGGTAGATTCCATCAGATTTGACTATTCAACAAGTTAGACAAACCTGGTATATATATCTAATGTAATGTTCTATTGAGGTTTGTATTATATATGGGATTGAAAGAGTTTTTTGTTCTTCCATAAACTTTATGTTTCAACAATTATAAAATGTTGTTCATTCATTGTTGTAAGACAAGAAACTATTGAAACAAACACAAAGTCGCTTTATTACTTACTTGAGTGAGTATTCATCAATTTGTAATTAATAAGTTCGACACAAATTACTGCAAAATATTGAAAACTAATATATATATTGAACAAAAAATAACATCCTAATAATTTTCTTTGCAAAAGCTTGAATTGAGACATTTTGGTATGACAAATGATATTTAATTGAGGAGTGTCGCAGGTAGAAGCTAGTTTATATTAAATTTTATTGTAAAAGATATGACCATCCATATAAAATAAGATTTTCTTATCACATGTTACAAACCTTTTGTGTCTCAGTTACAGTCTCCCCTTCTGATTCGTCGGAGCTTTCACCACTTTTTACTTTATTTTTTCTATTTACCTGCAAAGGAACATTAATTACAATACATAAACAACATATTAATAATCGATAGTAATAATAATAATAACTCACAGGCACTTTAATTACAAAAGAAGTTTTATCATCCATAGCAGAGGAGACGCCCTCTTCCATTGCATCGAAGAATTCATGATCTTCATCCTCAGTATCGTTACCCTGCCCAGAACCGTTCCCTCCTACATAGAAACACATATATTTCATACAGAAAATAATATACAATGCCAAAAAAAACTTTAATGTTAACACTATATAATACATTTTACAATCTCAAGTGTTATGTTACTTAGACATAGATAATATTCTACTAGCATGTGATTACATGATTTCAACGAGATATAGCCATTTCATTGCTGAGAACAACAAGCAAATTAATAGACAGGCGAGTTCCAATCATACACTAGACTTGTGCGATACTAGATTGGATGTATGTCTTATTTTTCCCATAAAAGTAATGATTCTTTGTGCATTCTATGTTTTATTATAGATTCACATTATTTAAAACAAACAACATTTTTTGTTATATATTCCTTTTGAAGATTTCATCAATTTATAATATATATGAACATATTGATGAAATAAAATAAATTTAATCGCTAGCAAAACAGAACATTGAAAGAAACTGTTTCAAATAAAACCTCTATTTAATATTTTGCTTTCAAGAACAGTTGCTTTGAAAATAAGAATTTTTTTGTGTTGCATTTAATAAGCTGTGATTTAAGAAAATTCGCAATAGTTACTAGTGATAGCTAGGTAGTGGATAATGTAACTAAAAATATACAATTTATAAAGAATCAGATGTCTTTACAATTTATTTACTTGTCACATATGTAATGTGGGATAGAACAATTAACTAAAATATTTAGCACAAAGCAACAATGAAATTAATCATAATGGAATTAAAATACATGAAGATTGTCAAATCTCCTAATAAATTTGATGGGTGTTATACAAAAATGAAAAGGTAGGGGAAAATATGAAAGGTAAAGTTCCTAAGATAGATGAATGAGTGAATGAACATATAAAATACTGAATGAATGAAAACAAATTATCATTGGGAGTATTACTTGGAGGGTAAATTAATTCGTATAGGTAATTTATACACCATTGGATGGTACTTGTCATTTCTCTCTAGAACACAATATTAGATTTTAAAAACGTATGCCATTAAAATCATATTATAAACAAATTTACATAGTTTTTCGAAACCTCAACAATATAACATGAAATCCAATCACATCTTCACTCTTAAGTAAGTATCCATAACCTTTTAGGCGTGCTGAAATTGCGTGAAAACGTATTAGCAATAACCTAGGAATATTAAAATGGGCACAGCAAACGTTCGATGTAAATTCATCATACATGCATCGTGATTTCTATGATATATCTAAACACGAAATCCCACCCATCACTTACCGCCCATGACGTAGGCTATGGCGCTATGAACTTGTCATTGCAAAATAACCCAATGTACAATAAATATATTGGCAAGCCACTAGATACACAAGGCCAGGAACACTATGCACGAAATATTCACTGTTAACTATATGTATAGTATAGCTCCGCAACTCGGCAACGACTGAATGAAGACACTTGCAGAGCTGACAGTAATTAAATAAAACAACAACGGAGACGCCACAACTGATATTGTATCAATTAATGCAATAGGTACTTTGGTAATCGAGAACAACCTTCAGGCGGACCAAAAAAGACGTGTATTATAGAATAAAACATACTAATGAGAGACCAAACTTTGAGTTACCTACCGAAATGAATATGTTTAAAATGTTTCGATAACCTTTTTTTAGGACTGTAAAACACTTATAGATTTAGTTTTACTGGAGATGTACACAAATCTAAATTTTTAATTAACAATTTGTTCAGATTTCCTGTCACCAGCGTCATGCGTCACATCGTCATTCAATTTTTAGAACGTTCCGTTACACGCCTGTGCAGTAGTCGTGGTTCCGTTTTATATATGTAGTAGCAAAACAGCATGGCGTAATAGCATTAGTGCAAACGTAAAAAAGTATGTTTCAATAAATATTTGAAATGTAACCTTTTTATATAAGAATTAAAAATAATAAATACTCTGTTTTAATTAATTACTTGGTTATAGAGTATATTATAAATTTATAGACTAGTTTTATTGCTATTAAAATGAAATCGGAGCTCGCATTCTTACTTAAGTTATAAAGTACAGTGTTATTCAAGCGTCAATTATTTTTTAATTAATGAATTTTATTAGTAAAATAAAGACATATGGGTACTTTGATTTTATCTTAACGATTTTGAATAATTTATTTTATAGACCTTATTTTTAAATATACACCTCTAATTTAAAGGAGAAAGACCTCTATATAAAACTACACAAAAAGCATAAGTATGAAAATATCAATATATGTTTGCTTTAGTGCGTGAGTTTATTAATTGTATAAGTGACTATAATTTTTAAAATTTAACGAATATTAAATTTAAACCAAATAAATAGACAAAAGTATGTAGCTACTAGTTTCATCAAATATCATGACATTATAGCTCAAACACAAACTGAATCAGTTCAATAACTTTAATCATTTATTATTTAATGAAATATTTCTGCTTTTTCTTGGTAATTATATACTTTTTCCTTTTCTATCGAAGTCGAAGTGTACATACCTTCCACCCTGTATGGTAAATACAGTACAGTCAAAATTCACATCAACCGCAGAATATAACCAACTGCCAACAAGTGTCTGGTTTGATGTGGTTATGATACTCAGATCTTCAATAATGGTTGAGATATAAAGAACAATACTTGCCTGCATCCTTGAGGAAGTTTAGTCTATCACCCACAAATTCTAATTTTTACTCACCAGTGTGCGGAGTACTCCTAGCGGTGACAGTCTTCTCAAGGTTGTCGTGTTGTCTGGCCAGCTGTTCCACAACCTCCTGCAACCTCATCTTCTGGTCACGCTCGTGTTGTAAAGCGCGATTCATTCGAGCACTCGAAGTTGCCGCTGCGCTCATAAACTCTGAACATGCCTGGAGACAGTATAATGATAATTAATTTCAATAGTATGTTATCCAAAGTTCAATATTATTAATTGATATTACATTCATCATAGCGTTACAAGATATCCTGAACAGCGTGGCCCTTTCGGAGACCTCTTTGGTGGTATCTGTTGGTGGTATTTCTAGATCCACCAATGATCGTTGTAGCGCCGCCCCATGCCTCGCTACTAGCTCAGAACATGTCTTTAGGTCGTGGAACCTGGCAGTCAGTTCCCTGGCTATGCCACCAGGGTCCTCACTCTCATCAGACCCCGGTATCGCCACTGGACCTGATGTTATTTCATCTTCGTCGTCATCAGATTCTTGAGCTCGTCTAGGACAGTAACTTTCGTATATATTATTTAGGTTCAATGATAAATAATCACATATTTGATAGACAGATAATTTGTTTAGGTGTATAAGTGTTCATTATACGGGTATTGAACATATACGAAATATATCTCCATAAATTGGATGTTACTTTGGGAAATACAAAACTTCATAGTTAAAGACCAAATGTGTCCAAATCTACTTACTTTAAAATGAAAAAACTAACAATAATTATATCATTAGCTATTAGGGATGTGGTCACATATTTACTTCCTCTGTATCAATTCTACAAATTTAGTAATTTACTGCTATCTTTTAGGTTAAATATTTGTTTTATAATTATTGACTTTAAATATCTCTTATATTTAACATTATTAACAGCAAAAAATGGTTTTTAAATTTGCTGAGACACCCTTTCAATGAGACCTCATGATGAAAAATTTGTCGACTTGGTTAATTTATTTTCAAATTATAAAAATAAATAGTACTCTATGTATGTAAATACCGTGACCATTCTTTCTTTGTTTCTTGTAGTCGATAACAACATATATTTTTAATTAAAATACTCTTTTAATATCCAGTATTAGAGGAAACATTTGCCTCACAATATATATACATATATATAAAATTTAAAATGTATTGTTTCTAATAAAAACTTCAAAGAAATTCAATACTTATTCCATGAGCAATAACAACTATATTTGAGTCAGAGACACAGTCTATGTCACAGAATAGAATAATTAAAAAATAAATTTAGATAATACACACCCACACAAAATCCTGACAAGAGATTATTACAAATTATAATATATTTTAATATATAAAAACGAGTGCTATGTGTACATTATGTGAGGTAGGTATTACAAAATTAGGTGTCTATGTCAGAAACAAAAGTAGAATATAAGATACATATTTGATTTAATTTTAGCTCCAAAAGAAGATATCCATTCACAAGGGCTTTGCATACTGTCACATTCGCATCATAATATAAAAAGAAAACATCATAAAGACTCTTACTCAAAAAATCTAATCTATTTTCCATTTCCTAAATTTCAGTAACCATATATGAGTGTCGGCATGAGCCTACTGATTAGAAGCTAGCAGATAATCGTTTCAATAATCCTATATAATAAAATAAAACCTAATATAAATCTGTGGAGTTAATACACAAAAAGTTAAAAATATATACATATATATTATGTGCATGTATGTGCATTAACTTGTGTGTATGTATGTCAATGATAGCATAAATAATATATGTGTTTAAAAACATATAACTCATACTTACATAGCTTTCGCTTTAGCCAGCTCTAGCGCGGTGACCCAGCTCTGCCTCTCGACCTCGTCGTGGGCTCGTATATGAAATGTCTGTGTGCCTCCATTACTGATGACGAAAGTACAAGAATCCGCTGCATGGATCAATGCACCCATAAGAGATATATTTCCTCGGCAAGTGTGAGCCATTTCGGCTTGGTTCCTATAACAGTTTACTGAAGTTATAACAACTAAATCAAGTTTTTTTTACTGAAATTCCTGAAATACTGTCTGTGTCTGTCAGTTACTCTTAAAGAGACTATATTTGAAAATCATACTTTTATTTAAATGTTTAAAACATCTCACATATATTGATATTAAGTATCTTATAAGATTTTGTACTATCATTTATGATTTTAAACAGTAAGTGTTAGCTTCCGGAGTTTTTTTTAAATACTTCTATAGATTCAATATAAGTTTTAATAAAGAATAATTTAGAACAAATGATAAAACAACACAAAGTAGACAAAAGAATATTGATAAATTAAGTATATACAATATTAATTGCGTTTTGTATCAGTAATAGGTTATATTTTAAATTTTGAATCTCCTATGGTGATTAAGATAACATTTTTCTTAATTTCAAATATATGGCATCCTAAGTCTAATTTTCAAAGTGTTAGTTATATCTACTAGATCATTTCAATGTAAACTGACAATATACAAAAATTATATGTAAATGAAATGAAAATCCGTTTTTACTTTTTAAACAATTATTACGATGAATAAAGAGTTTGAAACTTATACAATTTTAAGACAATGTTTACAACTTACAAAGATTAGAGTAAGGAAATATATGTAGTATAAACAGTAGAAAAAAAACTTCAAAGATAAAATAATTAGCACCACACCAATGTAACTCTAATTAGTACATTATCAATATAGAATTAGACTTTGCTCAGTCACAGCAATGAAAATAATTCATCATATTTCTTCGACTAAATCTAAACTTTTATAAAATAATAAGATAAAAAAAATAATAATATACATCAACTACTAGTTCGTATGACAAATTAACACACATGTAACGTAGTGTAGTGATGATAAAACAACACCAATAAGATGAAGAGTAAGAAAATAGACTTGTATATATATGCTAGATCGAAATTATTTATACATGATTATTTTTAAGCATTATATGGGACTTTACCTGTAATAAGACAGCACTCCATTCGACAACACGAACCATCTCCTCTGATATCCTTTCAAATAGTTCGTCCACTTAAATAACCATCCCTTTTTTTCAGGGTCCCCAGAAACTAGTTGACCCTTGGACACAATTACGTCGGACATTTTTTATATTTTTATAGTTCACAAAAATATGAAAAACATAATATACCATAGGCCACGTTCATCACCTACTATAATCAAAGTGGCAGCTGTGTTGCTATTATACAATTACATAACATTTGCCAATACGATAAACTTACTTGACATTTCTAAATAAACTTTAGGTAGAAACTAAAAGTAGAGCTTTTACCCTCGACTGAAAAAAAATGTTCTCATAATTTTTGTAATAGTAAAAACTTGTCCCCTTTTAGACATAGAATTTTATATTCAATTGCGACTAATTTTTAAAATTAAACAGTTTGATGAAATCGTTTAAGGAATGTCAAAATTACAACTTTTTACTTTATTATAAATTATGTATTTAAAACATGTTACTTACATTAAAGACTTTGTATTAAATAGATTGTATTTAATTGAATAAGGAATATTATAAAAGAAGCCAAAAATGTTGGCATTAAATAGATTTTCCTATGAATATCTTAATGTGAAAACTTGATGAAACATTACAATTTCTGTTCTTCTGTTTGTATAGTAGTTCTGGTGGTTAGCAGTGTTGAAAGAAATAAATTTTGTTATAGCTTTACTGCCTTTCCAAAGTAAGTATTGTGATATGAAAAAAACAATAGTTACAAATTTCTCCAGTTATTCACATCTTTATATCTATACAAAAATATTAACGTAGGGCCTTAACTGATAGGTCAACATAATGTAGGATGCAGAATAGTAGACTGCGAAATGATAACAGTGTCAATCTAGAAATAGAAAATCAATATATGTAGAAACATAACGTTTTAGCAGAAAATGACAACTGAGTAAACTGAGTAAATCGAAAAACGGCTTGAAAACAGGAAATTTTCTTCTGTTTAAGTTTTTGCCGGATTTGTTCCAATTCGAAGATATATACTAAGAAACATCTCAGACGAAAAATCTGTTTCATATGATCTCATCATTATCTACATGTAACTCTGGTCCTACAACTAATTAAATTTTAGCTTGTCATTACTGGTACGGCAATATTTCCAATATTCATAGGTAATATCTCTCGGCATCTATACCTATTTGGCATCGATATAAGCTTAAATTACATTTAAGCCGTTTTAAAAAAGATAGTTTTACTTATATTACGATTACAGTTTCAAATATAGTAAATTATATGAATGAGTCTTCTTTAGCTCTCCTGCTACATTCACAAAGGATTAAAGTAAGCCTGAGAGATGAAATTACTCTCCTCTGATTTGTATTAACATCCTCAAAACTTCTTAATTTTGCTTAAGTCCAAATTTTACATCCACTACGAGTACGGATAGAATAACGTTAAAATATTAAGGAATTATATGTTTCTGAAATTTTTATATACTTAAAATGAGAATTTTTTTTCTGTCTAATATTAAGTTTCATCCCTCTCCAAGAAAAATAAACTTAAGATATTCTTGAAAGAAACTTATTTCAGACAAATTATAAAAAGTATAGAAACAAAATTTAGAAAATTATTAAAGTTATAAAATTATATATAAATAGATTTTCATCAGTAAATAATTCTCTTAGAAATTTTACCTTTGGGTTTTTGATAAATACGGTGTAGTTTATATGGCAACACTGGTTCTGAGAGCAATGTTTTTATTTAACAGCTGTAAACTTCTGAACAGTACTGTTCGGCGAATTGTTCAAGGTAATACATTCTCTCCAGACCTCAATTTCAAAATCAATGATTACTTATAATCTAATCTTTAGCTAGTTTATTTTATCTTAGTGAACACTCAATTATATAATATTAGTTATCAAGAAACCTTCGAACAGATGATGTTGTCATAGATTTCTCAACACAAATTACTTTTTGTTCATATTATTCAGGTCCAAAATATTTCAACGGTCCAATTATGGGGAGTTCATGTTCAAGATCATTTTCACCCAACAGTGGGCAGCCAAAAAATAGAAATGGTAAGTGAATTGATTGGTTATAATTTGTGAATTTAAACATTATTATCATGTTTTGTTTACGATATTTAGTTACAGGAATTATTTTGTGATAAAATATGACCTAATTGGGAATTCCATACACATTCTTATTATTTTTTTAACAGGTGCTGTAACATCTGTTGAACCAAACAGTGAATATGTTGAAGAGGTTGTGTGTAAAGTTAACGATATCAATGAAAATGAAATGAAGGTATTTGATATCGGAGAGGATGGGAAAGTACTGGTAGTGAAACAGAAAGGTGAGATCAATGCTTTGGGTCCTAAGTGTACTCATTATGGAGCTCCATTATCCCAGGGGGCTCTTGGAGATGGAAGAATAAGATGCCACTGGCACGGCGCTTGCTTCAATTTGAAGACTGGAGATATTGAAGATTTCCCCGGTTTTGATTCATTGCCCTGTTATCAAGTTACAATCACTAAAAAAGGAGAAGTTAAGGTCAGTGAACTTATTACATTTTTTCATAATATACCTATGCCAAAACTAATTATTAATTAAATCCCTCAAGCCCTAATAAGTTCTCAATAAGTGAAGAATTTACATTATTACATTTATTTATTATAATGAAGCAATTATAATAATAAATGAACATAAATTCCTGTTCTAATACCTATTTATATCATATAAAAAAGGAAATTAAACATGCCATAAAGTTATGAGTCATTATATGAAGTATGTAAGTTGTATTGCTCAATGGTTTGTGGTTTCGTTGTAGTATTATCAACCTTGATATAAAATATTTGACTGTACAACCTTGGAAGTTCATGGATTGATCTATTTTATATTTCAACTACCACACCTCAATTATAGATAAATAAATAAATAATAGTAAAAATATTTCACTCCCAATGAATAAACTTGTATATTCTGAAGTACAGCACAGTATTCTTACTCAATTTTTATTTAAATCAAGTTTTGCAGTTATTTGTATATAGTCATATTAAGGTGAAAAGATTTTTAATTTAAAATTTAATCGAAATTATTCATACATTTTTCTGAATATTATATTATGGCATTTTATAGGTTTTTATTTCATTATGCTGGTCTCAAGGCCAAGAGCCTAGTTTCGAATTCCGACGGTGGCGTAAGAGAGACGCCTTTTATGTGCCAATTGCAAATGAATGCCTAGATGCCATCAGAAAAGCTAAAAGGAGAAAAATTCTTCTATTATACATTATTTATACTGGAATGTTAGTTTGAACCAAGTAAGCTTGATCTCTGAGTAATGATTTCATTAGTCATTTTCTATATATACGGTATTACGTAAATTAAAATGTAACAAAAATTGACATATGCAAATCTTTTAATTAAACTAGTCGGTCCCTTTAACGTATCTATCCGGTTTTAATTAAATAATTATATAGGTATGTATATTTTTGGGCAGTTCCGCTGTTGAGAGAATTGATATAAGAAATTAAGTTTTATTTCTAAGATAACTGGACCATATATAGAAAATATTACAAGACAAATACTTGTGGAATGACGTGTTGTTTCTCAGTACATAAAACCTTTATTAATATCTCAAACAACGCGGAAGAATTAACGGGTAACAGTGATATTTTTTCATATTCGATTCAAAGAAAACGATCGACGGAACCATTGTAACGAAAACTATTTTTGTACCTATCTGTTAATTATCTTTATTTTTTACTATCTGCGTACGTGATTCATAATTTACATTAAAGATAATAAAAAAACTAACACACTTCATCGTATTTGAAAAAATATGAAATATGTCTTATTGGTTTCATTTTTCAATGATATTGTAAATTTAGTTTAGGCTGAAAAGTGTCTGTCATCATGAAAATGACGATACGTTTTTGCATGAACTATTTGAATTCACATTGTTACTTTTTTTAAATATTTTTTTGAGAGTTTTGTTTTATTGCCTTAAAATGATTACTGTTAAGAAATAACGTATATATAGTTATATACACTGAAAGTACCTACATAATATATAGAATTTTATAAAACAGTCACAGATATAGGTTGTAATCTAATCAACAAACAAAATTTTCTATTATACTTCAACATAAACTTGTAATAAAACATTAAAAAGCAACAGGTTCAGTAAATATAAAAATCCCGCAATATCCGGCTTTACCACGATTCATATTTCCTATAAAATGTGACAGAAGTTGAATCATAAATATTTTAGTTACGAAGTCTCGTATGTTTCTCGTGTTGAATAAAATATCAAACTAGGCTATATGTCAATGCACACTTATCTAAAGCCATGCCTAGACGACTGATTGTTGGATTAAAGATAACACATACATATTTAAAAATCTTAAATTGCTCATACAATAATCTTTTTGATAATGCAAATGTTTATAACTTGGAATATGTAGCTATAGGAAACTAATTAGGCATAATAGTTGTTGAAAATATTAAAGGCTTAGTTTGGCTGAGAACAGTTTCTTGCCTGCTTTACATTTTAGTACAATTGTGATGTGTAATACTGTAATAATTTTTACTAATACTCATTAAATTCTTTCCTGATTCCAACTAACACTGATAACATTTTAGATTTGCTTATATGTGTTTATATATTAAATATATAGATGTATATATTTATTTAAACATATAATATCTACTTCAACCACAAAACTAATAACATTTCTAACAATAGATTTTCTCAAGCTAATTATTTGTGAGTACTTATATAGTTACATAATTATGTGTGTAATATATACATACACATAAATCCTAGATTTCTATCAATATATTGCTGTAATAAATAAAAAGGCAATGCTTCATAATAATTACCTATTATTTTATGATTATATTATATAACTAGGTAGGAACAATTTTAATTTATATTCACTGCAATTAAATTATTGTTAGATAAAAAATATGTATGAATTTCTTTTAGTTTAAAGGATAACTTATAAATTATGTTATATAATATATACTAATACCTAAACATTGTTAATTTTTCTTATGTGAAATGAATATGTGTATAAAAATAGATGGATAGATGAAAATAAAATTTGATATTCTCTCTGAAAAGGAATAGAATGTAAGAACATGATCTATCTATATATTTTACATCATATCTTATAAATATTTCAATACTTACAATTATTCTTAAATATTCACTTTATGTTTCTTAGTACTTCAGCCTTATACAGTAGCCTAGAACCATTGATTTAACCTTAAACTCATTTGAGTTGATTTGTTGCTCATGAAATTAGTTTTGCGATTATATCTTGAAGCAAATAATAATATATTATTATTGAGACATATGAGCTTTTTAATAATTTATTTCTTTTTTCATAGTGTATGACGATAAATATTTTGTATACCACATATGAAAATAAATTCTTACAGGTTGGCTCCTTTCGTTTAATTTTAAAGATTTATACGGTAAATTAAGATTAGAAATAGTTTTAAATAGACGTCGAAGGTTTACGAACTCAGCAGCAATTTTCTTTAGATTAATTGGACCAGTGTAGAATTCTTATAGAAGGTGCCACAACAAAAGTGAAATCACTTTTTGATAATAGATTTTGTAGCCATATTCTTTATGAACCTGATTTTGGTTTTATTCAAAATAAACTTATTTTATATATTTTGAATTCCTCGTGGAAGTAGGCATTCATTATTTTGAATCAAAATGCCATAATTTTGAAAACGTGTTTCGGTTATTTAACAGGTGGTAGGAATAATTTTGCCATGTATAAATTATAAATATTTTTAAGTATTTCGTGATGGGTGATGAATTTTTTCGTTTTAATCTGATAATTTAAGTGATTTTTTGTGTTCGTAAAATGTTTATCACTCGGTATTGGGTTGATTTAAATAAATTTTAGCAAAAGATTCAATTATCGTTTAGTAATATGTGAAAATATAATTTACATACATAAAGGATACAATTTTCTAATATGTATATTTAATTATATATAATTTATATTGATTATATCAGTTTCAACTTTCAAGCACTGTCGTTTGGAATAAGAAAAAATGTGATAATGGTAGTAAAAATATATCCAAGTTTGTAAGATTTGAGATGTCACAAGGATATACATTAAATAGGTTCCATAAATAATAGTTTTATTATTAATTCTTTAAATAATTTATTTTATTATACATATCACCTCATCTACCTGTCATGGAGTTAGAAAATGTAATTTTATCACGAAATTGACAGGTGTTATAATTTAATACATTTGCGTTTTGTCCTTGTTCATAATTAAATACAATCTTGTTCATAATTAAATACAATGGAAATGTGTTTTGGCATTGTGCTAATTTTTCGCAACGACTCTTTAGAATTTTTGATTTGCGCTGAAACGCTAGTTTCTATAGTATTTTATTCATAAGTTATTTTTAATTAATGAGAAGCAAAAACCTTTATTTAAATTTGAATATTTAAATTTCCAGGTAAGGGCGAAGAAGAGTGATTTGAAGACCAACAAGCGGACGAAGGAATTGGTGGAAGTAACTGAATTGGAGGATACTTCTGTGGTCATAGTAGGCGGTGGTCCATCGGGCGGCACTTGTGCAGAAACACTGAGGAATGAGGGCTTCAAAGGAAAAATCACGCTTATATGCAAAGAGAAATACTTGCCGTATGACAGAGTTAAAGTCTCTAAGGTAAGCCAGATCCCTGAAGTATCAAAACTGGAAGCCCGCACCAGCGATTACTACAGCAAAGCGAAGATCGATGTGATTAGAGACAATGAAGTTACTAATGTTAATACAGAGGAAAAGTATGTCGAATGTAAAGATGGTAAAAAAGTTTCGTATAATTACTTATATCTAGCCAGCGGAACCAAACCCCGGGTCCCGGACATTCCAGGCGTGGGTATGAAAAATATTTTCACTGTTAGAGATTACGACGATTCTGTTAATATTTTCACCGCTCTGGGTGATCAGAAAGATAAAAACGTTGTTGTTCTGGGCTTCGGATTCATCGGTCTGGAAATAGCGTCTACATGTGTCGCCAAAGCAAAATCCATGACGGTAGTCGGTAAAGACACCGCCCCGCTCGCTAATGTATTTGGAACGAGTGTCGGTCAAAATCTACAAAAACTATTCGAAGATAACGGTATCAATTTCGTTTTTGAAACCACTATCGTGAAATGCGACGGTGAGAACGGTTATATCAAATCTGTGGAATTGGCCAATGGTTCTGTACTTCCGGCTGATATGCTTATTTTGGGCGTGGGAACAACATATTACACTGATTACCTAAAAGGCAGCGGTGTCAATATGAGACCGGACGGTTCCATAGAAGTCAACGAAATGTTAGAAACAAATGTTAAGAACGTTTATGCCGGTGGTGATATAGCTTATGCCCCTGTGTTTGCTTTGAACAACGCTAAATCGACGATCGGACATATAGGTTTGGCTCAATATCACGGTCTGAATGTAGCGAAAACAATAGCTGGTAAGGGGTCACCGATACGCGCCGTGCCGTTCTTTTGGACGATGCTGTTCGGAAAATCAATCCGTTACGCTGGTAGTGGCAGAGCTGCCAGCTCACAGATTGTTGGCGATGTATCTGAACTAAAATTCGTCATATTTTTCTTCGATGAAGCAGAAAAAGTAATCGCGGTGGCGTCATGTATGAGAGATCCAGTTGTATCACAGTTCGCTGAACTCTTGTCCCAGGGCAAATCGGTCCACAAGAAGGATCTAGTCGAAGATCCTTTTGTTTGGACAAAATGGATTAATTAAATCGCCCATAACCAAAATACCAATACGTACAAAATACGCTATTATCTTTTTTATAATTTATTATATAATTTAAAAGATTATTCAAACGTTAAAATAATCTATACAGGTACTTAAATAGATTCTGTTGTGACTAGGTCAAACCGGTTATTTGTTGAACAAAAATGTTTATAATATGTCATTTTTAAAATGTGATTATAAAGAATTAGTTTTGCTATTATTTATTTATCGTTATAAGAAGTATACTTTAGACGCATTTAAATTAAGTATTGATAAACTTATGAAGTATTAACAACTGATATTTATATTATTTTTTTTTCGGGCACAATTAGTAATAATATTATTTGTTAAAATAACGCAAATTTCAAGTATTTTTTATTCTAAGCAGTTGTTTTGTGATTTAAAAAAACTGTCAAAGAGTTCGATTTAGTTAATCTATGATTACTGATACTTACTTATTACGACTATTGCCTTTTTTAAATTAAGCTATGGTTTCATAGTTCATTACCTTATTGTTTTCAATATGTCAAAAGATGACAGTTATATGATTATTATTATTTACGTAGGTCCTTCTTGGTGTTGTAGGTACTATTAAAAATATAACTAGTCTTTTCAGACAAAAAAATCCCTGTATGATATGTCCTCTATGCTCGTGTTTTGTCCACACAGTATTCAAAATTATTATTTGATAAATAAGTAAAACGTTCAATGTTGTCAAAATATTAATCAATTTCTGTGTGAACGAAGCTATAGCTTAATTAAAGAAATATGAAGATTTAGCATAAAGCAGTATATTTAACAGAGGTTTTCCACTATCTCAGTGAATACGTATCGTTGATAGATTTTCGTAGGTTATTAAATGAGATATGAAAGATGCTTAGCATGCAAACATCTGGTTAGCATAATGGTGCTTGTAGTAAGTTGTTTTCATTGTCTATTCATTTGGATTTTATTGTAACAAAAATATATATTTTGACATTCAATATATCTGTGATAACTCTTTGCCCACAGAATCCTTTAACCAGTAGATTACATATTATATTAAATATTTTATATCTATATTGTTTGCATAGTGGTACCATATATGTCTTCTATATTCTACAGTTTAAGTCCACACCTACATATTCAAAATGTATTATTATTAAAGTATTATGCTATTTTGTGAGCACTTGTGGTGGTAATATTAATTCAGATTTTATTTATAAGTGTATAAATGTTGTGCCCGTTTGGTATTTATATAGTTGCTCTAAAAGATGTATGTTTACCCTAAAAGTTGGGAAACTAAATATTTGTATATCTTGTATAAGCTTAGTTATTGTAATAACATTACAACTCTTAGTAGAAATTGCTCGAAACCATCCAATGTTGTTCTAGTGTCTAGTTGTGAATGTTTTTCAAATTTATATAACAACATTTATGGCTTCAAATATTTAAACCACTTATTGATAATATATTTAACACTTTTTATATGTATTTCCTTAAAAACAAAAATAATAAAGTATTTGTTATGAAATTATTACTTTTTTATTACATTTACACAAAAATATAAACTAAATTATTAAGAATTTAGAAGTCATTAGGAATTTGGTTGGAATTATGTTTTTGATAAAAAGTAGTACATAGGTATATATAATCTTTAACAATTTAATTTCTTTTCAAAGTTTGCTTCATCACACCAAGTAATGAGATTATCTAATTTTTATTTTCTATGACACACACACATTTTCAAAAGGAAAAGTAGTTTTATTTAAAAAACACCATTGTATTAGGAATAGGGAGTGAATTTCATGCACAAAACAGCAAAATATTTTTGTATTATTTGTTATATAAGTTCATAAACTAACTTCTCAAATCAATTGAATATGGCATACAATAGAATAATTTGGGTTTTCTCATGAATAAATTATATTGGAAACTTGTTCATTACCACAAGTTTAATATGCTACATTGATATATTATGTCTCTATTGAATATGAACAGCCAGACTTCTATATATATTTTGTTATATATATGTTGTTCTCCTCTATGAGTGAATGTGTTCTTCAGAAATTTGTATGCAGTAGATGTGGGAGTGAGAGTTATAATATCTAAATCTCTCTACAACCTAAAAGACTTGGTCTTGTCCAGAACATACATCAATTCACTCTTAAAGTGTACTTCAAAGGCAGCCCTACTAAGTTTGTTTCAAATTTGGTTAAGTAGGTGGAAGCAGGCATTAAACACGCTTTAGATAGAGGCCTCTTAAACCTATACCTGGGTGAGATAGAGGCAACATTAAATCTCTTCTCTCTCCAAAGTAATGGACCTGGCAAATGTATGGTGAATCCATGGAATGCTGAGTTTTGTTTTCGTCTGTCTTGTTTATTTGTGTCATTAAAGTAATAAGATATAAAAAAAAACATTGCCAGTAATTTCAAGGGTTTTATAACTACAATTATTTTTATTTTCTATACAAAGAAAGGTAATATAAGTTTCACCAAAATACCCATGAAAACATTATCCTCATAAAGTGCCAAAAAATTGCTTTTATGTGCAAAAAGTACATGTAAATGTTACTTAGAACAAGTGTTTATGTCTGTCTATTTGTTCTGCCTAATCTCTGAAATACCTCAACTGATTTTGGCAGAACTTTCACTTGCAGATTCCTGATGTGATGAAGAGTAATGTAATGATACTTGGATTTAAGACAAATATATTCTATTGCATAATACCTATAGAAATTGGGCCATTTAAATAAAAATCTTCATAAATTACTACATAGTTTTTATTCTAAATTGTGTAATCAAATTTCTAAATATAACAAACTAAACTCTTAATATCTAATCCCAGTTCTCACTGACATGAAGATGTTTTAGCCTCTCATATATTGTAACATCTTCTTTAAAGATTTGTCGCTGTGTGTCATGTAATTTTTTTATCCTTGCTTCTTGCTTGCCCAAGGCTTTGGAGTGTCCATGGCTTTCGGCCTAAAAAAATTTAATGTGGAACAGGTTATTTCAAAACAAACCAATAACAAACATGGTAAGTAATCTTGTAGTTGGAAAAGGGAATTAAACCAAAAATATTATGACTTATTGTTTTTTTTTAATAACAAACCTCAGTAAGATATGGATGCCTTAAGTAAAACATATTTTGTTCCTCAACTTTGAAATCTTGTTCTAATTGACGTAAATGTTTAGGTTCGACAATTTTAACCAATCTATCTTTTCCGCGAAAGATATGACCATTTGGAAGAAGGTTCCGGCGAAACAAAATGCTGGTTAACTTCATTATGAAAGCTTTTTATTTTTCACTGTAGTAATAAGAGGTTATAAGTAATGAAATTTACTAAGACAATTTTATCTTTGACTTTTCGATGACAATTGACAGTAGCTACTAGCTAGTTCCTATAACACTAATATGGGTGTAAAAAAATCGAATGAAAATACCTACAACTTGTTTAATATTAGTCTTTGTGTTGGAATAAGAAGTTTAGTTTAGTTCCAATTTTTCAGAATATAAAAATTAAATGTATTTCCATTTTAATGAGACAATTTTTAAATAAGTGACAACAAAAAGAAAATTTTTACATAGTATTTTGAGAATTCTGGTTATTAAATTATTTTTTTTCATAATTGGAACATTAAAATACTCTCAAATTTACTAATTGATCAAATAAATTTCGTATTGTTAATAAATTCCTTAAAGTATAAAGTTTTGTCGTGTATATTATATCTGTGGCTGATTGGTGAAACCTTTGCCCTGCGGTCAAAACTATGGCTGTCGAGTGTCGATTTACAGTGTTGGTCGACAAGCTTTGAAGCCTTGTTGTAATTATTTTAATATTGTGCTTCAATAAAGAACTTTAATGTAAGAGGAATAACAGATAAATAACTAATAAAAAGAATGGCATTTAGGGGTTGAAAATATTTAAACTGAGGGACGGCTGCCGTCCGCGGTTAGTATGACATGTTTTGTATTTTCGCTTCCGTAATGATTTGCTTTGTATTTTCATCTCTCAATTATCCCTAGACTTATGCTAAACTATCCTATAATTATTAGTACATTGTTTTAAACCATTTTTTAGTTAATATAATCTTTTGTTATGTAGATTCTGCGATCCCTTTCACTTTAATATGGTCACTTATTCGTGCTCTACTTATTTTGATGATTGTTTTCTTTTTGTGTACCAAAATAGCTCTTGGGGATCAGTGCTTCCGTCAACATAACAATTCAAATCATTTAATTGTTAAAGCACAATATAATAGTATAAGTTAAACAAGTGACCTACTTGTTACAAAACGTCTTGCAAATATAACTTTTGCTTGTCGTATTTATATTTCGATCCTACTTTGAGTAGATTGGTTGTCAATTTTGAAGCAAGATAATTTTATGCTATTATCTACCATTGTCTTGCTGAAAATAGACTTGTTCAGTGAATTATTATATGTAATGAATTCTTAACAACAATTTTAACTGTATTTGTATATATATATGAAATTGTATTGAGATACTAACATTGTTATGACTTTTAGATATTTATCAATTTATAACAGTTTAAAGATTTATTTGCACAGAATTAAATTTGTATTAATATTGATAACAAAATTTACATTATAGTAGGAGATTTAAATTTTGAATATAAAGATAATTAGGATTTGTAATAAAATTTTATTCAAAAAAAACGAAATAATTGTCCATAAATATACAATTCCATAGATATTTTTGTTTTTAGCAAAATGCTTTTAGTAAAATCTTTTTTTTTTATCTTATACAAATTATTTTAATTTGTTGCTATGGTAATTTTTCATAATAAATAAGAACTTAAAAGACATTTTTCATAATAGACATAACTGCTGGCTATAGCTAGTATTACTGTTATGTTACAAAGTAGGATTGTATTGTATATGTAAAGTCGAGTTTCACTAAACATTGTAGATCATCATTATTTTATAAGCAAATCCTTTAATTCTTGTTATGAGATCTGATTCTGTTATCGATTGATCAATGTGTTTACACTGTCTGTTATATTTCAAACTCACTTTAGACTTATACATTTTCTTCAATTAAACATAATTAAATTAATCTGTTTATTTCAGTGCTTGAAAAATTATTACATTGTGAGGTATTGTATTGAAAATGGCACAAGTCGGTGCGAACATGGAATACCAAGAATATAAATGGGCTTATTCAATTATGGATTCATCTAAGTAAGTTTTATTATTACAATAATTATTGTAATTGCTGATAGGACTTCTGATGGCCAAAATTTGTTAGCTGATTGAAATTTTGTCAATAAAAAGATTGTGTTAATATTTACGACCTTTATTGTCAAAAAGAGAGGTTTTTTATATTATTTTGTTAGTATTATAGTATACTAGCTGACCTTTCAGACTTTGTACTGCATCAATCGATAAATAAATAATTTTTTATTTATTTTTTTGGACTTTACCTGTAAGCCATAATTTTCCGTGTTTAGAAGTGCGACAGAATGATTGACATATTAGTTGTCAAATCTAATGTCAAAAAAAAACGTTAGTATGGGAAATTGAAAAGCGCTGTTTTTAGGGTTTTCTCGGAAATGATTCAATTTTTTTCAACTTTTAAATCTTCCCTGAACCTCCACAAACATTTCAAGACTAAGATATGATAATTCCGTTCAGCCGTTCTCGAGTTATAGTGAGACTAACGAACAGCAATTCATTTTTATTTCATTTTTATATATTATATAAGTAATATTATTAACTATAATGAATGTCAACAGGGTGTCAGCTTGTTTGATCTCAATGTTGCTGATAGTGTACGGCAGTTTCCGGTCTCTTAATATGGAGAGGGAAGCACGCGAACGCGCCGAGAGGGAGACATCGTCTACATCCTCGGCTAATAATAGTGAGTGATTTATATATAGAACAGGTAAGTATTATAATATAAATAGCTTGTATATATATACACGTATATATTTATTTTATATTCAACAGGATTCGAATCTGCGACTTCGTGATTTGTCGTTCCAGTCGCCTTGATATTTGAGCTATCGTGCCGTCACTTATATGTCATTTATTGAACGAATAATGTAGTCAATAATATGTATTGAAATATTCTAAAATATTTTATTAGCTCGCTAGCTGTTCTCATCTGACTGGATATCAAAGATGACTGAACAATTGCTGACGTCACAACCGTGACGTCATATTAGTATAGTTAAATGAGTATATTATTATGGTGTATTTTCAGATGTCCAGACCCTGAGTACTATGCAGGCTCTGTGTTTCCCGCTCGGTTCGTCTGTGGCTTTGCTGATAATGTTCTTCTTCTTCGATTCAATGCAAACCCTCGTCGCTATATGCACAGCCAGTAAGACATTATTATGATATTTAAACCAACACTACATCGGTAACTATAAACATTTGGCTGTTCGTTATCGTGAGAATTCTATTAGAAGTAACTAAACACATTATAAGTGATTAAAAAAACGATAACAAATTTGAGACAAACTCGTCAATTATGATCCTTCTTCTTGATTTTCTTGTGTTTACCTATTGAATTGTCTTGGTTGAACATAGTCTGTATAAAGTATACATATATATTCACAGAGTTTTGTGAATCCTTGTAATTATATCGTTAAAGAATTCTCTCCCGTTAAAATATACATATGAAAAGGTGTATTTGGAAAGAAACACAATTTTATTGATTATGTATAAGAGTATAGATCGTTTAACTTCTAACCCTAGGTTGAGATTTTCTAAGCCCTTAAAAATATGATTTCCTATATCATTTGTTGTATCTGTTACTTACAAAGGCTAAACCAATATAAATTCCGGACTTTTGTAAACTAAGTCACCAATAACTTTTGCATCTTCCCATGTTCATTGCAATTTCAGTTTAACGAAACGACCTAAACTGTTGAAAACTACAGTAACACTAGTTTTTTCTCGCGACTCATTCCCTGTGAACATCAGAATTGAGCTCAGATAGAAATGTGTAAAGTGTTAAAACAATAATACCTATAGTAAGCTAAATTGCAGCCCTTTCATCTTAAATAATCTAAATACTGACTCCTGTCTGAGTTGCGAATCTAAACCATCTGTGACGTCCTACCATCATAATACGAATGCATACAAAAAAAAACATTCAAATCGGTTTAGCCTTTAAGGAGTTCAGTTCTATTCTATATATAAAAATTAATAAGTTTTTTCATTATCATATTGGATTTGTACGCAGTAGAAGTGGGAGCGAGGGGTATGACAGCTAAATCTCTCTATAACCCACTAAAAGACTTGGGCCTGTCCAGAAGTAACATTAATTCATTCTTGGAACGTACTTCGAAGGCAGCTGTAGTAGGTTCTCTTCAAATTTGGTTAGGTAGAGAGAGGAGCTTGGACAGTGTAGGTGAGCGTTTGACGCGCGTTAGATAGGAGCCCTATAAACCTACACCTGGGTCGTAAGTCCCAGTCACTTTTGAAGCTCCTCTATCTATAACGATGTACCCGACACCCGCACGGTGAATCCATTGACGAAACCTCTCAGCAGAGAGGTTTCGTCTCACTCAAAAGTCATATATTTAAATGAAACTAATATTTTCGGATTTATTCGCCTTTTTATTTTTAACTTTAAACAACATACTCCCGACGTTTCGGTTACTTTTTAGCAACCTTGATCACGGGCAGACCAGATGTGTCTGTCAGTTGGTCTTAAATAACAAGACCGAAACGTCGGGAGTATGTAGTTTAAAGTTAAAAATAAATCCGAAAATATTAGTTTCATTTAAATAAGTACTCGCGAAAATGTTAGATCTCATTAAGTCATATATTATTTCAGTAATAGCATGCGCGGCGCTAGCGTTCCTATTGACGCCGCTCTGTCAATACGTGGCTGGCGGCGTGGTGGGTGCGGGGGCTGCTCGCTGCGGAAGGTACTCCGCCCCCGAGCTGGCCGCAGCCCTACTGGCAGCCGCTATAGTGGCGGTGTGGGTACTAACAGGACACTGGCTGCTCATGGATGGTGGGTGACGTCATATTGTGAAGTATTCATTACTAGTACTAGTAGTCAGTACTAACTCAGCCGTGTAGCTGTGTGTGTAAATAATGACGTCATCACATATATACAGTATAGTCCGTTGGATTTAAGCTGAGCTTTGCATTTGTGTGAGTGAAAGTAAAAGACAATTACAATAAAATTTTATTATATTTTAAAAAGATAAATAATATAAGTGCGCGAGTTTTTCAAGATTAAAAATAAAATAAGCAAAACTTTTAAAAGATGTTAATATTATCAATATCACGGAAAAAATATAAATCATTAATAAAAGTTTTGAAAAAACTATACATAATCATCTTCACTTGACAATGTGTTTTCGACATTTGACGCTGTTATTAGTACAAAGGGTGAATTGCTTAAGGTGCGGGGCGGAGTAAAACCAGTATAAACCGGCTAAAACCTATAAAAGAACGTGGCATCCAAAAATTTTACATCACATCTACACTATCCGTGTGCACTCACACAAATGCGAAGCTCAGCTTATACCTCGTGCATTTTAACAGATATTACATATCTGATGAAATCTAAGACTTTCACGAGTATTCATTTTTCGAGTATTTATTCATTTATTCGGATTATTACGATACGTGATCGCGGTTGCTGATATGTAACCGAAAAATCGGGAGTATTTAGTTTTTTCTAAATAATAAAATACGCATAGTAATCAGAATTATTTACTTATATTTAAATGAATATTCGTAAAAGTCTTAGATCTCGTCAGCTATGTAATATCAGATACTGTATATTGGTATAATGACGTCACTATATTTACACTAGCTTTTGCCTGCTGATATATTAAAGTAGGCTCGTTTTATGCAACTCTCAGCGTTGTCAGTCCGTGTTGTGACTTACGTAGTGTAAGTTTTATATCAAGCTTTTTGTGAAAATTTAAGAATTTTTATCTTATTTTGATATCAGAGGTATATAACTGGAAAGTCTCTTCAAAATCAGTTGAATAGTTCATGTGTTATAAAGTTAAAAACACCCATTCACGTATTCCTAAAACTCGTTATTTATTATTATATTATTATGGTAAGACTCTTTAGGAAATGACGAAAGAATACACACATTTTTTAATTTTTGTATAGACATAGTATCATTTTTTTCTAATTATGAAGTATTAAATCAAATCACGCTATTATCAGAACAAAAGGTGAAATGCATAAGGTGCTGGGCGGAGTAAAAGCAGTATAAACCGTTCCAAACATAGAAAAACCACTTGGCATCACACCTACACTATCCATGTACACTCACACAAATGCGAAGCTCAGCCTATTTTACGTACTATAACTACCTACTGTACAGTATATAAGGTCAACTAATTTGATAGAAACATACCTACCTGCCTACTATACTTTATATCTTCTTCTACCTGACAATTTCCCAGCTTTAGCCAGGGTCTGCATTGTATGTTGTGAATAGTTTTGGCTATTTGTTTTTACGACCGGCCGCCTGTCTGACATCAACCCTCTTTGGGAATGCATTAATCAGTGATGTCTAAATGCTCTTATAATGTACATATGATTCGGAAAAATCACATTGGTATTTGCCAGGATAAATCCCGCGCCCTAGCATGAGAGGCGGGCCTTTTAACCACTAGGCCACCACTGACCTACTATACATTATATAAGGCCAACTAATTCAATATATAACTGTCTAGCATACATTATATATATCTAATACAAGAAGACCTGGCGAACTTCGTATCGCACTATAATCAAGAAATATCTATTACGTTTTTTTATTTATATTTTTGGAGTTTACCTGTAAGCCATAAATCCCCTTGTTTTGAAGTGCAACAGAATGATTGACATATTAGTTAGTTGTCAAATCTAATGTCAAAAAAAACGTTTGTATGGGAAATAGAAAAGGGCTGTTTTTATGGTTTTCCCAGTAATTAATCAATTTTTTTCAACTTTTATACCTTCCCTGAACCCCCACGAACATTTCAAGACTAAGATAAGATAAATCCGTTCAGCCGTTCTCGAGTTTTAGCGAGACTAAGGAACAGCAATCCATTTTTATATATATAGAAGATGACTTTAATTCACTTATACTTTACTTTATATGACTTATACTTACTTTAATATGACTTTAATTCACGTTTCAGCTATGGGTATGGGTCTGTGTGTGACATTCATCGCTCTCATTCGTCTGCCGTCTCTCAAGGTGTCAACATTACTCCTCACCGGTCTCCTCTTGTATGATGTGTTCTGGGTGTTTTTCTCCTCATACATATTCACTACAAACGTCATGGTGAAGGTTGCCACTAGGTGATTATAATTGATTATATATATTTTTAATATTAAGATTTTTATTTAAAAATTAACAAAAAAATGTTTTATATTTTTTATTTTTATTATATTACCTATGAAATAGATGAATATGAAGTACTATAGCGAAAATTATGGAGTATTACACTAGCTTTGAATTTATAAGTGATATGTGGAAATGTATGATTCATATGTTTCGTTAAAATCAGAATTACTACTATTATTATTTTTGGCGTTTGACGTATATTAATTTCTACTAACCGCTCAAAATCGATGGAATTTCACCATATCACTTATTAAGCCATTTATCATAAGAACTCTGCAATTTTGTTGAATTTGTATATCATTTAATATGCGAATATCCAGTAATTACTAATAACAACGCATTAAAATCTCTTGCTGAGCGAGTAAAACTTTATATGAGGCATAGGAATCATTGAAACTAGCGATTGAACATAAATTTATACTAAGCGAAAACCATAGACAGTACGAAGCAAAATGAAAGAAATATTTATTGGGCTTGAAAAAAGTAAACGTGATGAACAGTAGCAAATTTTGCGAAATATTTATCTTTTAAACTAAAATTTATTATAAATGCGATGGTTTTATTTTTATTTGCCCGAAAAAAATAAACTGTAATTCTATTTATGGTAACCATATAAAAGCTCATTAGTAAGCTAGAGCGTTGATATTGCGAAATTAAGAAATTTTCTATTTATTTATTTCTGTGTTAGACATTTTGTGATCGTTAATTATTTACAAGCGAAATATTTCTTGTTTCATTGTGTTATTCATTCCGATCCTATTATTCTACTAAATTTATCTTTTTAATATTCATGCATCACTGTATTTTTCGTCATACATTTTCATAAATAAAATTTTAATATTCATACAGGTTCGATTCCTGTATGTGTCGACAAATTTTTCATTATGAATTTCCTTAAAATATATATTCATGCATGTCTGAAATCTGCTCGTGTCGATGATTTTTTCATAATGTAATATTTTGTTTTATTTAAATATTTTCAATACTCATGTCGACGAATTTATCATTACATTAAAATATATTAAACACTAGCTTTCCGCCCGCAGCTTCGCCCGCGCGGAGTTCGGTTATATCACGTTTCCAAGAGAACCTTTCAAAAGTCTGGGATAAAAACTATCCTATGTTCTTTCTCAAGGTCAACTCTATGTCTTTACCAAATTTCATTATAATCAGTTCAGTGGTTCAGGCGTGAAAGCGTAACAGACAGACAGACAGACAGACAGACACACGGAGTTACTTTAACATTTATAATATTAGTAGGGATTCACGCAGGTTCGAATCCTGCTTGTGACGATTTTTCTTATGCTCTTCGAAATCTGCTCATATTTATGAATTTTTCATTTTCAATGTTCATGCAGATTCTAATGCTGATTGCTTGGTTTTTTTTTATTTTCAAATGTTTTTTCTATTTGTATCGCTACAATTGTCACTCTATATTTTCAAATTATTAATTTCAATATCCATGCAGGTTCGAATCGTAATCGTAATGATGATTTTTCAATCATGTTTTTTATTTGAATTTGAATTTAACTATTTGTAAACAAATATTTCTGGTTTGTGTTTAATTCCATAATAAATTGCAATAGCCAGCGTTTTGTTTTGATCTAAATTTTAGTTTTGTAAGCGTAGAGCTAGCAGCGTATTTTCATATGATATATTTCTGTAGTGCAAGCGACCTTATTTTGCAGACCGGCGAATTTTTATTATAATACTAGCAAACCCGACAGACTTCGTACTGCCTCAATCGATAAATAAATAATTTTTTATTAATTTTTTGGAGTTTACCTTTAAGCCATAAACCTCCGAGTTCTGTAGTGCGACAGAATAATTGACATATTAGTTAGTTGTCAAATCTAATGTCAAAACAAAACTTTTGTATGGGAAATAGAAAAGGGCTGTTTATAGAGTTTTCCCGGAAATGGTTAATTTTTTTTCAGCTTTTAAACCTTCCCTGAACCTCCACGAACATTTCAAGACTAAGATAAGATAAATCAGCCGTTCTCGAGTTTTAGTAAGACTAACGAACAGCAATTCATTTTTATATATATATATAGATATAAATTGTCCATAATGAAATCGTACCTTGTTTATTTTAAGCAATTCCAGCGATATAATTGCAATGCAGTTTATTTTTTTCAATATCTGTATAAATGAGAGCTTTTGCAATAGTATTTAAATGCATGCTAGCACTTAGTATTCGTGAGAATAAGTGGTTGTGAATATGCCATATATATTTGTGTCATAGCAAATAAGGTAACATTCATTTGAAAATAATACTAAATGTATAAAATGTTCTGCGATATTTTAAGCCTTTATGAAATCATACACTTCTAGCTAAATTGTTATTTGTTTTCTCTTAACCTTTTAGTTTTTATGAAATTTAAAAGTTCTTAAAAAAAACTCCAGTATAATATTGAATTATTACCTAATTATAACAAATATAAAATGCTCGGGAATTATAAAATATTACTAATACATTGTGATATTCAATCTACATTATATAAAATTGGCTGAGCATTCAAATTTCAAATATAATTTTTGAATCCATCCATATTAAAATTGGTAATGCCTGTATTCTTACAATTTTTTTAGTAATATTTATCAGATTATGACCCATAATAATGCCATAGTTAAATATGTCACTATAATCAAATTCTGCATAATATTTACATCTGATAAATCCATTGAAACTGAAACAGTACATTATACAGCGCTATCATAATCAATTTACTATATATGTATACAAAACCACTAATAAAATGAGGTCTATCATTGTATAAGTTCACAGGAAGTTAATTAATATTTCCAGACCAGCTGAGAATCCTATGAACGTGGTTGCCAGGCGTCTTCAGCTCGGCGGCGCTATGAGAGATGCTCCCAAACTGTCTCTACCCGCCAAGCTGGTATTCCCTTCGATGCATCACCAGGGACACTTCTCTATGCTCGGTCAGTTGAGAGTATTTAAAGAGTGACGTCATCATTATGACGTCACTAATGTCACTCACTAATGACACACTTCTGAACATCCTCGTATTTCTAGAAGGTCCTTCATATTCACATAGTTCATTGGTCCGCACGAATTGAACTCCGCTGGCTTGCGTCCAAACCTAGAATCTATACCAAAATTCAAACATAGTTCTGTTCTCCTTTTAAATAGGTTTTGATTTCGTTTTACTTATAACATTAACATATTAAGAATAAGTTTTTATAATAATTGATGTCAACCTCAAGTTATTTTCATGTTGTACCCGTCATTAATGCTGATAGCGCTGATATATATTATATGTAGTATTTGCGCTAGTGTAATCTTCTGAGGTATATCAGTCGTATTATAGGCGACGAAGTGTCTACCTTATTGACGCACACGAGATTGTAAAGGCAGATAAATCTGCGGATAAGTAACTCAGCACATTAATAAATTTAAGAGAAATCATAAAATTGTTTAGTAAAGTCACAATAATGAAAAAGCTTTACTAAATCCACAAAATCAAATTGAGTCATGAGCTGGTATAAATAAGAAAGTTATAATTGATCTCAGGTGCATTATGATAGGGTAAACTTAATTCAGTTTGATTGTTTATTTTGATGTGGCTTGTATGGACCCACTTCCTCCAAGGATTTCAATTGTTTTTTATATCTATCTAAGAATATTCATTTTTCTCTTGCTACGTTTATCGTTTCGCTTGTCTGTGTGGCGCCTGGACGAACTCTAACCCAACTACCTCAATTAACTTGTTATTAAATCACACTTTCTTCCTTAAAACCTGAAACACAAACTACGCAAAGAAGGAAGAAAAGAAGCTTATTGGGTCTGAAATTCTTATAACATTAAATATAAGCAAATTTTAACAAAATAATTAATTTTTGGTTTCAATTTCTCGTTGAAATTGATATGAGCGGGACACGTTGTATAGGGTGGCGCAAAAGTAAGGACCCTATTTGGTTCAGCTATAACATTTTTTCTAAATGAGAAAACTAGATTTAGGTTTTTTTAAATGTATATTTGTGCCATTAAATTTCGTACCATTAGGATTTAAAGATGATGTCTTTTAAATGGTGACCTCCAGAGTTGATACACAAAATTGGTTATGAGTGACGAAGCGCATTTCCATCTCTCAGGGCATGTCAATAAGCAGAATACTCGGTTCTGGGGCACTGATAATCCGCGCATTATTCAAGAAACACCTCTACACCCACTAAAAGTTACATCTGGTTTCAACAAGACGGCGCTACGGCACACACAGCGCGCGACACTATGGACTTAGTGAGGGACGCTTTTCCAGGCCGAGTTATTTCTCGTTTTGGCGATTTGCCTTGGCCTGCAAGATCACCCGATTTGACCAGTCCAGACTTCTTTCTTTGGGGTTTTTTGAAATCTCGGGTGTATGTGAACAAGCCACAGACTCTCGCAGCTCTAAAAGAAAACATTCGTCAAGAAATAACGAACATATCGTAGGAAGTGTTACAGCAAGTTATGCAAAATGTCATAAACAGGGCTCAAATGTGTATCAACTCTGGAGGTCACCATTTAAAAGACATCATCTTTAAATCCTAATGGTACGAAATTTAATGGCCCAAATATACATTTAAAAAAACCTAAATCTAGTTTTCTCATTTAGAAAAAATGTTATAGCTGAACCAAATAGGGTCTTTACTTTTGCGCCACCCAGTAGTACAAAATATATGTATTCATAAAGGTTTTTCCAAATAAATTACTATATAAGTTTAACTTTGGTTACAAATAGTTCAATGAGACTGAGACCCAGTTTCACCAGGCCCTGTTTGTTATATCTAAATGAACCTTATAAAATATAATTTCTGTTAAAATATTTACGATCCACGACGAAAAATTAACAACGCATTATTAAATGTCACGTTAAATTACCGACTACCAAATTATTCGTTAATGTTATAAGATGCCCAATTTGATTAATTGAAGCGTTTGATATGATATGTTACCTACGATGCACCACTTTATACTTTGATCGTATATATCTCTCGATACGTCACTTGGTAGATAATGCGACTAAATTTTATATGTAAATTTATTTATACCCAAAAAGCTCTCTTTTCTAGGTTTAACCTGTCAGAATTGTGTTGTCGATTTGTTGGTATAAATTATATTCAAGTTATAAGTGATGAAAAGAGGACCTAATTTGCTGTCATAGAAAAGAGGGGGGCAAATTTTTTCATCAAATGATTAAGAAATTTTCATTCACAATTAAATAATTGAAAATGCCAAAACAGATGCTGTTACTATGGCTACAAAAAACTCCAAAGTCCAATCATGGGACCAATACAATAGATTAACAGTCCGCTAGCAATTTGATCGACCTTTAGAGCAGGAATTAATATTAATGCCTTGTTAGGACATTTAAACAGACATTATCCTGTGATGGGATTCAATACATATATCTTACAGTCCATGAAACGCCTTATCAAGACATTATTTATTTTACATTATTTTTTTACACTACATATTATTTTATTTGTCCAGTTATTGTAGCATGCATCTCAGGTTAAATACATCTTGTGTGTTAAGAAAGCTTGTTCGAACACAGTTTATAACAGACATATTGCAAGTGTTTGCCTCGTCTGTCCGACATTAGTATTGGCACTTTAGGACATGCCCACCAATGTTTATACCAAATGTAAAATATTCAGACGATGTTCACAATTATATGTAAGGAATATCATGGGTTTTGATTTGTAATAATAATAATAACTTTTTATTTCAAGTGACTATGGATTTGTCGATTTACTATTTGGGATTGGTTGAAGAGAGAAATGTCTGTTACAAAATTAAATAAACATTGGTTATAAATGTATCATTTTCTGTTTAGTAACATAGATATTTTTCCCACTAGAACTACAAAATGGTTTAAAAGTGTGTGTATGGGTTATATGTCAAATAATTTAGATAGAATAATGAAAAAACTAGGATCTATGAAATAAAGTATCAATGAGTGATAGTATATCAACTTATATAAATTAGTTTACAGTGAAAAAAATCAGATGCCTTAATATTTATATTATAATATTTATGATGAAAAAATTCCATATATGTCTTTCTCTTAAACTAGAATTTTTAACTAGTAATAAGAAACGTTTCCCAAACCATACTAACCTATTATTATTACATGAATCACCAATACATTTAATTTGAACAAAAGAATATTCAGATACATTTTCCTACCATTAAATTTATATACATGAATTAAGGAAAAAGATGTGAAATACGAAAAAAAGTTATTTTAATATATTCCTTATGAACAAAATTACTGTATATATAAACAAGATTAATAGTTGAAACTTTATATGGACGGTTATATATTTGTACATTATAAATTGAGTTATCTGACTGATCAAAGGTAACAACCATTTTCCATGGGTTATTACTCCATGGGTTATTACTCCATTCAATATGGTCGAAATAAATTTTTCGATAGAGACCTCGACTTGCCAATTATAATATGGATGAATGGTCATTTCATTGCATAAATTCGTTAAGTTTTCAGAGTTTTTCATTTATGTTCTTAATTGAGCACATTTTTAATAGTTATTGATGGAATGTATCTTATATGCATATTATGTTGTAGTAATCAACCATCAGTATATAACATGTCAAATATAGTATATTTATTTTTCTCTGTTTCTGTGCAGTATGTGTTTTGTTTTGGTTTGAAATGAAAATGAATTTGATTATTGAAAATCATTTTCTTTTGATTGTTGAAAAGAGTTTTTAACGGCTGTTTCTTTAGCAATAGATGCAAATAAATTTAAAAAGAGGTCATATATTGTTTACAATGTCCAGTAAGGATGTACCTAGATCACAAATTAAACTTATTAAAGACCACTCGATCTTCACTAAGAACATATCAAGTGATAAGCATTCAAATCGGTCGTAATTTAAATTTGTAACATTGGATAAAATTAAATGATTTTCCTAATATTGTAATTTTGAAATACACACGTTTGATAATGTCTAAAGCCTGTACACAGCTGTTTAAAAAAGGAAATTTTCTGTTAATATTTCATTCATTACTACTTTCGTGTTCAAGTTCTAACTTGGACTATCTATCTATAGTACTTACACATTCAAGCACATTGTGGCAAAGTAATGATTAAGCAATAATCGTGGTTTAAATGAAATATATAGTAAAGGTATAGTAGTTGTAATTATTTCACTTTAATAGTAAAGAAAAGTTGAAGCTGTATTCTTAAATATATAAAATGTATATTGAGACATGATTATACATTATGTTAGAGAAAAAAATCAGACTTTTTTTGTAATAATAAGTTAAGCTTTATCATTATTTTATTATCTAAAGTACTTTGTACTGACCTTTTCTGATATCGCTCATCCAAAAGAATATTGACGAAATGACGTTTTTGCGATTTTTCAGGAGATCGTTTTAAAAGTTTGACATCGATAATAATGAGTATTTCCAATAATACTATTGATATATTTTAATAGTGATGTTGTGTTACTTTAGCATCAGCAATAACATTATGTAAAAAGATTGCGAGAAAAATTAAGATAACTATTAAAAAATACCGAATAAAACAAACAAGATGTACATTTATGACATTTTATAAACTAAATAAAACAATTAGGACATGATACTTGGTTTGGATATGGGAATAAATCATGAATTTAAACAACATCATACTCAATTTGTATTACATATTTCAATTAATCAGTCAAAATTTTATATTTTTTTTATTGTAATAAAAATAAGTTTTATAAAAATCTTGATGAGTTTAAAATCACAAATAAACTATTTTTAAAATAATCTATGTAACTAAATGTAATCTTGAAAATAATAAAGTAGATACCTGGGTAGTGTTTAAAGTAATAATGAGATCAAGAGAAATTACAGTTGAGGGTACATATCTTTAACCGGGTACCATTAGGTACTTGTACCTACTTATCTAAGAGTAGCATAATCTTTAAGGAGCATAATTATTATAAATTAAAATATGTAGAAAAATATCACAATGATTCATTAATCTAACAATTTTGCTATAAAAATTTGTCTTAATCGTTCACCAGTCTTAATAGTATCTATCAAAATCTGCACGAATGACAATTACGTCGATGTTTCCTCGGAACCGTACGTAAAATAGGCCAAAACCATAACGACACTGACTCTCTCTGTCTGAAATGAATGGAATAACAATTCGGTCGTTTTTACCACCGATAAAACGTGCAAAATATAAAGTTATGGCATCAAAAACTCATTTTCGACTTTTTCGTAATTGTGTCATTATTCTTTTGGGTGAGCGATATGTTCTGCTGAGGATTTTATAGTTACTTCCATAAAATTATGGCTAAATAATCTATGTCCCTGATAATACATACTAGCGAGTGCAGTTGACGAGAAAAAAAAATGTATTGAATGCATACGTTATTTTAACTTACTACAGATGCAATGTATAAGTTGTAGAAACAAAATAAGCTTTATTTATGACAAAAACATACATCGCAAGTAGTAAAGCATAAATTTTTGCAACCATTTTGTCAGCGTGTTTCCATATACCATAGCTCGGTTAAAACACCGATTTTCATTCATGTGCGCTTTACTAACAATGATCACAATATATTTTTTTACCTTTTTCATCAGTGAGACTATAGTAATGAACAATTCCAGAAAAAGGTGAATAGTTTATGTCCAGTGTCAATAAATAGAATAGACAGCCGATCTAGTTCTCATGATTTTGTTAAAAAAAAGAATATATATTATTTATTTATCTTTACACAAGAAAGGCAAAGGCGTCTCAAAAATTGGTTATCGAAACCAACGATCTTCTTCAAAATTGCAATTCTCTCTTTTTTTAATTCAGTCAACATTATAAATCGTAACACAATTTTCATCATTTACTCTCTAATTTTTACATTGAAAATTATGTGCCAGAGAATTGTTTGAAGATGATAAATATGAGAATGAATAAATATATATATACTAGTGATATATATGTATGTACTATCATATATAATATATATTTGTAATTATAGGTCTCGGTGATATCGTGATGCCGGGCTTGCTGCTGTGCTTCGTGTTACGTTACGACGCGTACAAGAAGGCGACGCTCGTGTGTCAGATGGGACAAGTCCCCGGACCTAGGTCGATGGTGAGTAATAATCATTATAATTGTTATTTTATATTATTGCATGCATTAGTATTTGCACGTGACTACGTCTATACTACATATGACTGTCAAAATATATTCCCGTTCCAACTACAAGAAGTGATGAAATAAATTATATCCTATTTTGTAATGTTTAACTGACGTCACTGTGAAGTTTAATGAAAATCCGTTCAGTAATTTTTTTACGTGATGGACAACAAACTTCTAGTAGCCTCACAAATTTAATAATATTTATTAGATGTAAAATCATATAACACATAAATGGGCTTTGACCTGTTATGAGTCTGGTCGCTAAGGTTTAATATCATTGCGTTTAGAGTATTATAATTAAATATAAATTTTCAGAATTATCATGAATGATATGTTGAATAAACAGTCACTAAATAAGCTTCAGAAGCCAAAGTAGGATTGAAGTAAAGTATTTGATGTCACATCACTACTAAAGTTGCCTTGTCAATCAATAGAACGTTACGCTGAGCCAACAACATAATGTATAAAAATATATATAATTATAACCAGCGGGTTTGTTTGTTTGTTTTGCAGTATACTTAAACATAAATACGTCTTATAATAAACAAAATATAATTCCTCTAAAGGTTGCTTGTAGAAACGTTTATAAAATTATATTTAACTTAAGCAACGAGGTGTCTAGCAACACAAAGATTAAAATCCTATATAATATATATATATTTAAACCTTATTGAAAATAATTCTTTAAGGAATTACGATCATTGCAACTGAAATCATATGATATCAAAAAGTACTGATTTAGTAGTCGTAATAAAAGTATGGAATAATGGAAATTTATGTAACTTTGAGGAGGTAATAAAATATGAACTATTTATTAAGAATTCCATTTTAATGCACACCGTAGCCTAAAAACTGGCATGCAACGTTTTTTATAAGAATATTAAATACCTGAATCGAAAACTTTGTACCTCTTAAGTGAATTAGGCAAACTTCAATTTTTTTTAAATAAAAAGAACAATAATCAAAGTACCAATGTTTAAGTTGTAAAATAAATATGTATTAATTAAGAATATTCCAAACTTTTATATCCAAAGTTTGACATCTAGTCGGCATGGGCTATCACTATCTTCTTTAAATAATATTTATTATTTCAATTATTCAAGTCGATTGCCATATTAATAATGTGTCAACTTTTCTTATGGCCTATGTATTCTTCTTTATACTGTTAGAGTAGACAACGTTTATTGACAACTAGCATTCACCGTCGGCTCCGTCCATTTAGTGAATTTGTCCAAAAAAATTTACATCATAATTTGTATTCAACAATTCTATTTTAAATATATCATGAAATTCGATCGTAAAATTCTTTGGTCGAAATGTTACAATATATAAAGTATTTCTACGTATTTTTTTACATATACTATTAATATTTCCAGGGTTCTCGTCTCACGTACTTCCATTGCTCGTTGCTGGGTTATTTCCTCGGTCTATTGACTGCTACCGTCTCCGCTGAGGTTTTCAAGGCAGCACAGCCAGCGCTGCTATACCTCGTGCCCTTCACGCTACTGCCTCTTTTAACAATGGCATATGTTAAGGTTTGAAATACTTATATAGTAATATAATACTTATATACTTATTATATGTTAATTGTGAAAAGACTTTTTTTGTTGTCATGTATTTATCAGGTTCAATTAGTGATAAAAATGTTAGCTAGGCGGTAATTTATTCATAGAAACAGAAATAATGCTAGTTTTGGATATTTTTGTTCGCTTGATTTGACTATATATTTAATGCTCATTCTAAGTACTCTTATTTAATGTATGTACTTACTTAATTGAAATGGGTCAGTTGTAGTACTAATAATAAAATACGGTGTTATCTTTGGCCACAGAAAAAAGTATATAGTCGAATTGAATAACATAATCTTGAAGAATTCAAGAACTTGGTTATGGAAAAAATTCATGTACATTGTAATTTTCTATAAGCATAACAATTTTTCTTTGCAAGTTTTATAAACATTTATTTAGAATTAATCTTTTCCAATTCATTCATGTGTATTGCGTCTTCTGTGATTATTTTTATGGTTTCTATAATGATTTTTATATTGAATAGATATTTATATAGTAACTACATTATTTATTTAAATTTGAAGCCAACGTTGTATACAATTTTAGATCTTAGTCTTAATTAATACTAAATAATTTAAGTTGCTGTATGTATTAACAATACACCCTACTTATGGGATAACTCAACATTCACAGGTACATGATATGTAATAAAATAACATTCTTTGCATGTTCACTTTCAAAACTAAAAAAAAATTCTTATTACAATCTTAAACAGTAACAATTGCAAAACTCTTAAAAACAATAGCTGATAAAATTGAGGTATAAGTACAAACAATAGCAAGCGTGGATTTATGCAATAAGTAACGAAAACCAAAATAAAAAGTACAATAAAAAATAAAATAAACAAAACGTTATAATAATACTAGGCTTATTAGAGAATAATAATTAATCAAAGTTATGAATATGATAATAATAAACCCAAAAAAAACAAGAATAGTCTTGCGCAGTATATTCCACAAACATTTTACTTCTAGATTTATTTAGACTATCCTCAAGTTGTCAGATAGCTCTTAGTTAGTTTTTTAATTTACTTAAAAATATTATATATACATATATGTTTATATGTGTGTATGTATAGTAAAGACTACATAATCCAATGATTTTATTATAATATTTCTAGCTCATCATTTATATTCCTGTTTTATTCGGCAAACAAACACAATTTATGAACCCTTTCTATTGTTGAAATGTTTATTACATTGTGTTAGACTTAAATAACCACAACCTTCTAAATTAGTATAAAAGTTAAAGTAAAATAAAACTTATTTAATATTTGTTGATTTTATAACCGAAAATAACTGAAGCGGCCACCATTTTAGATTATTCGTGTTAGTTAACGATAATAAATTTAAAAAAATGTGATCTTCAGTGCAGATTTTATGTTTTCAAATTACGTGCGAAGTTAACCGTGGGCTAACTAGTGTTGCATAGTATGTCGTGAATACGATTACTTGTTTTTCGTCTTCAAAAACAGATGTAAGTAATTAAACGTAGTCAAAGGTTTCCATTATTCAGTACTTTAAATTATTTTTTATTATTTTTTGCTGTCAACTTCTACGTAACAAAACTTAATTATCAACAAATAGTTTTAGAGACAGCAGCCAAAAATTTATTAAAATGACCACCTATGTATATAATCTATGCAGAATGTATTTGAACACGAGTATAATCTGACATGAATATTGGTAGGCTAATGTATTGAAAAATTATCCAAGAAACTGCGAAGTGTTTTACTTCTCTTCAAATCACATTTTAAGGATACGTGACTAACCGTGTTTTTGTCTAACAGGTGATTACTAAATATAGATATGTATATGTTTACCACTTGACCTTGATAGTCCAATAGGTTATTATTAAATAATTTCATTATCTATAAAATTGTATTAAATAAACAATCTAAGTATAATATAAGATGAAGTCTGTGAAAGCGAAATTATTAGTTTATAGAAATATAGATTCAAAGGATTTGCCCAAAAACATATTATTTATATTCTGTTTCAACTTTAGTTCTGTCTGTTCTGTCTGTCTGTCTATTAAGTACTAAAATAAGTCAAAAACTCAGATTACATTAGTATTTTGATAGCAATCGTCAGTCATATGTATATTTAGTTTAATTGTAGAAGAAAATGTGTTTTTCATTAGAAAGAAAGAATATTGACAAGATTTCAAAATAGCCATAATTAAATTCAATTCTGTTATATCTATAGTAAATTGTGCATGCAGCGAATATATGTTACATAAAATTGTTAAAAGTCAACATATTATCATTCTCAGAGAATTGTGTCCAAATTTTATATTAAGATATTTTGATGTGTGTTGTCAAATTACACATTAAATTTAAAACTTTTAGATTTTTAAAAATTCCATTCGATTTCCAAATTTTGATTATTTTTTTTTAGATAAAAGGCTATAGACATAGGACCTTTTTTATATAGACAAGTTTTGTTTAATAATAAGAAAAAAATATTATATGACTATAATGTTTCCAGGGAGATTTAAGGAGGATGTGGAGCGAGCCCTTCATACCACCGTCCGGGAAGAGCGCTGCCGACTTCGACGTTTGAACCACGACACGCTAGAATGTGGACTTACTCTATAAAAGGTGTATTTAATATTAAAAAAAATAACATTTTTGTATGTCTGTCTGAATAGTATTCCTCTGAGAGATTGTTCAAACTATTCTTTTATATTTAGTTTCTATTAAGTACATAGGTAAAGTTTAAATGATTTGAATATAATAATTATATGGGCACGAACAAAGTATGCTCAATAAATTATATACATCTGAGATCATGGCATGTAAATTGTAATACTCACTTTATTTTAAGTGTCCACAAATGTATTGTAAATTTATCACAAGAACAATATAAGTGAATCATTGTACAGTTTTGTAAAATGGCTGTTTTAGAGCCTGGCTTTTTATTGTCTTTTTTTTCTCGGTTTAAGTTTGTGAAAGCTTTGTTTTTTTTTCACAAAGTTACACAGGGTGGCTTGTACCAGTGCACAGAGATTGAAAAAAATATATATTTCTTAAAAAAATTATTATAATCACAAAATATGAACAAATGTCTGTGTGAAACTTTAATTAGAAATTAATGAGATCCGTATGTTATTTTATATCACAATTTTTATGATATTAAAGAATATATTGTCCATAAATATATTATAAATGTCAATACACAGTCTGTGTGACAACATCACACATTAACATATAAATCTATTGATATTTTTCACATCTGTGCCAAAATATCTGACAAATGATAAGTGGCAGACGAACAAGCAATATGTTGATTGTATGCACTTTATTAGATAAAAATATTTTATTAAAAGTAAATATGATATGTACTATACGAATCTCACTCAAATTAATCTGATGTTTTCGATTTAATGTTAGAATTATAACTACTTGATTTACAAAAACAAAAAAAAATTGTATTGTGTGCAAAAGTAATGTTTAAATAAAATATATTTATATATATATGTTTGAATGTTTAAAATGTTCAAACATTTGGAAGTTTTGTAGCGTTTTTGTATACTTGTGTCACATTAAATAGTTGTATGACTTACTCAATTTATGATCAAACTTTGTTATCACTGCCTTAGACTGATGTTTTCAATGGAGATTTCTATGTGTTGGAGTAATTAAGTAAATAATTGTCTAATTAGATTCCTAGGCTACCTAATGTTGTTAATTGAATTTATAAATGAAGTTTATGTTAGATGATAAGTAAATGAGTGTTTTTTGGTAGCTATATATCTTTTGAATTTCATTTTTACACTTATTTCCTATGTCTCTGATATATTTCTAAATAATTATTAAGCAGTATTGTTTTTTTTAATGCAAAAGTGATATAATTTTATTGAGGCTTATGATTGATGTTTTGTATTAGTTTAACACTAACTCGAATTATTTTTGAATTATCATTATGGGAAATGTAAGAATGAATTGTATAAGATCTCCTAACGGTCAACGGTTTAATTCTCATTTATGATATGTTTTACATCATTCTGTACATAACCATGGATTGTAAAATGTAAATTGGTATAAGTTTTCTATCACACTCATCCCATGCCTTAAAAGTAATGTAAATATAGCAGACACATGACATTTTACTTACCCACATATATGAAAAAATACATTTAATATTTTTATATGTATGTGATGGTAATACCTAATAAAAATATTAGATGGACCGTCAGTTTGTTTTAATAATTTTCCCTTGGATGTAGCAGTACGGAGAAAAGGTTTGTATACAGGGTGACTGGTGAATTACTATCAAAATTTAAGGAGAATACTCGGTACATGATTCTCATTCGAATTATGTAAAAAAAATAGGTACTTAATTTTTGACCAAATTTCCGTATAAATAAATAAAGTGTGGACACGTTCCAAGTGTTCCAAGTGTGGACGCGTGCGGCGGCGTGCTGAAACAACACCACGCCGCCGCACGCGTGTGTGTGTGTGTGTATACCTAATCTGTAGGGTGTTCACACGATGCGTAATTAATTACATAACTTTTGGTTAACTTTACTTAGAAGTTTATTAATATTTATGTTATATTAATTTTTATTTTGTCATATATGATCGTCAAATATCACGTCCTCAAGTATCGATAGTAATTCACCAGTCACCCTGTATATAAAATAAAAAACTATATTAGTGAAAGATATTTATTTTTCAACTGTACTATCTACGCTACTCTGTTGTTTGTTCTCTTTGTTAACATTAATGTCACGTTTTTCTATAAACCGCAGTTGTTTCTTCTTCATTCTCTTCAGTTTCTTAGTATTTGTTATGACCTGGACTATTTCTGATTTTCTTTTGTTTTCCTCAGCACGTTTAATGTTTTCCCGCCGTCTCTGCTTCCTTGCTTCTTCCTTTTCTTTAATTTGCTCTAATATCTGATGTGATATATCCTTAGTCCTCTTTAGTTCTATTCGTAAAGCTTCCTTCTTTTGATAATCCGGTCTTATCCCTTTTGTTTTGATTATTTTGGAAAATCTGGAATTATATAGTGTGATATTTGTTTAAAAAAAGAAAAGGTAATGGTAATATTTAACTATTCTTTAATGGTATTAGATGTTAACTTATACATTAGTGGTGGATTATTTCATCATTATCTAAAATTGCTCTCTGTAAGACTCTACTTATAATAAAATGGTTAGTTATATTGAAATATGATTTTAAAATTTATATCATCATACGGATATCGAAATTAACACGGCAGGTATCTTTTACAGCAGAAAAATTATGCTGACGAGCTTAATCATAAATAACTAGTTCCCATATTTACAATGGTGTAAATATTTTATAGGTTAGCTAAACGCGATTACTAAATACCTACTTTTCTTTCTTAGACTTCCAAAATCTTCCTGATTTTGGTACACCTCGTATTTCATTTTCATTTGCCTTCTTTTTAGTTTTATTTACAGGTTTCTTAACTTTACTATCTTCAACTTGTAAACATTTGTCATCGTTGGTATTGGAACCATTTTTTATATTTTCCAGTATGGAATTAACTTTTTGATCTACATCTGTTGCCATAATTATTATTCAATTTGTATCTCAATAAATAGTTACCAAAAATAGCTACAGTCCACGTGCTAACTAAAACAAAGTTGACAATAATGACATTTGAGTTTTGACATAACAGATAATAAATTTGTAAAGAGCAAAAATAGTCTATATTGATAATCAGTATTATCTCTGAATATATGCTAATAAATTTCCAAAAGTTGTTTTGTGTTAATGTAAGTGTGTAGATTTCAATACTATTGATCTAAAAACAAATCTTAATTTGTACTGTTATGTTTAAGGATATCTTATTTTTGTTTAAAGTAATTATATTTACTTTTAAGAGATATTCATGTAAAAGCCTTCTAAAATAGTGTAGTGGCTTGTAATTTTTGTTTTATATTTTATTTTGTCTATTTTAATACTTGCTAGGTAATAAGCTTACTTCCCGCCTGCTATTAAGAGCTCGTCTTAGCTTACTTCAATATCAAGGGTTTCACTTGTGTATTATCTTATATTTTTTGTCTAGCCGTTGGCAGCACGTCACTCAGTTCTCGGTACCTACATACCTTTTTTTGGACGTTAGAAAACATACCACTAACCAACCGCTCTTCTTATATATAAAGGCTGAATACCGGCTGTGAATAAAGGATCAGTTTTAGATGTCTACCTAGTTTTGAACCAAATCAAAAAGTACAGATTGGCATCTTAGTGTATCCTAGCCTAGGGATGGGAGCGATGGTTTTCGCTGTTGGTGATTCCAACGCCTCCAATAGCACCCTTGTGTTCCGGGCTGGGGTCTTCTTGGTAACCCGGCTCCTGTGAAAGCGCGGTGTCGTAGAGGCGCTCCTAATTGCTGGGATCGCCCCCATACTCCGAGGGAGTAAGTCCGGTCTTTGCCAGGACCCGCCAGTCGCTAGTGTGCCCTGTCGCTGATAGATTCGGGGTACACCGACATAGCGGCCGATGGCTTTCGCAGTGGTTTTAGTGAGTAGGGGCCTGCCGAGGTCGAGTCTCACACATCCCTTCCGGCCCCACCAAGGCTGGTTGGACGGCTCGTAAAAAGAGTTTCCCTGCAACAACAAAAAAAAGGGATGGGAGCGATACACCTTGTTCGAGTTCTGATTTATTTATGTAGCAGTATTGTTAGCGGTGGGGTGAAATTTAGCCTTGCTCTGTCCGTCTACGATGTTTTCGGTACGGCAACTTGGCCTTATCGGCAATAAAACAGTGGAATTGAACACCACTGGAGATTTCTATTCCAAGTATCAAAATATTCTTAGGGTGCCGTGGAACTGTGGACATAGTAAATGTTTTTTTTAGTGCTGATTGTGTCTTACTGTACACCCGGTACTCTGGGTTCATAGACAATCTTTTAGTGACTCTACTCGACAACGCGACGAGGAATATTTAAAAAAAAGGCATAGAATTCAGCAAAGGTGTATAAAAATTTATGCTAGCTATAAATATTTTCATACGAGTGTGTAGTATAAGAAACATTGTGGTCACTGAACTGAGCCCTGTAGGACACTTACACTAAAGAGTTAGCTTTGGTAGCTCTCAATAAATTTTTTTATCCTCCTGCACGTGAAAACTTAGTGATCCATTTGCATTGTCCATTGAGCAATCACTACAATAATAGCCTCTGTAGAAGATCGTGAGGGTAAACTAAAATCTTCGCCATGTCAAAGCTGACTGCCAAAACATTTGATTAAGTTTTAATGATATGTTATAAGTTTAATAATTCTTAAAAGTAAATCAATGCGATAGCTCACTTTTTGACATGATGTAAAATACCCACCGGTTTTTTAAATTTGAACTTAAAATATGTGTAATGAAGAAAGATGGTGAAATTTTTGTTTGTCTTGATTTAAGTCAAAAAGTAAGTACTCATGCATTTTACGCCACATAGGCTATTTAAATTTTTTTGTTAAGTACCCCTGCGAAGCTGGGGCGGGTGCCTAGTTATTTTATAAAAAACAATTGAATATTTGCACACAAGAATGGTTCAGTGACTCATAATATTGAGCAAAGCAAACTATTTTTTAAGTGAACTTATTTTTGATAAGCAATTGAATTTGAGTCTTTTTTAGAATAAAGATATTATTTTTTGTCCATAACAAATACATCTCGATGACAAATAATTAAATTTATTACAAATATCTTATAAAGTTCTTTAAAAATTTTAATAGATATCGGGTGAGTACTAAATCAATGTAAAAATGAACACGTGGTCATAAAGTCAATTGTATTTAAATATGTTTACTAAATGCTTAGCGTTAAGGAGCTCGGTTGACCGTGATCTTTATATAATCAGTTTTACTCTACTAATATTACACATATTGATGGCAATTTTATAATGGTTATAATTGGTAGTTTAATGTTTCAGAAAAGTCATTGGAAGGCTAAAAATAATCAAGAAATTCTATTCTTAGCATTATTAAGATCAATGATGGAATAATTTTTAAAATTGTTTTGTTGTTGTTGTAAATAATATATTTTTTCTTTTCAATTAAAACATCAACCATGTTGGTCACTCGTATAGGTACTGTAGTTCCATACAAAACGAAATAAGTATATGATAACTGATGAATAATTTTTAATTATTTATCTGCTACGAAATTATTTTCCTCACAACATACGAATATTGATTTGATATTACAATTGTATTGAAATTATTCCTAAAAGAAGTAAAAGTTAATGTTTCCAGCCACTATTGTAAGTCGACTAACTAAAATTCAGGATTTTTCCATTTGAGTTCTATTTGTTTGTCTGCAATAGAGATATTTAAAAAATGGTCGTAATGACTGTAATTTAATGTATTTTGGAAGTAAAAATTAAATTACCCAGTAGCAGATATGTTTTAAAAGTGATTAATTGAAATGAAACTCGAATTTTTAAAGTCCTGTAATCGTTTTTTTTTCTGTACAGTCTTATATTCTCAATATTTTCTATTTGTCCTGAAATTTCCTGGTTTTTCCAGTATCATACTCAAACGATCTTATTTTTGATTTGTCATTTTTAATATCAATACTTGTTCTCTGTTAACTGGTGTATTGAATAAAATTATATATTTTTTCATAACGTCCATGAAATTTTACTTTATTGTATCATAGTTCTTGTTGTTACGATTTGTATAAGCAATATTTAAATTTTTGACATCTCCCGGAGTTTTTTTTAAAGTTATTTGCCCTTATCCAACTACTTATTCTTCATTTTAACTGGTATGGGTCAGATTTAAATAATTCATTACATTCTCTCGTCAATTGTAATTTTAGTAAAATTTTGCTAATTTAGTAAAATTTATATTCATAAACACTTTAGTAAAATTTATTACGTCATGAATATTTATTTAAAACGTAACGTATTTATAACGTATTAAAAAAAGAAGTTGCGTTCTGAATCTATTTCAATTTGAAATGAGATTTTTTTTCAAAATATCCGTATATTGACGTTGTATTATATGTTGTAAGTAATATTTAAAAAAAAACCGTTGACATTTTTTTTAACCTTTCAGTACATTTGCTGATTAATATGTAAATAAATAAATGCTACAACATATTTCGCTCTGCTTAAAAATCAATGCAATGGAAATGTTTGTACCGTTTTAATTTGAAAAAATCTTACACAAAACTTACTTATTAGTTATCAAATTGATTTGAATACTGATTAGAAATAATTTTACACAGTAAAATAAAATAGAATATATCATTTCAATACATAGATACTTTAAAATATTATATTGATATATCAAAAACAAGGCCTTGAAGAGTTACCCAGATATATTTTTTTAAATCACAGATAACTTTTAAATTCGGCAGTTTTTTTCTTATTTACCGTCATTTAACAAATGTTTCTCAATACTTACGTATACTATTCATAACAAAACAACAGCAATGTAGAATACTGACATTTGCAAAGCAAATTAATAATGTAACAAAAACAAAGCCACAGATTATTAGACTAAATTATAATACGAATTACATCGAGGAATGCAGAATGTAAATTTTTATAATTATAATTGGTCCATTCTATAAAGAAAACTGTAAAATCAATTGGTATGTATTTAAAGGCATAATATTTGAAATCTTATACATTGGTTCTTATATAAGGTGGGTTGTATTAATTGTATCTTAAAAAATCAAATATACTAAGATTTTCATCTCTATGTCGAGTATCTTCTTCTTCTTCTTGGCAATTTCCCAGCTTTAGCCAGGGTCTGCCTTACATGTTTTAAATAGTTTTGGCTAATCGTTTTTACGACCGATCTCTATGTCAAGTACATATATCTAGGTTGCATTGTAGAAGTTTGGTAGTGAAAGATAATTGTCGTTAAAAATTTAAAAGACTGTACTGCAAAAATTAGACGTGAAACAGTATTAGTTTGAAAAAAATATAGGAGGATTGGATTGATGCAGAGTTTTGTAGTCGTAACCATCCAAAGATAAGCGGCAACCTATTATACATATGTGAAGGGAGTTACGAGTAGTTCTTTAGATTTTCAAATCTTATCATAAACAATGTGGGAAAAACGTCGTATACGAAAATTTTGATACATAAAAGAAGGAATAAATTGTCCTAAAAATATTTAATCACTGTTTTAATCCCATCAAATTTGTAGTTGCAGAGTTTTGAATTCAGCTACTTTCAAGACGTCTTTTAAGAAACCCTCACTTTTGTGATAAAAAATATATTTGGAAAATGAAAAACATGCCAAAAAATATTATAATTTAGAAACTAAAGATTATTTTATTGTTATCTTTGTTTTTTTACGTTAGATAAATTAATTATAATATTAAAAGTACACATAATAATTCGATTATAAAATAAATATATGCGGATAAGGATATTATTTACACCTTTACCCCAAGTTCATTTCGCCATAGTACAAACGGTGGGCTTAAATTGTTTTCACATATTAATTACTGTTGATACTTTTACTGGCGAAGATTTATGAATAACTGGAAAAACTCTGTTTGTAGTATGACATTGCGTACCCGTCGTAAGAACTAGGAGTACAGATTTTAAGC